TATATATATATATATATATATATATATATATATATATATTAGCAACCACGGATTCTCAGCCTAATTCAAACCGTCAAGCAACACACTCTGCTATTGTCTTCTTGCAACTGGTCCGTAATGCTGATGAGCCACTTCATTTTACCTTCGATTTTCGTGCTTCCGGGTTTGTGTTTATTATTGTTGTTGCTTTACGACCCATTAAAAGGATGCAGAGGAGGACATCATTATTTGCTTTTGTGCGTGAAGACATCAAGGCGGAGGGTAGAAGAAGGGAGAGGAGGAAAGCCCGCAAAGGTCGAAGAGGGGGAAGGAGCGCATTCACGTCCCATGCCGGCTGCACAAATGGGTGTATGTAGAAGAAGAGAGACACACAGACAAAAAAAAAGGATTGTACAATACAAGTAAATAAGAAGAGAGCGAATGAGCTTATCTTACCAATGAATCGGCAACGAGAAAAAGCCCCGGTTTGTGCCACCAGTGAGGCAGGCACACAGCGCAACAACAGGAACTCTGACCTGCGGACCACAATATCAAGAAGAACGCATCGAGGCAACATGATGACAGTGCACCGCGTAGAAGGCCTCTTACGACTGTTTATTCGAAAACGTCGACGAGTACAACCACCAGCATCCTCGGCGCGGCGGCTTTTGTGACCTCCAACTCTGACTTGCCTACGCAAAAGACAGCAGCGAAGAAACGTAAACTGGGTCGAAGGTACCCCGAGAGTGAAGTTAATTTCCAGAGAAGAAAAGCAGAATTGTGACGTCGGACTGCCGGATGGATGGCCAAGAAGGGAATGTTGGGCGAGAAGGGCTGCGTGCGGCAACGCCTTGCTCCGGAAAATGCATCTCTGCGACATGCTTGCACACAGATGGAACTCGATCGTGTGACGCGTAAATCAGCAAAAAGAAACCAAGAAAACGGCCACCTTCCTTGTCGGTAGGAAAACGCGCGCTGCTTCTTCCAGTAGCTCGTGATCATAGCGGAAGAATGAAAAAGCCCCCACAAGCGACCGGATTGCCTGCCTCGCTGGAAATGAGAAACTGCGAAGAAGGCGAGAACAAAAATACACACATTCCTTGATGCTCGAGGAGGCGCACACATCTGGTGCCGTGCAAACACTGTGTGTCTCGGCAGCGTCAGCAAAGCGGCTAAGACAGCGGCCACAAAAAAAAAAAACCCCTGAGACGCTGAATGAAAACAGTCGGGGGATTTCCAGGTCGAAGAATCCCTATGGGGTCGACTGTTACCTGCGGGAAGGGAAAATGCAGAAGGAACCGTTGCAAGTGCACGAGAGAACGGATGTACGTGGCAGGCCTGAAAAGGCGTAGCTGTACACCAACACCGACCTGAAGAAATGCACGAGAGGCATCGCTAGCAGAGTCATATACGCATCAGAAGAAGAAGGTGGAAATCAGAGCCGAGGGGGGTGCGGTCCCATCGCGGCAGCGTTGTAGAACCGCGCATACTATTTGCTGGCGAAAGAAAAGGGGACAAAAAGCACCGCTAACGAGAGAAACTGCGTTAATGGATAGGAAGAAAACTGGGCTAGAAGAAAAGACTAAGAGAAAAAAAAAAATTTGTCTTGTGTGTTGCTGCTTGCGTTGAAGCAATGAATCCGAAAATGAAAAGGTAAAAAGAACGGAAAAGAGGGAGAGAAAAATCATAGTTGAAAGGATGCGGAGTGGCGGAGTTGGGTCGCTGGGGAGAAGGACAAGGATTTAAAAGAGAAGAAAAGGTCAATAAGCGGTGAGAGGGGCACCTGTGAAGCATAATGAAGAACCGTGATATACAGAAAACCCAAAATGAGCGTGAAAAAAAGGAAAACACCGTGTGACGATGTAATTCTCATCGAGCCTCCCCTGCGTTTCTTTCTGTACTATTCGTGCTCTTCGCGCTTTCCCTCACTCTATCTCTCTCCCCGTCTCACACTCGCCTTCCACCGTGGCAGAAAAGATAACGAATAAACGAACAACGTCTGTGCCCACAGCTTTTCTTTCATTTTACAAAAAGCGCATTGTTGTAGTATATAAAGGTATATATATGTTTTTCTTTCATCTATTATCATCAAGAAGAGACAAGAACAAGGATGCAAAAAACAAGCAAGAACCGAACACTTCAAAAACGACAAACGACAGAACAACGAAAAGGCTCACACATTCGGTTCTGTTTACGGCGTCGGATGCGTTGGCGTTTCGCTTGCTTGCTGAATTGCCGCTTTCCATTCACTTAAGACTTGGAGGGAAAAAAAAGCCAACACAATCGTCGTTGAGTACACCCTTTCAAACACATAAACTCAACGACAGAAATAACACTTAATCACCTTATTCAGATCACTTATCAAACACCAATAAAAAGCCAAGCCAAACAAGGAGGCGCCGCCAAAGAAGTCGTGCCTAGATTCAGGCTTATAAGATAATATATTCTCTTTAACAAAATGTGGGTTCATGAAAAGAGAACAACGCGGAAAAAGAGGAAATACATGCGGTACTGCGAAAGTACGCCGTCGCCGGCGCGGCAAAGCGCCTCGATAACTTCCTTTTCGAAGAAAGCCGCGGAGGACAGAACAGAGACAAACGAACCAGGAACGAATCAAAAAGAAACAATTGACGTTTCACGCTCTCTTGCGAAGAAACGAAGAACGCGGCTCGCTGCCGGGTCGGAGTTGGGCACCGTGCGCACACCTTCACGTTACTTGCTGTTGTTTTCTTCTTCGTTTGCCGGAGCTTACTGCTCGTTCTTCTGCTCCTCGGCCTCCTTCTGCTCTCCCTCCACTGGTTCGTCGCGCGGGCCCTCGACAAAGATGACGTTCGACTTCTCCTCATCACACACGGAGCCCTGGCACTCCAGCAGTACCTTCACCGAGGTGGCCACATCGGGCAGATGCACCTCAAAGGAGCCGTCGTCGTTCTTCGAGACGCGCTTGGGGGTAAAGCCCTTACCGTTGAGGTACGTCATCACTTCCGTGTCCTCGTAGTTGTTGCAGCCCGTGATCTTGATGATGCGCGAGGGCACGGCCTTGCTGCGCTGGCCGGGGCTGCGGTGACGCGAGGCGGTGAAGTCATACTGCGTTGTCTCGGGGTCCAGCGGATCGCCGGCGTCGGTGCAGGGGTAGCGCTCGAGGTAGCTGGGGAAGAGCTTGCCGCTGACCTGGCCGCCCACATACGGCACGCGGTGCATGAAGGTCACGATGGCTTGCGCATCCTCGGGCGACGCCGCCTTCACCGTCAGAATCTCCTTCTTGTTGTTGTTGCGGCGGATCGCCACCACGCCTCCAAAGGCCTCCATCAGCGTAAAGATCGGCTGCAGCGGCTCCGAGGCGGGCACGAGGGTGACGCTGACAAAGACGGTCGGCTGGGCAGCGAACTGCTGGTACTGGTTGCCGAAGTTGCCGCCACGACCACCGCGGAACATCATGTTGTTCATGTTATTCATGTTATTCATGTTGTTCATGTTGTTCATGTTGTTCATACCGCGACCCATGCCGCGCTGTCCATACGGGATGTAGCCACCGACCTGCACGTTGGTCATCGGGTCAAAACCGAAGCCGCCACGGCCACCGCGACCGCGCGCGCGGCCACCGCGCATGAAGCCGCCGCGCCCGCCGTTGAAGTCGTCACCTTGGCCGTACATGTCCGCCCCTCCCTGTTGGTAGGCCGCGGCTGCGTTCCAGTCACCCATCTGCGGCGCCATGGGCATCATGCCGCCCGCCGGGTTGCTGAAAACGGATCCCGGGGCCGGCTGCTGGCCTGGCTGGGGCTGCTGCATGCCCAGCGGGGGCATCTGAGCCGGCTGCATCGGGACCTGCTGCATCGGGGGCTGCTGCATCGGGGACTGCTGCATCTGCTGAGGTGCGTAACCGCCGTTGTTGTCGAAGCCGCCGGGGCTCTGCAGGACACCCCCGCCGTTGCCGCCCATCGGGGCTGGACTGCCGGCGGGCAGCCAGTTCGTGTACTGAATCGCCATCTTGTTGCCGTTGTTGAAGATGTTGCGGTTGTTCAGGCTCGACATGACGCGCTCCGCCGCAAAGGTGTCGGAGAACTGCGCCACCACCGACGTCTCCTGCGGGTTGTTCGTCGGCGTGATTTGGATGTTGTTGCACGACACACCGACGCTTTGGAAGACGCGACGCATGACGTCCTCGGTGACGGGCTGCTGAATCTCCGAGACGCGGATGCACACGGTGTTGGTGGGCTGCTGGGAGAAGTTGTTGAAGGCACCACCGCGGCCGCCACGACCGCCACGACCGCCACGCATCATCTGCATTGTGGTGGAGAAACAGGGGGGAGGAAGGGGTAAGAGTAGTAATAAAAACCCCAAACCGTTATTGGGTTATTTTAGATGCTAGCACGAGATAACGAGGTTTAGTTGCTATCGCCAACGTGAGACTGGTGTTAGAAACGAGTGGGTGGGGAAGACAGACGGATCGCGGTTGCGAACTACTGCAGGTTGCGTTACCCAAGAACAGGAAAGAGGAGGGAGGCAAAACAAAAAGAAAACCAGAAAATACAAGAAAAGGGTAAGAAATGCGAAAAGAGATTTGTTCGTACTCTTCGACACACGAAAACGCCGCGGTTGCACAGGAGTGCCATTTTAAATTCTTGCTTCTGCGTGACGTGCCGCAACGTAATCCAGGTGTATCGGCTCGTTGCGTGGCACAGCAGTGCTTCACGGTTCGCCCTTTCCTTTTTTTTTTAGCACACGTGCTGCTTCCTTTGGCGAAGGCTGAGAATGCCAGACGCGTCATGCAAAGGTTTGTGGCGCTATGGGCAGCGGCTCCACAGCGCGCACGCCAAAATGGTAAAAGAGTTTTTCTTTTTTCAAGGCAAGAGGAAGGTGTATGTCGAAAAGAAACCAGCAAGCAAGTATACGAATAAAAGAAGAAGCCAATAGCGTTCGCTATCGCAAACCTCGCGTCCTTCCTCTGTAAGTCAACGGCGAAAGTATTTAGAATGAACGTCGCAGGACAATTCTCCTTCTTTGATACTCCATCCACTTTTGTGTTCTCTTTTGCGATTTCGATCCACGGAAAGTACTCCGAGACCGAACGGATGCTGCTGCGCTTTGCCTCACCACACTTCAAGACCTTCGAGTCACTCCGTCCTCCATTTCTCTTGCATCCCAATGAGCGGAACAGAAGTGGAAGGAAACACCCGACAGACTTTTGGGCTCAAATGCGGTGGGCGATGAAGACTCGGGTGTGGAGTGCCTTCGAAAGAAAAAAAACACCTACCGCGTTGAGGAGTGGTACACGAATAGTAAAAAAGAAAGAGGAGAACGATATCCGATAGTGTGACGGAGACCGAGATGGGATTTCGTGACTGCTTTCTTCTCTTTTGTCGTAGTGCTCTTTCCCTTACGTTCCTTGGGTGTCTCTTTGCTTTGGTGGTTTCGCAAGGCAGGCAAATCCTCCCGCTTCCTCGCGTTTCCTTGGTGTGCTCGCCTTCTGCTACGCAGCTTTCAAAGTCAATAATAACGGGGAAAAAAAGAAAAGGAAGGAGGGAAGACAGTGGAGCAACAACCGCAACGAATAATTGTCTCGTGGTATAACGCAGTACAAACGAAGAGGTAAATAACGACGACAATAGAAAGAAAACAACAACAACAAAACCGATATAGGAGGTGGTATCCACGTCGCCGCTCGACATCAGAGCACCGCAACTGTCCTCTCCAAGAAAACAACCACCTCAAAAAAAAGTCACGCGGCGAACAACGGCAAACGAAAGGAGAGACGAACAGAAACAAACAGAAACAAACAGAAAAAAGAGAACCTTCGGCCGCCAGTGTCGCCCCTGTTTTGAGGGAACGAAATGACAGAGGAGACGCGACAGAGCCCCACGTTAGACCAACAACGCTGCAAGAAGGAGGGAAGGCGAAATCGTACTCCTTACGCTTTCCCATCTGTCTTCTCCGCCGACGGCGTCATAAATTGCGAAAAGATAGCGCGAAAGTCAGAGCCGGTGGGGGACTTCATCCCGCCAACGGACACGGTCGTGCCGCCCTCCTCGGCGGCCACGTGCTCCACCTCGTCCACTGGGGTAGAGCTGACAAACTCATCGACGGTCTGCTGCGCCTGCAAATCGCCTGCGTCCGGTCCCAGCAGCGGCCGCTCCGTCGGTGACGCCGAGACAAACTGGTTGACGCGGCTGCCCGATCCCACGTCCCCGCCGTCGACTCGGCCAGTCGTCATGGAGTTCGTGGAGCGAAGCAAATAAGGTTCCTCGTGTGGGGTGATGGCGCTGGCGTCGGGGCTTGAGTTGTCCGGGGACGCGTCCTGCGTCGATGGCTCCGGTCGGCTGTCCCGCAACCACGACGCCGCCGCTACGGCGCCACTGTGCGCCGCATCGGCCGCTGCCGCCCTCGCGTCTTTTATGCTGTCGGGGCTGCTGCGGTGGTGCCGCGTGGGCGAGATGTGGTAGGCGTCGGAGTTATTCTGGAAGGGATTGGCAAAGCTCGGGTTGGCGCTACGCATGCGAGTGGCACTCTCCCGACTACGGCGCTGCCGGCAGAACTTGCGCAGCTCCTCCTCGGCCTTGAGCTCTTGCTCCTGCGTCCACGGCGTGCCGGCCCGCACCGCCTGCGCCTCCGCGCTCTTGAAACCCTCCGCCACCGCCATCTCCTCGTCCATGTCGGAGAGGTAGGTCTGGGTCTGCATGTCGTCATCCGTCATGTACATCTCGTCGTAGGACGGCGCCACCTCGTCCCCGGTCAGCACCGCCACCCGACGGCGCCACAGCCGGCGACGCACCACACAGAGCGACGTCTGCGTCTGCTTGAAGGGCGCAAGGGTGTCGCTGCGGTAGCCCGACTGCCCGTCAGAGACGAAGAACTGCTCCGCGTAGCGCCACCCACTGGCGTCGGTGCCGTGGCGGTGCTGCTTGCACATCTCCCAATAGCCGACCCAGCGGTACCCCTTCGGCACCTGCAGTTGTGCGACGGACTGCGCCGGGAAGTTTGGGTTAGCCGCGTCCGACGGTGGGGGGTTGGTCGCGTTGAGCGCGGCATCGAAGTCGGCGGGGTGCGACCCGCACTGGCGGTGACCAGGCGGCACGCGGCAGAATGTCGGCAGGTCCTGCTGGAAGCGACTGGTGCTCCACCCAATCACCGGGAACCACCGCTGGTTCTCCCACATCTCAACCCACAACGTCGGCCCCGGCTCCACCGAGGTGGAGCGCGGCGTGTTCGTGTTGGAGGACGAGGTGCTGCCGTTGTGCGACGGAGGACGGGGGGTCTCACTTTGGCTGAGGGTAGCCGCCACAGCTGGTGCGTCCGGCTGCCCAGGGGTAGTGGGTTGATGAGCCATATTAAGTGTGGTTGTTGAAATGACGAAAGCACAGGCGGTCGCTGCGTACAACGTGATGTGTATCCTTCAAGATAGCAGCGAAAAACAATAATAATACTAGTGGGAAGAGAGCAAGCGGCGAATAGCTTACAAGAAAAGGCAATAGAACGCAAACGAAGTAAATAGAAAAAAAAACAGGCAATAACACCAGTGGAAGGGACAAGTCGATAATCGATACAGCAGCAAAACGCGAGCTCTACACGACACCGCTAAAGCCAAAACGCACCTCTTGAGTTATCAGTATAAAAAGAAAAAAGAAATCTTGTGTTGTTCGAGGAAAGAAGTTGGGGACAAGAATTCTGTATATAAATAAAAGGCAACGTTGGGCGTGCACCGTAAGAGTTTTCCGCACCAAAGGAGGGGGGGGGGAACCGTAACGTTCTGGTTTCCGCAAGCACGAACACAACAGGGGATACAAAATAAAAGGAGAAACCCAGAGAGGAAAAAGAAAACAAAACCGTATGAAGATGTGCTTTGTGAAAGCGTGTTTTTGGTGCTTGAACACCTTTTTGCTGGTTGCACACGAGATGTGTTTGTCGTGGGTGCGTAATTTGATGGGTACGTGTAGAGATTTTTTCTATACGACGTCGAGAGAAGGGGGGGGGATATGGAGGAGGAATTGAATTGAGAAGACGAGAGGACGGACACATACCGCTTGCTGTTGTCGCCTGGCAACGAGTGCTCTCCGTTCCAATTGCAGTAGTAAATCGACATCTCTACGTGTACTCCACCTCCGTACACACGAATATGTATGTGTGTATGATTGTGTATGCATGCAGCATGATCCACTGAGCGTACCTTGACATGCGGCTCACGCGCTGCAACGTTGCGTGGAGTTAACGCTGAAACGATAAAGGCGCGAATAGGGGCCTCGGTTCTGCTTGGCAGCATCGATGCCGTTAACGGTATTGTTGTGTTGGAGACTACCCTGCGATCCTCCACGTCCTCACCACCGGTAAAATACACACACATAACAAAAAAAGCACCTACCAGCCCTCGGCGTATGAGCTGCTTCAAAAAGCGGGCGGAAGGGTAAAAAAAAAGACAAAGAGGATTAACAAAGGGACTGGTAAAAGCTAAGGAAATGGCGGAAAGCGAATAAACACAACAACAATAGTGCTCAATGGGGAAACGGAAACAAATGAAAACAAACCAAAAACGGGCAACCCGTCCCGCATATACAAAGGCCAGGTGAAGATAGAAAATCGCTGATACTCAACAACGACGGGAAACAAACAAACAATATATATATATAATAATCGTGTGACGACCTGCGACATACACACACAGACACACAGACACAGACACAGCACAGCACAGCACAAAAATATGAACTAACGGAGCCTAGGAAGAAGGAAAAAAAAAACGAGACAGCGAGCACTTTTCCTTTTGGGGGATGAAAACATAAAACGTCTGAACTCACCTCGTCGCGGACGAAGAAAGACGCGCCGGCACCGCAGTCGCCGTCCCATGTTCACCCATACAGATCAGCAAAAAGCACTTTGTCGCACAGCACACCTCCGCAGCCGCGCGGAGATCCCCGAACCCCCGCACACGCACACAACATACATAAAAGAAGATTATTTTAAAACCTTCCTACGCGCTTCACCCGCACCCCGCAACGAAATTTTCGATTTCCCTTTTCTTTCCTGTTTTCGATTTTTTTGTTTTTTTTTTTAAGTAAAGCGCACAGAGAGAAGCGAAGGTACAACATGTTGCTCCCTCGGTTGCCTTCTTTTTAGGTGCCATGGCGAAGTTCTTCGCACTATTCCTTCGGCCGCTTTCCTCGCCCCTCACACTTTACCTTTTCTGCCTTTTCTCTCCTTCGATTCTTCTTTACGGTGCAGCCGTCAACCACAACAAGCGTGTACGTGTACTCCTCTCCGCACGGCAATACGCCGCAGCAGAATCGTGAGTGCACCCTTGAGATGTCAAAGCACGTAGGGATGAATTGCTTGGTACACAGAAGAGAAATGGAGGAGAGGTGAAGAGCGAGAAGGGGAGAGGGGGGAGGGGGAAGGAAGTCAGAGAACAAAGCGTTGAAACACGAAATCAAATAATAATAATAAATTGATAAGGACACTGCAGTGGAAAGTGCCAAACCACACAATTGTCAGAGCTACAACACTTGATCTCAGTCGTTTGTGGAGCCGATAAGGTACGTCGGAGCGGGACCGATAACTGAACTACAAATACAAGAAATGAAAAGACGTACAACTACAAACTCCTACCGCGGCTGTGGAAAGACCCAACTCACTCAGGAAAACAAAAACCCGGCCGAGCACTGGGCGGAATAGCTACAAAACAAAGACACTTAGACCACCGCCATCGCACAAGAAGCAAAACGAGCACAACGCACTTACAATGTATTATTATCGTAACTGATGGCATCTAAGATACACCATTTCATATGTGCAAGAGGGGAAGATAGATAAAGTGAATACAACGGCAGATCGAAAAGAAGAAGAAAGAACACGTCTCAGCTCGTGTTCCAGCGGCTACCAACGAACTTGTCGAGAGCTGTACGCGTTAAGAAGATCACCTGCGCTTTCTGGAGTACATCCGTTTTTATTTTCGAGAGGTATTAATTCGACTCCAAAAAAAAAAACCCCAATTAAAGGAATCAAAAGGCAGCACTTTTGACTTTTCTTTCATTTCTTTCTCTCTTCTTTTTTTATCATCCCCTAATGCCAGTGAGGTGGCGGCATTGTCGTTCTCTGCGGCAGGGCCGAGCAGAAGAGTGCCTCTAGTCTCTGGATGTACGCGTCATACACCGTCCGGTCCACCCAGGTGAACCACTGCACCGTGTCTAAGAGTTCCAATTCCAGTACGTTCAATTCCCCATTCAATACACCGCCAATACTTGCGTAGTACGCGTTGCTGTAGTACGCGTCGTCCCGCAGCTTCACGCTGAGCGTCATGGCGGTGATGTACAGCCGGTGGACGTTGCGCAGCGTGATCGGCACCCTGGTTCTCCCTACGTATCGATCCATCAAGACCATTGCTATAATGAAACACTCCTCACTGCAGATGGAGTACTTGGCGAAACGGCGGACGTAATCCCACAAGGAGATGCTTGGAACGCGACTGCTGTGAAAGCACGAGCGGAAGTTCTGATCCGCGTCTTGGTTCTTGTCACAGCGGAGCTGCAGGGCTAGCGCGCAGTACTGCGCCAAAAGCGGCATCTCCGGTGGGGCGACATCTACCGGGGCGGTGATGGCTGCCGGGGCGGGGCCGACGTCTAAAATGCTGTTCCCAAACGGGACCGCCACGCTGAAGTACGCCGGTGCGCTATCCGTGGCCGTCAAGCTTCTGCTCATTGGCGCAGCAGCCGCAACAGCGATATTGCCGCCGGTATTGTTCACCCAGTTGCCGGTGGTCATGCCGAACGACACCGGCACGGCCCCTGCCGCTGGCTCGCAGGCATCCTCTTGTGCGGCTGCACCGACGTGGTAGTCGGCGCCCTCGTCGACCGCGGTGCCGGTGTGCGCGTGATACCGCACCACCGTCTCATCGGTCATCACCGGAATAGAGATCATTGTTGTTACCGCTTCTTTCTTTTTATTAATAAACGTTAAACAGAAAGCGGTGCAGAGTCCTTACCTCTTCTCTTTTCTTTTGGAGGCGCAACACGAGTAATTTACGTGCAGTAGTTCTCGCGGAGCAGCAAATCGAGGCCTGAAACAAACAGCGAATACAAGAACAAGAAAGCAAAACTTTCAAAAGAATAAAAAATGAAAACAATGTTTCACTACGCCTTACTTGGGTCGTTCTTCCAGAAATATATATGGATGAATAGATGGAGAATAGAGTAGTTATTATCGATTGGGCTTCTTTTGTTTGTTTCTTTCCAGTTGTATGATCTCCTGAGCTCCTGGGGGAGGATAATGATACAAAATCCCTCACTTGAGACAAAAAAAAGCCGCTGCCTCCGAGACGAGAATATCAGAGCACCCTTAATATTCCTTTTGGTTGTTGGTTCGCTTCAACGAGGGCACTGGTAAAAAAAACAGACATACAAAGAAAAAATGGGAATGCATGCCACAGGGTCGAGTGAGTAACAAGGACGATGCCTGCCCCAATTGAACAGGGATGAATGCCACTGTCGTATACTTCCTCGTATTTGAAGCTTTTCCTGGCCGAGTCGATAGGCGGCGCCACTCCTGCGTCCCGCAGCAGAAACGAAGTAGTGAGCGCAAATAAACAAATGAAAAAGCCCTAGTGATTGAAATCTCCTCGAGTGACAAATGAAAACAATGTTGAGAAGAGCAAGGAGTACAACACGCCACTACAAAAAAAAAAGGTTCCACAGCACGCACTCGAGTCTCTGATAGGGAAAAGAAGCAAAGAAAAGGAAGACCTATATATATATATATATATGTGCGGAGAAGACACGCGGAGGTGCGGAAAAAAAAACGAGAAGATGTGTGTTTTCCGATGGAGCTGAGAAGGTGGCTGTTTATCTCCCACGCATAAGGAAAGAAAACGAAGTGACTGTGGGGGAATGCGTCGAGAACCACGTAGTGGCAACCAAAAGATACCTGTATAAAAGGCGGAGGTTCCTACCGGGATGTGCGCCGCTTCAGACGGAACGCGTCGCGGGGGAAACAGAGATGTGAGCGTGACTGTATCAGTGTTTTTCTTTCTTACTTCCTTTTTGAATACGCGTTGCGCACGATGACAGTGTTAGCCTTTGCCACGGCAGGTCCCAAGTTTTCTCTTTCTCGTTCTCTGCTGCCGTCGATGTGTCCTATTCCGTTCGACGCGCTAAGAAACAAATACCTTTGTTATTTTTCTTCAGAGTCCGCATTGGGCATTGGAGACCATCAATGGGCAAGAACGCAAGAACGAGGCGAGGAGACGTTCGCATCGATACACCAGATTAGAGGGAATGTTGAAGAAGGCGAAAGACGGATGAGAGAGAGAAACGTTGGCGCGAAAAGAAAGGGAGCGGCGTCGAGCCGCAGCATCGATCCGAAAAGACGGAGGGAAACATCGGTGCATAAGATGTGAGCAGCAACGATCAAGGCTCGTTTGCGCAACACCACCATCCTTGTATGTCTCCGGTAATTGGAGCTCAAACATACACGCACAACAGCAAGTAGGCAACTTCCTTCTTGTTGCGCCCGACGTTGCTGTGGCGGAAGAGTTGCTTTCAACGAAAATTGTTGTCCTTTGGACTCGACAACGTGCATCGGAGCTTCACAACGCGTGTCACTTTTTCCTGAAGAAAGCACTTTCAGTACGCATATAAATATATGGCTTAGAGCTGATCGTTGTGCGGTTATGTTGTTGTAGAGAGAAAATAACATCTCTCAAAGAGGGTCGGTTCGCATAGCGCACTACCTGCGCACAGAGAGGTGCATATGTGTTTTGTTTTGTTTTTTTTTTTTCAGGAAATTATACAGCAAACGAGAAAACCGAAAAGGAAACATAAATATGCTTATAGATATCACACCAAACGCGTGTTTACCGGTACGTCAACAGTCCTGCAAAGCTCATCCTCTTCCTCCTCTCATCACGCGATGAGACGACCCTCCCATGCGCGATGAAACCGGCGGCATTAAACGAGGATGGCGGGGAGGAAGAACACTTCAAATAAATCAACTCAAAAGTAACAATACAAAAAAGAAGAGTTGTGCTCTGAGAAACGGAAAAAAGAACTTACCGGCATTGGAGAAGGAAAAAATGGATTTGGTGCCTCAACTTCAACAACACTTTCCATTAGCTATACACTTTCGATTCTCCACTAAAGGTCGTCCGTTTCTTCTCCTCCGGTGAACGAACTGAGACCGGTGAGAAACTGCACAGGAACGAGATGGAAACACACACACACGAAACAAAGATTCACTTAGGCGCCGCGTCGAAGTGTCGGAGCACCGACGTAAAACAAAACACAACTGGAAACACTTTTTTTGCGTGGAAAATTGGTATGGGTTCCTCTGGCATCTTCACAGTGATTCTCCATCCATTGTTGTTGTTGCTTTTTTTGAGGGGGGGGGGGGGTAAGTTGCCATGGAAGCTCTAGGTGTGGGTGAGGTCTATTGTTGCTCCCTGTTGTCGACGCAGCTCCCGCCGCTTCTGCTTTGCATCACTACATTTCCTGCTTCGCACCTAAGAGTATACAAAGGAATATTTTTCTTTTTATCTTACAGCGTAGTGGAGGAAAAGTGAGCCAGGAGACACGGAAAAGGAAAACAAGGAGTCGGCAGCCGCCTTCCTACCCGTGACGGAGCAGCTTCGGTTTCACGTAGTACGCAGTTGTATGACGCTCGCCAGACAGCGAATCGGGAGCGACGTGGAGCGAGGGCGCGAACTTGTAGTTGCTGGTGTGTGAGTGTGTGTATGTGTATGTGTGTAGGTGTGTGTGCGCAGCCTTTCGACAAACATAGCTGACAAGAGGACAGGTTATCTCCACCGTTTTTTATACAAGGCTCCAGAGAGAGAGATACCTTTCTTCTCCGTTGCGTGTGAAGTAAAAGGCTTGAGCACCGACTGCAAGGAAATGAAAACTCAAACAGTTTCGAAAATCAGTAATAACGCCAATACGAACAGTAGTAATAATAATAATAATGGTAATCATAATAAATAGAGCTTAGCAGAGGGAATACGCATAGTTGTCCGTGTAAAAAAGAGAAATAAAAATAATGGGACTAACAGAACCCGTGAAGATGAACGGAGGCTTTACCAAGCTCCGATCACAGCTCTCCTCATCTCGTCCATATTCGCACACGCACATGAAAAGGCGCGAAAGGAGTGTCTGTACATGTCATCCCTTTGCAAGCTGTTCGTTTGAGAATCCACCAGCCCAAATGGCATCGTTGTGCGAAGATTGTCCTTCATGGAATTCACTTCGGTTGCGCAATCCGTGCCATATGAAATTAAAAAAAAAAAAAGAGAGAAAGGAAAGGCAGCACTTGGGTGGTAGCGCTTGTTCACCGGGTATAGAGGAAAAAATGTCAACATAAAAAGACAACGGGAAAACAGGAAGAGGCCATCCTGTGGCGTGCAAAGCGATTTAGTGCGAAACAAACAGGAAAGAGAGGGAACTACAACCTACGAGACAGAACATAGGAGTCTACGAGGGAGCCCAGCAAAAAAAATTAAGAACGAAAAACGAAAGGAGGGAAACGATGCCTAACGCAGTTTTTTTGTTGTTTTGTGTGGGTGCCTCTAAGAAACGCCTTGTTGAACATCCTGCGAAACCATTCTATTCTTATTTTTTTCATCGCTATCAGAAAATACAGGAAAGCAGAAAAGCAGAAAAGATTCGTGCGAATGCGTAGAAAGCAGAAACAAGAGCGTCCTTCGCATCGAATACGGCACAATAGTCAAGAGAAACAAAACACTAATGTGTCTGCAGAGAGAAAGAGAAAGATGCCGTACCGCTTTACCGTCGGACATACGGCCGCACACAAAGAAAAGGTAGAAGATTATACACGAAAACAACGGGCACGATGAAATAAGTAACACAAGAGTATGATACAAGAGCAGAGGTCACAACTTCAAAACGTGGAAAGACAGGTGTATAAGTGATGCGTGGGAGTGAGCTATTCAGAGAAAACCAAAAAAGGAAAAAAAAATACGAGAAAGAAGGCAAAAGATAATCACACTTAGATAAAACGGAAGAATAAGCAAAACACAGTCGGAAAAAAAAGGTACACCAACATCCGTAAGAAGAAAGAGAGCACCTTAACGAAACATAAGACGCAATTCAACGCCCGTGGCACTCACATAAACACGCAAACGCGTCTAATTCATACGTACAATGACGATCCAGCAGAAAGCGAAACCGCATCAAAGGGCTGACTGAGTCGGAGCGAGCGTAACGAAAGAAATAAAAGAATACGACGGTATTCGGGCACCTAATGAGCTCGCTCCCTCTTCATTCTCGAATGGCGTGCTTCCTTTGGTTCAGCCCAAGACGTCATGCAAGCACAACACGCGTCTTTTGTCTGCAGCATTACAAGCATCCCCATCATAACGTGCAGACGAAAGGTCGACGACGGCGTGGAAAAAAAGGGGAGGGAAGGCATCAACGCGCGGAGAGAATAGAAAGGGAAAATAAAGCGTTGTGATCGCAAACCCCTTCGAAGGAGTTGCTTGAAAATACAGAAAAGACAGGCTTAGAGGGCAACCTAAGAGTACAAAACAATAGCGGAAAACAATTAGAGCGGCAACGACGACAGGGGATCAAAGTAAAAGAAACAAGAAGAAAGACAGCCCTTCCACTAAAAACAATACGTCTCACTAAAAGAAAAACCCAAAACTCTATCTACATCGTACCTCAGCGGAATCAACTGAGTCGCAACAGCCAAAAAAAAAAAGTGAAAAGGAAAAAGAGAGAGGAAACCGCTGTGGCGTATAGCAGCAAAAATGCAGCTTTAACGTTAGCAGATTCTTGTTTGTTTATTGAAGAGAAGTTTATGAATGTTTCGGTTTGGGAGGGCGAGCGTCTTAACAAGCTGTAGTAACTCAAAAAGATCGCTTTAAAAAAAAAAAGGTTCGTAGAAACGGTAGCTGACAACGTAGCATGCAGCTAACTCTATGTACCATGCGTTGGAGCCTAAATAAGGAAGGAGAAGGACAGTAACTCTTGCGCCGTTGGACGATTTTCGGGAACCTCCGCGCAAGCGGCGAGGGCCAATTCACGCATATCGTGATCGAGGTTATCGGGGATGTCAACCACAATGACGCCGGCGATGAGGCATTGGACAAACTCGTGGTCGGAGCGCAGAGGCAGTGCGTCTTGTCTCTGTAAATCCGCCCACCGCCACGGCAGCCGGCCCAGCACCATCTCCAGGAATGAGATGCCCAACGAGTAAATATCGGAGGCTGAGGTCAGTGGTAAGTTCCGTGCACCCTCCGGTGAGATGTACACCGCTGTCCCGCGCAGCAGGCGGTCCTCGTTCACACAGGCTGCCTCGGTCAGCTTGTCCGAGGCGGATCCGAAGTCGGAAAGCTTGCACACCCCGTCGACGCCGAGTAGAATGTTGTGCGGCTTCACGTCGCCGTGCGTCGTCGACTCATGCAGGTAGGCCAGCCCGTTCACGATGTCCAGCATGAAGCGGCGCACCACCGTACGCGGCAGCTTGCCGAAGTTCTCGATGATGTCGTGCAGCGAACCGCCTGGCATGTACTCCATAATGATGGCGAGATACGACTGCGTGACACAGCAGGAGATGTAAGGGACGATGTTCGGGTGGCGCAGCTTGGCGCACGTGCACACCTCCGACACCATCTCCTCCTCCTTGATGCCGCGGTGAAGTCGGGGAATGCGCTTGATGGCGACCTGAACTCCATCATCGGACATGCCGAGGTAGACGGCGCTGAAGGCACCACTGCCGACCGGAAAGAGGGAGACCTGCCACTCGTGTTGGTTCACGTCGCGCAGCACCTGCGGTTCATCGGCGGAGCTGGGCACCGCAGCGCCAATTGCCTCGGCCGAGGCCACCGACGAGTCGAAGACAAAGGCGTCCGTCAGGAACGACATGGCGTCCACCTGGTCCTGCAGGTGGGAGCTGGTGCCGAGATGCGAGCCGCCCGTGACGTGCCAAGCTGCGTGGTTACTGCCGGGAATGCTGGAGGTGACGCCACCACCCGTCATATTAGCGTTCTTGGGCAACAAGGGCGGCAGTCCGAGTCCGTGTGGTCCACCGACCTCGGCCGGCGGCCGCGGCCCCATCGCCTTGTCCACCTCCTTCTCCGTCAGCCGCGACGGCTCCATCGCCTCCCCGCCGGAGGTGTTCGCCGACGCGGCGACGACGGCAGCTGCGGCAACAGCGCTGGTGGTGTTTGTTTTGGTGTTGGTGACGGTGTGGCGCGCGAGAGGTGTGGGGGCGTCGCCCAGCAGTTGGGCACGCTGCGACGGGGTGAGGATCGACGTGGGATGGAGAAAGCTCTTCGAGAAGATGGGGACATCGACAAGAGGGTCGCGCCGCACGCCCGCCTCCTCGCCGTTGGGGGCAGTGGACGTGGGCGTCATGTCCGCGAACACCGGCGGCTCGCCGATGGCGACGTCGGCGCTTCTGCTCCCCGCCGCGTCGAGAGCGTACACGTCTTGGATGAGGTGGATGTACTTGCTGGTGTCACCCGTCGATGCGCGGTCGAGGCAGATCTGGCGCAGCCGCTTCAGTTGCACGTTGTCGCTGTGAACGGAGTCAAAGATCTGCAACGCCTCCTTGTACTCGCCCTTGCACATCTTGGAGAGGCCGTCACCCATCTTCTTTGGCATGTTCACGTTGTCCACCAGCAGCGCATTCGGCTCGCGCAGCTCGCACAGGGTCACCTGCGACACCTCGTCCGGAAAGCGCACGCAGTCGATGCGGTACCACGGGATCTGCGAGCTGCTGGTCGCGAAGTGTGAGAGCGTGTCCGTCGTGGAGGCAACGTGGCAGCCGATGTCCCACAGCACCTTCGAAATGTCAAGCATCTTCTGCGTGTCGAACACGACGCGGGCCTTGCTATGTTTGGCGCCACAGGTGCCGACCAGAAACGGCATGCGGACGGCGAAGCAGACGATGTGGTTGCGCAGCTGATCCGGCACCGCGCTGTACACCTCCAGCGCAAAGTTGCAGATCTTCGACACCACGAGCGGGTTCTGCGACTGCGTACCGAAGTTAAGGAAGAAGCTACTGGTGCTGACGGACTCGATGAAGCCCGTGTGCTCCTCGGCGCGCTGCGAGATGATGTCCATGACCAGGCGCGCCTCGGACGTGTCCATGGCACGGTGCACGTCCACTAGCACCATCGCCACATCCACCCGCGAGAACTCGTTCGTGTTGTCCTTGACGATGTTCGCGTTGAAGCGGGTGCGGACACGGCGTGTTTTGCCGTCGCCGAAGTCGATGTCGCTGCGCGAGCCATCCGATGTTGCCTGCGTCATGACGGCCGCCGGTACAAAGGTGCGCATCTCGCGCAGACTCTTCTCCACCCGCACGAAGGCCTGGTGAATGCCGCGGATTTCGGTGATGCACGCCAGCCAGCCGTGCACGCTGTTGTCCTTCTCGTCGCGACGAGACACCTCCAGGTTGGACGCGCGGATGAGCTGCGGGATGAGCCGCTTCATCTCCCGCACGACGAACCACGCAATGACGACGGCTACAACGGCGGCAATGGCGACCACCACCACCGTCACAGCAATAACCGCCGTGCGGGCAGTGGAGAAGGCCTTCTCAAAGTCCGCACGCACCACGACGACGCCCAGGATCAAGTCTAGGCCGTACGAGTCCGAAACGCGGGTCAGGTTGAGCGAAGCCTCCGCCCCCTCAAAGCTGAAGGGCACCAACTTTGTGCCGCCCGTCAGTATCGCCGCCAAGCCACCGGAGGCGTTCACCTGCCGCATGGCTGCCTGAATGATACCCTCGTTGATTTCGTAAACTTTGGTAGGGATGAACGTCGTCTTGTTCGTCACGGGGTCCGTCGACACGGTCTGCAGGCTTTGGTTCCAGCTGTTACCGACGAGGATATTACGTGTGTTGTCGATGAGAAAAATACGTCCGTGCTCGCGCAGAAAGGGAACGAGGGTGGTCGTCTCGCCAATGACCGTGTCCGAGCTCGAGCCCGCCTCGCAGTAGCCGAGATTGCTATCGACGCTGAAGGGCATCACAAAGTTGAAGTAGGTCGACGTCTCGTTATCGGAAGCGAGCAGCCAGCGCGTGTGGTTCGTCGTGTTCTTCGCCCACGGCTTCACAATCTGCTCCATCGGCCCAGCCGCCATGGTCACCTCGCGCGCGAAGTCAAAGTCGCGAAGCTTGTTGTGGCCACCAGGCCCGTCGACGAAGGACACGTTGCCCTCGTAAACCTCATTCAGCGGCACCGTGGTGGGGGTGTCCGTGTAGCCGCCGAAGACCTGCGTGTATTCCTCCGTGTAGCCGGCGTTTGTGTAGAGGTCTCCCTCGTAGATGAAGCGGATGTAAAAGATGGACTGGTTGAAGCGGGTCAGCACCGTGAGCAGCGACGTCAGCAGTTGCTCTGGAGTGGAGGGCAGGTTGGTCTCGTTCAGCGTGGTGATCTGCGTCTTGATGTAGTTGAAGGTGACGATGTGCACAAAGGCGGGCAGCATTGCCAGACTGTTCTCCGTGATGGAAGCGACGCCCTTCATGGCCTCACTCAGAAGATAACCGGTGGTGAGGGAGTTCGACCGCACACCGACAAAGTAGAAGGGCAGGAAACCGAGAAGGCCCACCACGACAGCGCCGACACACATAATGAAGGCGACGGCGGGAAGGCTGGAGAAGGTAAAGCACACGTGTGGCTCACGGTCCTCCCTCTTGGAAGGCTCGTCGTCGGAGTCGAGAGAATGCACGTCGATTAAACTGAGCCGCTTGCCGTCATCGGGGCCCTCCTCGAGCTCCGCCATGAGCACTTGGGCAGCGCCATCGCCACCCAGCGGGAAGGCAGTGTCGGTGGGGTTGACGATCTCCTCGCTCGACTTGCGGTCAGAGGTGGGTGGCATGGCGAGCACCTCCGATGCAACGCCCGCGTGCTCCAAATCGGAGCTGGACGTGCTGCTGAAGCGGCCCAGATGACTGACGCTGCTCCTCTTCAGTGGATTGCGCACCATCCGCCTGCGGTCGTCCGCGAAGTCGTCAGACTCAGAGTCGTCGTCGTCCTTCAACTTCTTCAGCGACTTAGAGAGACTAACGCTGTCCGGCGCATTGCTCGAGTTCAACTCTGACTGGATGTACGTCGGCAGCGTTGCCTCGCGGATCGCCGTCGACGACGCACCGTGAGACAAGAAGGTGTTGGGGGAATGGTTGGGGAGCAGGTTCGTCAGGGACCGGTCGGTGCCTGGCGAAGGAGAATTTAACGGCCGCGTACGGTTTGGCGTGGAGGAGCTGCCGTGGTGGTCTTCGGTGCGCAGCACGCGCACGACGGAGTGCGGCCGCTGCTCCCGTGCAAAGCCTGGGGAGACGGGGTCGCACCAGACATTCCTTCCGGCTACCCGGCGGGTCCTCGCGCGCGGCGTGGTCGTTTGACGGTTGTTAGACGGCGACACGGCGGCGCGCTCCTCTGCCATCTCCCCCGGCACCGTTGCAGGTGTTGAGGTACCGGACGCGTCGTGCACCCCGCTGGAGGTGGCGGCGGTGTTAGAGACGCCCTCGTTAGAATGTGAGGTGACGCCGTTATCACCGCTGCCGCTGCTCGAGTTGCAGGGCTGCCTGCTGTCGATGATGATATCCGGCCTACAATTTCGGCGGTTTGGCATTTTTATCTAACGTCCGATAATCCTGTTTGTGATGTTCGTCCTCGAGCTGATACGCTTCTACAGCACCCTGGAGAGAATGGATATGCCGGTGCGGTGAAGAACGCTGGAGAATATGAACGGAAATATATGTGTGTTTATTTGTGTCGTTGTTGCTGGCGAACGCGACTTATTTTTACCTTTTCTTTAATAGATCGGAAACATCAACGACAATAATAATACTGAGGACAAAATCTGTCGACGGTGTGTGTGGAAACAAAAGAGCGCTGCTTGACGCTTTATTCAAAGTAAAAGATATCAAACAAGTAAAAACAAATGAATAAATAAAACAGATCAGGAAAAAAAAACTTTTTAAAGAAGGTGGAATTCGAAGACTTAAGTCACCGGTGTCACCGAGGTGTGCTTCAACACTCACAGCAGCAGCAGCAGCAGCAGCAGCAGCAGCAAAGAACAAACAAAAAACCTTCAGCGAGGCACACACGCACACAGTGGCACACAGATTCTACGTAGAAACAGTTCGTGAAAGGAAAAAAAAAGCAAGGTTCCCTTTCCAGTCAGCGATGAAGTTATGAACTGTATGACAATAAAGACGACAAAGAGTGCGCAAACAATAATGAGGCTGTAACGCTGCTCTCTTCGGGGTTGACGGAGAGAGAAAAAGTTGCAGAACGTTTTTTTTTGGGGGGGTCCCTTTGCGAGACAAAGAAATTCGAACTGGGAGGGACAAAAAAATTGAAAACAGAGTTTTTTTTTTCGTGGTTTGATTCGTTGGCTCGTTGTTGTCAGTGAAGAGAGGAGAAAGAGTATGAATCACTGCAACTGCGAAACACGAAGAGCAGGGGGAAAGGAAAGGTGGCACAAGTAACAGAGGCGCAACGAAACCATGCTCGTCTTTCTGCGTGTCCTCGTTCTTTCTTCTGTTGACACCCGCAATCCACCCTTGTGCCCGCGTTTACAGTGAGGTTCAGAATATGTGGGTTTCTTCTTTTTTACAACGTACGCGTACGCTACCTATTTAGCGTGAGACCGTAAACGCGGCGTAAACCCAGAGAGATCTGTGGGTGCCAAGTGTAATACCGAACGAGGGCGGAAGAAGGAAGAAGACAAAAGAGAAAGGAGAAAAGAGGAAATATGTATATTATGGGGAAAGCAGCTCAGAAGCAAAACACCAGCAGGGAAGAGACAAGAGAAAAGGGGAAGAAAGAGCACTGCTTAGACGAATTTTTGCTCAACAGAAAACGTCGCTGCAGCAATAAAAATACGATGCGCGAGTGGGAAAAAAACAAAAGACTAAAACGACGGAGAGACAGAGAAACAATCTGCCGAAAACGGATATCAATAAATAATTATATACAGCGAGCGAGAGAGAGAAAAATAAGAAATTGTGAAGAAGAAATGAAAACGAACACGTAAAGAAAAATAAACAGCGGGGAAAAATCGTAGAGCTGATCCCGAGACAACAGAGCGTTGCGGCTATTCCGCAGACCCACCCCTTTCTTCTTTCTTCGTCTGGCGGGGTGCTTATGCGTGACAGTTGCTGAACAAAACGCGGCACCAGTTTTCTTTCCTGGCGCAGACACAAACAAGAAAGCTGAGTGTATGTCGCGTGTAGCTGCACGAACAAAAGAGATGTCACGAATCAGTGCTTGACACAATACGATCAAGCAGACAGGAGTGAGGCGTGATGCACCTTCTTGTTGCTTATATATGTATGTATTTGTACAGAGTGTCCGCAACTATTCCGCTGCTGTTGTTGCCCAGCTTAAATGCGTAGTCGTCGCGAATTAGCAGAAAAAGATGAGCACCAAAATAAAAGGTCTCTTTTATCTAAGAAACGCTCCTGCATCAAAATGAAGAAGAGAGAGGATAGGAAAACGAGAAGAGCAAGAAGGGAATGATCAGCAGCATCGAGACAGCAGCGGAACACATAAACAAAAAAAAAAACTCTTTAACGCTGCAAACGAGGAGCGTTACGACGCGTAACAATTCGGATTGGTGGAAGTGTTTTCATACACATGCATGCTTTGCAGGCACTTCTCGCATCGTGTCGATGCATTGGAAGGATAGCTTCTGCTTTCCAAACGATGGCTTTTGCCACCTGCTGTGAAGACGTGCTTTTTGAACCGATGAGACGGGAAACATTTTATGTAGCTCGTTAACAAAATGAGCTGCGATGAGCAGACACCAACGTAACGTGGTGGAAAAGGCGTGAACACACACGCCAGGAAGAAACAAACAAAAATAGCAGAAAACGACTAACAGCAGATAGGTATCAACATCATTTTTTCTGAAAGAACGATGCCCATCGAATGTATCCGAAGGGGACCTCATGAGCTTTGTGGGAAAACGGAATAGCTGCAAGGGACAACAACGCGTTCTTCTTGCGTGCGTTGTGATGAAGGTGGGCCCACTGCTCACCCAACCGATCTACCGCCGACACGTCACACGGCATTAGATCCTTCGTTAGCGAGAAAGGCAGCCGGTGGCAGCGCAGGGGTCGCTGGGTAATGCTGAAGATTTGCGCCATAAAAAACGACGCAGATGTTTCTACCCGATGCGGTGAAAGGGGAAGCGACAGGAGCGTCACCTGACTCACACGGCGGTGACCCGTCAAAGTGAGCTGCCACGCCATGTTGCGCAGCGGGTAGGGCGGACGTGAGACGCGTGGGTGCGCTTCGTACCAGCTCTCCTGCTCCTGCACGGTCAGCACGCACGTGGTGGGGTACTTCACGGGAATGGTGTCAACCCTCGTGGGCAGCAGGTGCACAAGCATGCCCTCTGACGACGCCTCGGTGAAGGCAGAAGGGGGTGAAGAAGTAGAAGGGCCACTGCTGCTTTGGGTACGATGGATGCTGCGGTCGCCAGAAGCCGGAGACGAGACGCGGACGACGGGGTACACGTCTTGCTCCCGCAGCGTGACGTACGAGGGTAGCGCCGTGTAGGCAGCGGCGAGGTGGCGGGAGGGCGCGTTGTTGGCGTGCAGACGGCGGCGCCAGCGGTAGAAGCGAAGAAAGGCGGCGTGCCGCTGCTGCTGTGCGCGCCATAGACGCTGCTCCTCCTTCGTTGGATGCGACGCCCACGGCAAAAACAGCTTCGGCGAAGGCGGCTTGAAATCCACAATGGTGCCACACTGCCCGTTGTCGAGGAAAACCGTTTGCCCTTCCCAAAGGTACATGCCGGCCTCCTCCGGCACCATGGCCGCCTGCCACACATCGAGGCTCGTGTAGGGAGAAGGAAAAAGGGGACTGTGCAGGCCACGCTCGAGGTTTTGAGAAAGTGTGGCGTCCTCCGCCAGCATGCGGTCGAGCGCTGGAAAGAAAGCTCTTAGCCGGGAAGGACGCGTGGCAGGGTCCATGTCGTAACGCACGTCATGGCGCTGCCGCTGCTCTTGGCGCCACTCCTCCAACAAACTAGACACCCGTTTTTGCAGAGCAGTGGACGAGACAGGGAGTCCGTTTGCTGTTGTCGGTCCTTCACCTGTTCCTGACCCTGCCGCCGTCTCTGTACTGCCACCACGGAAGTTGTGCGAAAAGCTCGCCGAGTCCTTCTCATACATGCAAGGTGGGGCGACGGCTGTCGGCCAGCGTCGGTGATCCTCCTGCCACACGAGAACCCAACCGAAGGAACGCAAGCGTGCTAAGAGCGACGTTACCGAATGCACAAGACTGAGATCATACGGCAACCAAGGGGTGGCGGGCGGCGCAGAAGCTACAGTCGCGGTGGGGAACGACGCTCCGTGAGATGCGCCGACCTTTGTGACGGGCGTGATGGTGAGTCCTGTGTTGGGGCTCACATGTGAGCCATTGGTTGACGAGTTGAACTGAGATTCGACGCTTGCACCGTCTGCAACAGCAGCTCCTCCTCTTTCATAACTGTGTGCCGCGTATGTAAAGGGAGGAGCGAAAAACTCGTACGTCATGGTGAACGCAACGCGGGGGTGGCGGTGGCCTTCGCGTGCGTCGAGCAGCGGCCACGACATGACACCTCGACCCTTCCCAAAGTCCGACAGGAGGCGCATGACGGCCTTCAAAAGAGCCGTCGTCACGGCGCGGTTTGGCAGCGGCGTGGCCACAAAAGCCTCCGTCGCCTTAACAAGTCGCAACGACGCATCGTAGCGCCTTCGCTGGGATACGCCAGCGTGTTGATTTGGCGGATGGCGCTGCAGCCAACTCGCCCAGCTTTCCCACTCCCGGCCCCTCGCGCAGTCCGGCATAAATTCGAGCACGAAAATGTCAGCGAGGCAGCCGTCCAACGTGAGCGGCGGACCGCCGTCTGCCACAAAAGGTGCGTAGTAGCGCGGCGTCGGGTGCAGGAGGTCGGCAGCGGCGTCGTTCCTCACGTTCTGGCATACACCTGCAGCTGCGTTCATGAGGCGTAAAGTGGCGGCGTTGATCGCATTTCGCCGCACCGCCCGCTTCAATTCTGCATCCTGCGCGGCTGCATCGCTTACGAGGATGTACGGGAAGATAGGTGCGGCGGCAGCAGCAGCGGTGTGAGGCGGCGAGGACATCGGGAGAGCCGCTGGTACGTGAGCGGGTCCTTGTGGTCTTCCACAAGGCAAGAGCCATTGCCAGCTCGGAAAAAGCACGGCCGTGTGAACGGCAAGAGCACGCTTTCTTCTTCTCACTTGATCGACTTTGCTGGCGCTGCGCGCCAAACAACACCAATACACGCTGGATGTCAGTTCCTTTACAGTGCGGAAGATACCCTTCAAGATTGACCCGCGAAAAGAAAAGCTTGTCTCCATATCACGTCGGCACGAAAGGCACGGTAAGCGCACGCCGGAAAGGTCACTCGTGTTTAATTCGTGTAAGTCGTCGTGGACGTAACGGCCTGTTGGCTGCACGGACGTCGCGTTCGCCCCGACTGACACGCCCCCCGTCTCCGTCACTCCACGTAACTTTTGCTGTAAAGGAGTGTTTCGAGCCACCCGAAGCAACGAATAAGCAAGCCTCGACGCACTCGTGAATTCTCTCCAGTAGACGGAGCTGGGGCCGCACGAACCGCTCGAGGACACCGAGTCTCCCTTTCCCCGACGCATTCTCGATGTTGCACTCGCACGCGCGCCCATTTCCAGCCAGTCGCTGGCAAATTCGGTGTTCACAAAGAGCACCAATGTGGCTGTCTCGTACCTCAATGAGCCGCACAGGACGGTGCGCCACTCCCTCAGTACGTTGTGCAGATCAGATGGGTGAACACCGAGCCACAGAGGCACCACCCAGTGCACACTCTCTTCCCCGTCGTGCACTGCGCTACCCTCAATACTGGTGGGGCCCTCATCATTCGCCCACTGCGATGTGGGACCTGTCAACGTGGACGGCAGCTCGGTCGCCTCACCGTTACCAGAAAGAGAGGACCGTTTACCAGCGCCAAAAGGATCTTTGCTCTGCAGATAGTGGAGAAACTTCGCCGTGAACGCCTGTGTGCTTGTGCGCCGGCTCTCGTCCGCTGCCGTCGCAGTCGACGGACCTGCTGGCCTCACGGTCTCGTCAGGTGCGTCGTACTCCGTCGCCGTCTCCGGGGCAGCGGAGGGATGCTCTCCGCTGTGATGCAACGCTGGCAGCACGTCCACAAACGTCTCCCCATCGGCGCAGTCCTGCGGGGTGTGAAAGGCACCTTCGTGTGTTACGAGTCGCACCACGGAGGGGCGGAACGTCGCATCGTTTTCCTCCGCTGTTGTTTTCGATTCTGTCGCTTCCGTATCGCGGACGTTACCGCCGTGCGGAGAGTACGCATGAAGCGCCACGATAGGGAGAATGCGGTACAGCAGTGCCACAGAAGAGGAGGAGTCGCCGTGCACTACTATCACTGGGTACTGCCGAGGGTCCGCCAGCAATCGCGAGAGGTCGACCGCGAGGTGAGAAATGTACTCTGCAAAAGATTCTGTGTTCTGCTCTGAAGTAAAGTTTGATTTGCTTCGAGTGCCTTTGTCCGCCATCCAGCGGATGAGACGGCGAGTTGGGGGGGAGGGGGTTAAAGAGCTGAAATAGGAGTTCCCGTGCGCTCGTGGAAAGTGTGTTTTGTCCCCTTCTTCTCTTCTCTGAAAACACGTGTTGTTTGATCAAACACGGGTCACAACTGACTGGCGCTGCTACAGCATTTTTGGCTTTTTGTGGTTGTTAAAACGGGAAGGGGAGGGAGGGAGAGTGAAGCCAGACGACGTGGAAGAGAAGACGCGAATACAGAGGCTTTTCGGCGTGGCCACCGACTTCACCAGCTACTCTCGCAACGGCGAATGGGCAAGAAGTGCTCCTGTCATTGGCCCCTCGCCATCCAAACAGCAGCTTCGTCTTCCGAGCAAAGCAAAGAAACGCACCAACTGACGATTTTCCGTTCCCAGTTCATCTGCGTCCTCACGTCTCCACGTGACGAAGCAAGTTTTGTGTCTGCTTTCCTGTACACCACACCGTCGTTGCTTCCCACTTCGATGGATTGGAGCGGCAATTTAGCCGGCTCGATAGTACTCGTAGAAAGCAAAAAAAAAAAGAGAGAAGTCTACATCTGCACCATCCAGGTTCGTCTCCTCCACATTCAGCCGATTCTCGCCAAACCGCGACAGAGAAGAGCGAAGAAAAAACAAGGAAAAAAACGAAGCGGTGTGGCAGAGCGCTTCCATTTATCCACTTTTTCCCTCTTTGACAGAAGCTAGCGTTTCCGCTGACTAAAGAACCTCCTCCCGCTCTGCCCTCCCCGACAGAAGCCCCACACAACACATCCACGCGCACTGAGAGACACACAAGAGAAAAACACCGCAGTCAAAGAACAAAGCGAAAGGAAAGAAGCTCCGTAACGGTCGCTCGCTCCGCGGGTGAGGTGCAGCAGCACGCCTGCGCGAATTCCTGCGCTGCTTTGGACAGCTGCCTCGAGATGAAGGGTTTGATCTCGCCTCGGCCGACGGCCTGGACAAAGGCTACTTCTCGCATCTTCACCCATTCGCCGCTTCGCGCGTGCGACTGCGGATCGGTCCAACGCCAAGGCAGCCGGCCCATCAACATCTCCAGAAAGCAAATACCCAGCGAGTAAATGTCCGACGCGGCGGTGGGCTGCCAGCCGGAGGCGACCTCAGGCGAAGTGTACACCGCCGTCCCACGAAACTCAAGCATGCCGTTCGACCGAGCCAGGTCGGTCGCCTCGCTCACCGTGGAGCCGAAGTCGGACAGCTTGCAGACACCATCTGCACCGAGCAGTATGTTGTGCGGCTTCACGTCGCCGTGTGTGATGCCGCCGCGATGCAGGTATGCGAGGCCGTGCAAAATGTCCACCATGTACCGCCGCACCAACGACTCGGGCAGGGCTCCGAAGTTGTCGATGGTGTCCCGCAGACTGCCGCCTGGCGCGTACTCCATGACGATGCCGATGTGTGCCGCCGTCCAGACGTACGAGATGTACTTCACAATGTTGAGGTGCTTCAGCTTCGCCATCACCATAATCTCGTTGTACAGACGCGCCTCCGGGATTCGGCGGTTTTTCTTGGGAAGAAACTTGATGGCCGCCTGCACCCCGTCGTCGGCGATCGCGTGGTACACCGTGCTGGCGGGTCCTGTGTGATCTGCCTTCAACGCGCGGTTCCACTTCTCGCCGTTGCTGTCTAACAGGCAGAGCAGGATCGAATCTGCCGCTGCCGCCGCCGAGGCTGTACCGCGCGTTGCCACCACCTCAGCGTCGTCGGTATCCGAGGCGGATTGGAAGTCAACCCACTCAATCAACGCACTCTCCCGCTCGTCGGCGCTTGGCGCGTTGCTCTGACTCGACTCCGCCGCCGCCTCGTACCCCAACGGTCGACCGAGCCTGTCGAGCGATTGCACGGTGAGGGACGACGCCAGCGTCAGCGAGGTGGACGAGACCGTGTCGTTGTTGCTGTTCGCGGCCACGTTGACGGAGCTGGCACCACGGCGGTCGCTTCTCAAACCTGTCCAAATCTCTCGGTAGTCGTGCGCGCTGCCCTTCACCTCGCTGTGCACCGCCTGCGTGACCGGCCCGAGGGCGAAGAAGCCGCCGACCTGGGTCTGCATCCACATGCGCTCTGCGAAAAGCTGCAGGTTGGCGCCCTTGCGCAGGTGCACCAATCGAGAGAGAATGCGGAACTTGAGAAAATGCGAGTAGTACATGTAGGGTTCCTTGTTGCCCTCGCGAATGTTCTGCATGCAGAGCAGCCGCAGCCGCTGCGCCGTCACATCAGAAGCGTCGACGCGGGCGAAGGACTTCAACGCGTTGGCGTAATCGCCCAGGCGCATCTGCTGAAACCCACTGCGGAACAGCCCCGCCGTTCGCTGCATCTCCGCAATGTTGCCCGTACTCGCGTCACGCAGCTCGTAGAGGGTGTAAGGGGCAGCGTGGAAAGGGACCGTGATGACGTCGAAGGGCACTGTCTCGTGGTACTCCAGGTGCTTCGCCGTGTTCTGCGTCACAACGATCGGATGATAGTGCTTCTCCCGCATGAGTCTGTCGATGCAGCGAACAGGCATAACGTCGAACACCACGCGACTCTTAAATCCGTTTTTCATGCCGCACGTGCCGACGTAGTAGTTGTTCGTGTCAATCAACGTGTTGTGCTTCTCCGTCGCCGACCGCGGCAGGCGTTTTCGAATCGCCAACGCAAACTCGCACCCGAGTTTGGCGTGCATGGGCAGGGAAGTGTGGGCGTTGAAAACGGCAACGACGTAATCAGGCCGCAGCGACTGTATACATCCTTTGCACTCTATCGCCGCGTCGTACACCACGTCAAAGAATCGGTCGAGCGTGGCCTCATCCACGCCGACGGTGTAGTACCGGCAAATCCACACGAGAGTGCAGTACTGCTTGCGAAAGACGTTCACTTTTTCGTTAAAAACTTTTGTGTTGAGCACGACGTTCTGCTGCCAGCTGCGGGAGAATCGAACGGAGAGGAGGTCGATCTTCTCCCCGCCGGCGAAGTTGCCGGAGCTCAAGTAGACGTTCGAGTCGCAGAGGCTGTCGCTGCCGCTGCTCTCACCGTTCTCGTCGTGCGCGGTGGACACCGAATCGCCTGTGTGTGCCGACTTGCGACGCTTCCTCGCGATCGCTACCTCGCCGTCGGAGATGCCTGCAATGTTGTTTTCCGTGATCAGCAGCGAGCCCGGTAGTATCGTCTTGAGGGTCATGAGCTGTTGTTGCACATGCGCGTACGTTTCCTCGACGTCTTCCACCTCAACAATGCGAGAATGCGGCGAGCAACACGAGCCAAACTCGGTGGTGAACTGTAGCTTGGAGGAGGCGCGCAGGGCAACGGTGAGGTGCTGAACGGCGTCGCGCAAGTAGACCGCCACAACGTACGAAACAACAGCGGTGGCGATCACGGCGGCGAACATCGTGTAGGTCAGCGAGCTCAGCGTTTGGTTGATGTTCGTAAAAAAATCGCGCTGTATGATGACGGAGAGGAACATCAAGTCAAGTCCGGGCGACGCACGAATGGGTGACACGCGAAGAACAGCCATCTTGCCGTTGTAACGAAAAACGAGCTGCTCGTCTTGCATTTTGGTGATCCGCTCCGCCACGCCTTGATGGTTTTTCCGCTTCTCTAAAGCGTTCACTGCCGCCTTCATGAGCGGATGGTCGATGTTCGCCACGCTAAAGGGGTCGTGTGCGTCGTCGAGGCCCTCCACTCCACGAAAAGACTGGTTCCACGAGTTGGCTACCACAAGATCGCGCGATAGGTCAACCAGCATGTAACACCCATGTTCACGAACGGCGTAGCGGAAGTGGTCACGCACCATGTTTGCAATGTACGAGCTGCGCAGCCCTCCTTCTACAAAAGTGCCTCGAATGCCGGCCTTCGATGACGGTGGAAGCGGCACCATCAAACTAAAGTACGTAAATCGCCGTGTGTAGTTCCATGGCTTCCACACCTCCGTCGTCGCCGCGGACGCGCTCATCCCACCCGGATTCGTCTCCACATACGGGTCCTGTGCGCTGCACCAGCGGGTTGAAATGTAGTCTTTGATGGATATGCCCGTATCCATCACAACCGTATAGGGTACCTTCGTAAGGTGCGTCTCGTCGTCTACGGCGTACAGCACCGCCGTCTCATTGGCGGTTGCCACTGCAGACGCAAGCGTGGTGTTGCTGTGCAAGGCAGAAACACCCACAAGCCGCTCCCGCCCAGGTGTGGCGTGCACCCCGGTCATGAAGGTGAGAAAGTCCCGGTAACGCACTTGTCTCATCACATTGGCGAGGAAGAAGACGACCTCCTCGTCGCGCTCCGCCGTGTGCGGTGCGGCGCCCTCCAGCGTCGACATGTAGGCCGCCACAACAAAATGAATTATGTTGGGCAGCCGACTCATCGTCATGGAGGTGGAGGCCACGATACTCGCCACGGCCTGCGCCTGGGCGAGCTGCACCGCCACGGTGATGTCACGAGACCCGATAAGGAACATTGGGAGAAAGCCAAAGAGACCAACCAGGCAGACACCGAAGCACAACACAAGAACCAGCAAAGTCACCGTGCTCACCTGCAGCCCTTGCCGCTTCTGCAGATGCCACAGGTCCTCGCGTAGAGAAGCGCCACTGCCACTTCCGTCGCCTGCGGGGAGAAGAGTTTCTCCCGCAGCGGACAGCGACGCACACCAGGCACCGTTGGAGCCCGTAAAGGACAAGGGCGGCGTGAAGTCGGGCAGGCGAAGTTGAGGAGAGAACTGCTGCCAGTTTGGCCACCCATGCACCGCCTCGTCCTCCACTGTAATCTCCACCAATGGCGGGTGGGCGGGGGAGCGCTCTAACTTCCGCCGCAGCCGTCGCCCCTCTATTTCTGAAGGATCGGGATACATATACACGTTACCTATACTTTGTGTGTGTGTGTGTGTGTGTGTGTGTTGGGTGTCAACGGAGCTTGGCACTAGTTGGGGGTCTTTATTTGAGTCTATTGAGAACATACATTTAATTTTAGAAAAATGAGAAAAAAAACTATACATGAAAGGATTCGATGATCGCTCCTCTCCGCGGTGGTCCAGCTGCGCTTTGCGCCCAGCCGCTCGGAAATGGCAGAGGTAGACGAACAGAGTACGGAGCCACGTTAGTGCTGTACGATGACCGGTGTGGCTTTTGTTTTTGGGTCGCACAGGCCACACCGGGGAGCAAAGTAATAAAGGAAAAGGAAGACAGCACGAAGATAAAACGTGGAACAGTACGCAATACACACACGTAAATGAGCGGATTAGTGGGGGGAGAAGCGGACGAAAATAATTTCAGTAGTCAGAAAAAAAAAGGAGGAAAATAAAAGTCCGACGAGAAACAAATTCTTTTTGTGTGAGTGTGTGAAAGCAACGGGTGTTGGACGAGCTAACAACTGTTCGATCCTGTGTCCGCCCCGCCGGTGCGTCATGTGAGGGCACTCTCTGCAAGAACAGGAAAAACAAAAAAAGAGCAATTAGTTTTACCTTCCTTTTAAAAGGGATTGAGCCAAATGGGGAGGGGGGGGGGAATAAAGATAGGAGAGATGAATGAAAGGGTAAAAGGAGAGCGCTTCGAACCCGCTACTATACGGATCGCTTCGTGCACCACCGTAGATCTGTGCAGAGGACGTCAGGATACGGTACATATGCGGCGCTTCAGAGGCCGCCTCTGCTTAATGAGTTCTACCAAATGTGAGAAGACGCATGGTTCCTGTTCCTTTCGGTTGGCGTTTTCTGATAATGAATGCACAGCAGAGTCGTGACAACACATAGTCCCCTCAAAGGAAAAAAAAATAACATTATTAATGCCGCGGCACACTCAGCAGATAACTATCGATAGCTATGTACACACCAGAACAAAACACCACAACACAACGTCAAACGAAGGCCACTTTTTGGTTTAAGTAGTACATGGAGACAGCCGGGTATATCATATCGTTCTCCTTCAACGCGGGGATGTGGCCGGTGCCTTTCTTGTTCCCGCTGACCATGTATAGCGTGTTGGTGGACGCATCCCAATCGAACTCGACGACGCAGCCGGTAGAGTAGGGGAAGCGGTCGCACTTCCACGTGCCGTAGGTGTCGCCGGCACGCGAGAAGCACCACCCGCCCAACTCAGAAATGTACTTGCTGCCGGTCGCGTTGGCAAGGGTGGTGCTCAACTGAGGAAGAAGACCCACCATGAACCCGGATCCATCGGCGCCCTCGCCCTGATCTAAAATGCGGACCGCCCACTGGTGGTTTGCGGCAGTCAGCGGCACCTTGGAGCGCAGCGTCACCCAACCGCCGTTGGTTTCTCGCTGGGCGACGCTGCCGTCGATGGTGACACCCGGGTGCGGCGTGCTGGTATCGATCTCAAGGATGTCGAGGCCCATGAAAACTTCAGAAAAGCAGAGATCCTCTGCGAGAAAGAACAGAAAGGGTGGGGGGAGACAAAAGAACAGGTTTTCAGCCTTTAGAGAGAAGAAATGAAACAGGAGCATCGTGGGCGACGTAGAGTCGAGAGGTGAAAAAAAGTCCTCGGTCAACTCAGAAGCCGCACACAGTGCACACCTCGAATACAAGCAGAGTGCAAGTCACAGAGACTGTGCCTGGCAGCGCCAGTGTCGCTGCGTGCAGATCCTAACACACAAACAGGCACACACATACACACACAGCGCTGCGCTTTGGTAGAGTGTTGCTTTAAGGGTTGCTACGAGAAAACACTGCCTGTGTTGAAGAAAGGAAAAAAATGATAACACAGCGCAGCTGATCAGTTAAAAACAAAGGAGGAGATGCAAACGAAAAATTAGCGTAACAGCAACAAAAGCTGAGATAAGAAAAAAAACCTGAAAAAGAACAGAACAGGAAACCATTATTCTGCAAAAACCTCTCTGACTCGGAAGTGGCACAGTTACTGTATATACGCCCGGCTGTACTCGTTCAAAATGCTGATCACTTCGCCCATCGTGCAGCGCTTATCCACCTCTCGCTCGAAAGCGCGCTGTGCAATGCGTTGCAGCCAGCGAGGTGAGTTTTCCATCTGCTCCTCTGTGAACGGCACGACGTCTTCATCTGCGATGTAGAACATCAGCGGAACGGAGTCCTGCGCCGAAAAGTGCCGCACCCCACCCGACCACGGCGACTTGCCCAGCCACAGCTGCAGCAGCGTACACGCGTAGGCCCACACGTCGGACTTCAGGTGCGGCTCGTTCAGAATCACCTCCGGCGCCATGTACGCCGCCGTGCCAAACAGCTGCCAGGAGTTGCTGTCCCTCTGTGCCGGCTGCAGCGTCGAGCTGTCGCTGTCGGAGCTCGCGATGGAGAAGCGGCTGCACCCAAAGTCGGTGATAGCCACGCTGCCATCTGAGCGCGTCAGCACGTTCTCCGGTTTCACATCGCCGTGTATAACGTTGTGATCGTGAAGGTGTTTGATGCCACGCGCCATCCCGCATGCGTGGTCGTAGAAGAGCGGCTCGGGAATAGGCCGGAACTGCCGGTAGAGCTGCACGATGCTCCCACCGCTGGCGTACTCCATCACGAGCAGTAGCTGATGCGTATCCACCTCTTTCGAGGCGCCGTAGAAGATGATCACGTTGGCGTGCAGGGGCAGCATCGACCAGGTCTGAAACTCGCGCCAATTCAAGTCCGTCGTCTTGTCGTCGTAGGAGGCACGCGACTGCTTGACGGCAACAATGCGGCCGGTGTCGAGATTGAGGGCTTTGTACACCGCACCGAAGGCGCCTTTTCCGATCGGACCGCCGCTGACACGGAAGTGGTGCGATAAAATGAGGATACCGTTGCGGTCCGACTCCTGCACCACGGAGGCTGTGAAGTTGCGCAGCATTTTGCGGCTTTCACTGTACATCATTGCCGAGGCATCCGTTGCCGCACCAGCGTCGTATTCTTCTTCCTCTTCGATGCAAGCGTAGTTGAAGGTCTCCCGACTCACCATCACGTGCGAGCTCGGCGAGCACGAAATCGTGCACGACGGCGTGATGACCGGCGAGACCTTCACCGCAGCGGCCCCGACGGCCGCCTCCTGCTCGACTGCCTCGTTCTCACCGGAGGCCGCCCTTCGCGGCTCCGAAGCTCGGTAGGCCGCAACTGCGTCGTTGCTGTTCTCCTCACGCCCTTCGCCCGCATCGGCACCAACGGAATTCTGTGCGGAGAACGTGCTATGGCCCACACTTATCGCGGTGGAGAGCAGCTGCGTACTGCACTCCATCGCCGAAGCCGCGGTGGTCGCCTGCCGACAGTTGGGCGGCATCACGGAAGAGATGCTGTTGGCGAGGTCGGAGATCGCGTTGGATGCCTGGTCCCCCGTCGTGCTCCTTGACAGCGGCGCGCCCTCGCCGTTCGAGACGTTGCTGTGGTTGCTGGTGCTCGTTGCCGCCATCGAGGGATTGAGTTCAGAGTGTGCTGGAGGAGCGGGGGCCGCCGATGCCTCAATTGGCGGCGGGGGGAAAGGGGAGCGGGCCGGAGGAGTGGGCAGTGCAGCCAGTAGAGAGCTGGAACTCGGGGATGCCGCTGCTGCTGCCGTGACCGGGTTACGACGCACGGTGGCAAAGGCGACGTTCTTCGCTTGGGCGGCATGCGCGGAGAGCGGCGACAAGTTGGCAGAGTCCGGGATGGACTGTCGATGCTCCGGCGAGGCGAGCGCCTCCAACCCCCGCACCGACGGACCGGCCGGGTTCCGCGTCTGCCGTGTTGTGGCCGACTGCTCTGCCGTGTTCTTGTCACGCCCCCGGCGTACAGTAGAGCTCTGCACCGTCAGGTCGAACACTGCCCCGCTGCTGCTGGCGCCGTACTCGCCGCTGCTCGGATCCGTGCGAACGCGCAGATCAGACGAGGTTTTCCCGAGCACTTGCGCCTCGCGATCGCGCTCCTGCCGGTTCGGCTCGAAGCGCCACGGGATGCCGTCGTACTGCTTTATGTAGTACTGCAGCACACACCAGATCGGCATAAACACGTGGTAGTCTGCGTAGTAGACGTAGGTCTCACCGCGGACCAGCGTGCATGGCAGTGTCTCGGGCCCGGAAATGAGCTTCGGGTGCTTCAACTGGATGCGGTTAAAGTTCTGCATCGTCACGCTCAGCTTGGTGTTGAGGGGGAGGCAGCTGCATTTGGTCGCCACCAGCAGCCCAATTTCGTTGTCCTCCTCCGACGTGTCCAACACACCGGTGAAGTCGTCGCGGCACGCAATGAAGCTCAGGCGCGGTGGGGCGGGGATGATGGTCGGGTCCTTCACCGTGCGATAGAGGGCGACCGCCAGCCAGTGCAGGCGATACAGCAGATGCTTGTCATCCGCATTCAAGGGACGGACTAGGGCGTCGGAGTTGCAGATGTCGAGAAACTGCTCGCCCTTGTGCACGGTCTTCCTCCAGCCAAGAAAGTGCTCGCACATACCGTTCAGTCGCGTCACCCAGTGCTCCGCTGCGGCGAGGTTTCGGCCCTGCTGCTCGATCAGCTTCAGCGCCTTCGAGGCTGGCGCCTCGCCACGGCGATCACGGCTGAGGCGAGATCTGGTAAACGACGACAAGTAGCTGATCGGATCAAAGGCGATGGCACCCGAGGACACGGTGGTGCTCCCGGCACCGCCCGGGTCCTTCGACAGGCGATCGATCTCGGCCAAAGAAGGGTATAAAACGTCATAGGTGCCGCGGTTGAGTACCTCAGGGTGGGCGCGGTGGTCATCCTGCAGGTCGCCTAGCTTCCCGCAGTGCTCCAGCGCCTCCTCGACCAACGTGCTGAGCACGTGGCCGTCGCGCAGAAAATCCAACGAGCCATCCCACTCCCACTCCGGGCCGAGATTGAAGCAGCAGTGGATGTTGCTGACGTGGCTAAAACGGCCTACCTTGCTGCGGTTGGTGCGCACGCTCGCGTGACCACGACTGCGTCCATTACGGGTGCCGCTGTCGCGCAGCGTATTGTTATTGTTGTTGTCCGATGCGCCCGTTGAGAAAGAGTCGCCAGCCAAGGAACTGGTGTGTCGTGAATTGCCCAGGTTGCTTCCCGATCGCGAAGCGAGTGCAAAGTCCGTATCCGCAGCAACACGCGCCCCGCCTGCGGGTGGCGGAGGGGCAGGCCGGCACGCACCTCCCTCCGCCTTTCCTTTCCGAATACTAAAGCACCGCTGCACCTGCTTAATCCAGTCTACCCAAGTGGTCATCATCGCGTACAAGCTCAGCACATCCAGTAGAATGAGGGACATGTTATCCTGATAGTGCAGGGAGAGAAGGTAGAAAAGATCCATGTCCGTCAAGTGCAATTTCTTGGCACGCTCTAAGATGTGGGGGGCGTCGATGGCGCGCTCTGGCTCGTTCTTCTCCAACACCGCCACCAATCGATCCCACCGCGTCGCAGGGAGCTTGGCGAGAGCGTCATCGCAGTGATTATGCTTCTCAGATTGCGGCTCTGGCTGCATTTTTTTTTTTCAATTTGTGATCTGTCGATGTACACCCTCTGCAAGGAGAACGAAAACGTGCGACTCACAGCAAACAAGTTTCTAAATTTGATTGCGTGTATAGCAACTGTTGTTTGTCCTTTTACAACCGTTCACTTCTTGACCCACACGCATCTACACACGTTCTGCAGAGTCATAAAAAAAAAACGTAAACGTAGAAGGGAAACGTAGCTGGGGGAGACAATTCAATGCTTTCGAATGTGCCAGGGGATACACACCAGTTTCTGCGGAATAAATCGAAAAGCGAAAATAGTGGTTTGACTTACTTATGTTTGATGCGCAGCTGCGATCACCGGCACAGAAGAGCGTAAAAGAAAACGGCTTCTGCGGTTCAAAGAGTAAAGAACGTACGACAACCTAGCCAGGAAAAAAAAGAAAGTACCAAAAAAGAAAAGGATCTGTTTCAAAATAAAAGATGAAGTGTAGACGAAGTGCGCACGGGGCGATGAGGGGGGAATTCAAAGTCAACACAAGAAATCGATTAACGGTAGTGCTGAGAGGCTGTGTATGACTGGCGTCCCCCGTGCAACGTTGACTGCTTCTTCAATGTAGGCGAAGACCAGCGATGTGACCCGTTGCGCGTCGCGACAACGCCTGACAGAAAAAAAACTATATGAGAGGAGACGAGTGATGACGAAGGAGCGAAGAGCGGATTGAGAAGAAAACGCATAAGCGTTTGGCCGGAGCGTAAAAACAATACGTGCGGCTTCCGTCTTTGCCTGAAGGGAAGTAGATTCGGCCGCCTCTGCGCTTCCTCAACAAACTACAAAAGATAAAACTCCGCGTATTTGCATAATTGAGGAAATCGTGTGCGTCCACCAAACAAAAAATATGCCAACGCAATAATTTTGAAGGATAAGCACGCGCTTGTCACCCGGTTTTCCTTGTTCCTTAAACTGTATCCATTCTGCTTTAAGTAATTTCATAAAGCATCATGTGTGTGGGTGGGTGTTTTTTATGCACAATCGTGAATGTGTAATAACAACCAGAAAAAAAGAGGGGTGGCAATGGCCTATTCAACAGCTTTAACAGACTTCAAAAATCACTCATCTAAAAGAACAGAGTTCTTAAACGGTATCCGCGTGCAACGTGGGAACGTCACCTGCGGCGGCAGCAGCTGGCTTGGGGACGTGCGCGCGCAACGCGGACGGCGGCAGAGACTGAAAGACGTCCTGCAAAAAAGGCTTGTAGCCGCTGTTCTCTGGCACGGCCAGGAGTGCTTCGAGGTGACCCAGGACGTTGATCAAAGTGGCCGGCGAGACATCCACGCGTGCCTCAACACTCAGCGGCGTCTCTTCTGCCGCCGCGGATGCCGGCTGTGCTTCACCATCGGCCGAAAGCAGCAGGGAGATGAGGTCCGATTTGCGCATGAGCAGGACGCAGAAGGCTAAGTTATACACATAAACACTGCGGAAGAGTCGGTGGAGGGACTCGACGGAGCTGCGCAGCTGCGGTGAGGCGTACAGGACCATCTGGGCGACGGTCCACACCTTTGGATTGGTGGCACTCAGCACCCCAGGAAGGCTTTTCGCGCGAGCGAGCTGATGGTCCACAATCCAGCTATTCCACGCTGTCGTAGCCGCCGCTGAGTGGGGCACGAAAAAGCTGCGCGGCAGCCCAAGCTCCTTATGCAGTCCGTCAAAAACCTCATGAAGGTGCAATGTGTAGCCGCCCCCCGCATTGCTTGGGCGGGAGTCACCCACATCAGCGGCTGCCGCCGTCGATAAGTTTACCACCGTCGTCGCCGCTTGGATAAAGTCTGTCACGGAGAGTGAGAACGTCTCCATAAGATTCGCCAGCTGTGTAACGTAGCCGGTGAGCAGCAGCCGCAGCGCCTCCTGATGCACCACCGCCGGGAGTGTTTTGTGTCGATTGAACATGTACCGTACCGCAGACTGCCGCTGCACCTCCTCCGCGGCTTCCTCGGAGCTGCATCCGCCGTGGACGGGCTCGCAGCGGGCAGCGTTCAGCACCAGCGTCGGGTAGTTGCCAATTTGGTTCTTTGTCTTCTTGGCCGCGCCGGGTTTCGTCGAGCCATCATGGGCGGCCAAATCCGCCGGCGACTCCTCCACTGCGGCGTCCGGGTCGTCATAAGCGGCACCGCTAAACGTGAGTTGACGCAGCCACCGCGTGAGGAAGTTCTCCGACGGGTGGCCGCCAGCGTCCGCGCCGCTGCTGCCGCCTCCACCGCCGTCTTCCATGTCGATGCCGCCGGCTGCGGGCATGCCGATTTCGTCCTCCAGCAGCGCCATAAACCGCAGGAGATCGTAGGCGGCGGTGTAATCGCCGTTGTCGATCGATAAGCCGAAGAGTTCAATCGCACATTGACTGGCCTGCTCCAGCGAGCCGACGCCGATGCTGTGGTTGCCGTTGCTGCTGTGCGAGCGAGGGGCCAGGGGGTCCGCGCCGCTGCCAGCCACCACCGCTGACGCGCCCGTCAACTCCGCCAGCCGCTGCACAGAAAGCGTCGCTGCAGGCCGGTAGCTGCCCATCATGATCACCCGCACCAGGTGCACCGCCTCGGCGTAGCAGCGGTGCGCCACACACTCGCGGAAGAACGCCGTCGGCGTGCCCAGAAAGTCCAGCACGAGATGCCAACGCGTAAAGTCGAGCTTGCGCACGCAGCCGACAACGACGGCGTAGAACTCCGGGAAGTTGCGCAGGAGGGCAATGACGGCGCGGACGGCGCTGCGTCGGCCCAGTCCGGGCACCGCCGCCGGCGGTGTCTCATTCAGCGCCGTGTGGAGAAAGTAGTCCATGACCGACTCGAAGGTGTCGTTGAGGCGCATGTACTCCAGCCAGAGAAAGAGCGAGCGATCCCACAGAAAGGACGCGACGCGGCCGTCGATTTCAGCCGTCGACACCTGTGATGTGGCCAGCGGTGCGTATTCGGAGGTGGTTCGGCTGGGCGGCTGGGTCGCAGCAAAGTTTCCGCAGCTGGTGGAATTTGGAGAGATCCTCTGAGAAGTCCGCAGCGGCGACCCCGACCTACTGCCACCGTCGCCGCCACCTGGCATGGCTTCGCGCAGCAGCAACGACAGAATGCGGTGGGCGTACAGGACAGGGCGCAGCGCGAGCTGCGGGTGAGCTGCGACGTTGACGCTGAGTGCGCGAGGACCGCGCCGCGCCTGTCGTGGGATGGACGTGTCCGTGCCGGCGCAGAGCATGTAGCCGTCGAAGGGGGATACGCAGAGCGGCAGCAATTCGGTGTCTCTCGCCGGGGTCACCGCCATCCGTCGTACCTCCACCACCGCCGCCCCACCACCACCCGCAGACGCACTGCGCGCTGCACGCCGCGGCAGCAGCTGTGTTGGCTGCTGGACGTGGTACAGCACGATACCTGCCTCTTCCTCGTGGGTGAGCAGCACGGTGCCACGCACAGGAGGCGTGCGGTCAACCCAGCAGCGGTACACAAAGGACGGGCCCGCTGCATTGTCGAACGGCTCCGAAACTGCGTTCAAGAGTGGCAGCTGTCCATCGGATGAAGACGGCTTTGACCGCACTGCCGCTGTCGTTGTGGCGTCTGCGCCGCCGTGTGCTGCGGCGGTAGTCGCCCCGCGGATCCAAACAAGCGAGTGGTCGCCGCGACGATGCAGCAGCAGGCGCAGCTCCATTTGATCCTTTGTCCGCTGCGGGTTCTCGCGGTCATCCTCCTCTTTCCGCATGCACACCGGCGTCACGTGAAGGGGGTTGGCAAGGGCGCCGGAGAGTACCAAGTGCAGCACCGGTGTGAGGGCCACGTAGGCCTTCGCAGGCGTCGCCTCGGTGGAGCTCATCGCTGCGCCCGGCGCGTCCATGAAGGCGTCGTACCGAAACACGCGCACCACCTGATTGCAGTCCACCAACACTACGTAGCCTTCGCTGCGGTGGTCCTGGTGCACACAGGAGAGCCGATACGGCTTGCCTTCCAACGCCACCCGTGCAAGCGCGTGCGACGGAGACACGCTGGACGTGGAAAACACCATCAGCTCGTACGTTTTCGTGTCCGTTCGCAGTGCAGGCACCGCCACGGCGACGTCGCGCAACCACGCCGGATCGGCCACACAGCTGAAGGACATCTCCTCTTGCTTCTTCGACGCCAGTTTCCACGAAAAGCGGTCGCGGTTGAAGATGAGAACACCGCGACGCCCAGCACAGGCGACCCAGCTCCCGTCAGACGACACCGCACCGTAGAGCAGCGGGAACTGGTCGCGAAGGTACTCGTCCGGCAGCAGCACGAGCTCGCGAACGCCCTGCCGCCCCGTCGCCTCGGAGGCCGCAATGAGGTAGAGCGCGTTGTCAGCAAGGAGGGTGAGAGGGGTGTGGCTGCCGCTGGTGGGTCCTACGATGTCCGCCGTCAAGACACGGGAGAGCTGCGTGGAGAAGAAGCACGGCTGGTCCGGCGCCGCCACCCACAGCCGCGTGCCATCCGGCTTCCACGCGACAAAAGAACAGCCCACGGCAGCTTTGCCGGGCCCCGCGGTGCTATCATTGGGGTCAACGCGCCGGGAGCTGAGACCGGCGGCGCCCGGGCTGCGCAGAAGCACCGCACTGGCGGGGCTCGCAAGGTGGTGCGTCACGACCGCACCGCTGTAGTGCACGAGCACCATACCGTGCTTGTAGAAGGCGACGCACAGCAACTCCTCAGACGGGCTCCACTCCATCGCGGAGATCAGCCCGAGGGACTGCGAGGAGGAACAGGAAAAGCGGTCCTGCAACCCACGCAGCCCTTTCCACAGCGGCGTTGCACTGATCGCCAGAGAGCAGCCATCCACACGGCGGCACGAGAGCGCGCCGGCCTGGGTGCACACGGCCAGGAGTAAGTGCCGCATGTTCATGGCCACCTTGTGCGCCGACACAATCGGTGTCACGCAGCCCTTCAGCTGCACTTTGTTGTGGGTGAAGTTGGTGCCGCAGGAGGGCCGACACAGCAACACAGCCCCGCTCGACGAGACAAAGGCGAGCACCTTCCACCGCGACAGAAAAGAGGCGTGGAGGATCGTGCCGGAGAGCTCTCCGTTGTTTGCGCGGCGTTGCTTTGCACCACCGCTGCTGTCCGTCAGGCTGTACGAGGCAGTGTCCGTGACGCCGACGGTGGAGGCCAGGAAACTGCTTGACTTTGCCCCCGCCTCTGCGTCCGCTAGAGTCGTGATGGCATCTGGTGAGTCGCCTACCGTGCCATCCTCCGCACCTGCGCTGCCGTGCTGGGCGCCGCCGGGGACCAATCGCAAGGTGAGCTGCGGCGCAACAACCAGCGTGGGCGAGGCAGCCGGCGAGACGCTGTACGAGCGCTCCTCGCCTGTGCGCACCGCTGCGCCGGGAGGGCAAATGCTGCCCCCAGCGAGGAGGCGTGGTTTGGCGGTGGTTGTCAGGAAAGCCTCGGTAAGCGGCGCCGCCCTCGCAGGGACGACGCTCGTGCTGTCATGGTTGCTGGTGATGAGAGAGGAGGCCGCCTCGCTGCGGAAGCTCGGCTGGCGTGCGTCTGGCTGCGGCTGCGACGGTGATGGAGGATAGTGCCGCTGCAGCGGGTCCACTCGTAGGACAGACGGCGCGGGATGAGCCCCGACAGGCCCTCGCAGAGCCGCCAAAGACGCGATAGAGGAAGGGGTGACGGCCGCGCTGGTGGTGTTCAATGCCGACGCTGCTGCCGTTACGGCTGCGTTGGTCTCCTCCTCGTGCGCCGCCGATGAACTAAAAAAGTGCCCGTTTTCCTGCAGCCCCACGGTGGTCCATTGGTGCAGCACGTCTTGCTGATGCCAGCCCACCACGTACACCACACCCGCCGTGGTGGTGACCAGGAAGGCGTACGGGCCGGCGGCGGCGGCGGCGGTGGTGAGTCCGGCCTCAATGCGAATTTCACTCGAGTAGCACACCCGGGAGGCGGAGTCGGTGTGGTGAAGAAAACAGGCGCTGCGCTGCGTATCCACCCTCTCGAGGAACTCTCCGGCCGTGAGGTTGATGTCGGCTTCGAAGAAAACCACTTGACGTGAGGTAACCACCGCAAGCTGATTGCCTTGACGAGGACGCCAGATCACGAACATGGCGGGATTGTCGTCCAGCGAGGTGCCGGGTACCAGCAGCGACGTCAAATACACCGTCTTCGGTCCCGCCGTCCAGAAGTGGAGGTGCATCTGTGTAACCACCGCGAGAACGCTGTTGTTGGGGCTGACCGCCATGGACTGCACCGTCTCGCCGTCCTCGCAGACGTCATCGCGACGATGCACGTTCACCGCGCCGCTGCACAACTGCATCGGAAAGGGCTGTGGTATGAAATAAAAAGGGGGAATGAAAAAGAAACAGGTTCGCGATATGAGAAGTAGCCCACGCAAAAGGGTAGCAAGAAGAACAAGAAAAAAAAAAGGAAACAACGAAGCTAATTTCTACCGAAGAGATGAAATACAGAAGTGAGCTCAGAATAATAATGTGGCTCCTCTTGTTGTCGCGCAGTCGTCAACCCATCCGTCACCCGTGTCCCGATTTCGTTACTGCCTTGCCCATGGCACAAAGTCTCTCGCCGACAACGACCCCCGACGGCGCGATGGTCGGCAGGAAAAAAAAAGAAAAGAAACGGTTAGTGCTTGTGTGTGTGTGTGTGCGCGCGCGTGATGCACGAAGAGAAACGGAGCGCCGTTGCGTGGGGTGGAGCCTCGCCGTCTTCTCCAGCCTTCTCTCGCTGCTTACGTCAACCGTCTGGATTCTTCACGAAGAAAAAGCAAGAAGGATGGGGGAGGGGGGAGGGGACTGTTAGGAGCGGAAATAAGAATGGCAAAATACGAACGGGCTAAAATGATAAACGGTGGAAGGATTCTAAAAAAGAAAAAGACGTTTCAAAGAGGTACAAGGATCAAACTCACTGCAGCTGAAAGTCCGCGCAGCACGACACCCTTTTTAACGGTCGTTTTCGATGTGCGGGGTGCAGTGAAAGAAAAGAGCGGAGGAAGAGAACGGAAGAAGAAGGGAAACAAAAACAGTTGACCGCAGAATCATGACGAGCTACCGAATTCAAGAACAAATCCTATTCTGCAAAAGGGAATTGTTTGTAGCGCAATGAAGCATGCAGAGCAGGCAGCACATGGAACTTGTCTCGAATCGTTGCCATTGCAAAAAGGATCCAACGTAAAACACACCACTTGACGCACTGCGTTCTTGGCAGCGTTACAGCTCTTTTCGTTGATGTTTGAAGCGCACAACAGGACACAATAATCTACGTATACAGTAGAGACAACAACTGAAGAGCAGAATCCTGACACCGCGTAGGTCAGTTGGGCAACGATGGGCACCAGTGAAGCAAAGAAAAAAGTGCCATCACAAAAGTACACAAAAAAAAGGGTTAAGGAAAACGAGCACAGCGCCGTCCGCAACAGCACCGTCGAAACGGCATTTTCTTCGTTACTGCTCCGCCATTTTCAAGAGGGGGGTGAAGTCGGTGCTGGCGCTGCTGAAGACAGAGCTCATCACTCCCGCCTCGTTGCCATGCAGCGACTGACGCCGCCTGCACCGCGCCTCGTTGATGTCGTCCAACGCCGGCACCCCAAACTTCTTGTGCAAATACGCAAAGACGTCCATCAAAACGTTTGTGATGCCCTCCAACTCCGTCTCATCCGGTAGCTCCGCCTCCGGAGCACTCCAAATGGGTTGCAGGGCCGGCACCAGCTCGCGATACCCCATCGTTACAATGATGTAGAGGATGGAAGTGCAGAGACGCCGCATGGAAACCTTCGTGCAGAGCGGCGCCACAAAAGAAAAGAGAAAAACGCGGCGCACGGCGGTGCTGATCGCCTGCTGGGCCTTTTCCTCCAACCTCCCTGCGCCGGCCAGGGCCTTCAGCGAATTCAACGTGTCGGCCATCGGGAAAAAGCGAACGAAGTCGAAGTTGATGGTGTCGCAGAGCACCAACTCGACGTCCAGCACCGCGCGGCACCACTGCTCCACCTCCGCCTGTGGAGTGCTGGCATCGAGATCAAAGGCGAGCTCGACCAGCCGCACCAGCCGAAAGTGCGCGTGCTCCACCTTGGCGGCGAGGAAGACGCACGTCGTGGCGAGGACGACCTCATTCACCTTGCGCATGCCGTGCACGGCGACAAACTCGTGCCAATAGCACAGCGACGTGAGCAACGCGCTCTCCGCCAGCCGCAGCTTTCGCACGAGGTAGTCGGAGATGACAAAGGCGGCTTGGGAGAGGCGAAGGTAGCGGCTTGTGAAGGAGAGCAGATACGACGGCGCAAAGCTCGTGGATGCGGGTGAGCTGCAGAGAGGGGAAGAAGGATTTGACGACATGGAGAAGGAAGAAGGGAACGGAAAAGAAAAGGACGGAGAAGCGAAACCAGCAATAGTTGCCCTACGGCTGTCTGAAAGTGTATGTGAGAGCGAGAGAGAGCGACAGCCTCAGCTCTTGTCCTTCACTTTTCGTGAGTTTAATTTCAATGAACGCAGCTGCGCTTTTGTTTGCAGCCCGCGTACGCACCAAAGAAGAAAAACAGAAGGGACAAAAAAAAAGGGAGAGTACAGCTGCGCTAAAAGACGAAAAGATATAATAGAAGGGACGGTAGGGCTACGCAACAGATGTAGCACACGACCGCCTTGTGCGTTAGGCCCTCATGAAAATCCGTGCAAACGCTGTCGAGTATTCTCAGAGGCATGTGAGGGCACAATTAGAGTAGAGGAGGGGGGGGTACTTCGACCCGCCGGGTTAGGAGTAGCGCCGCGGAAATCTCATTCGGCCTTAAACAAGAGGCGGAGAGTCATCTTCCAGCACGAAGCTGTCAAAACAAATGCGTTTTCTATTCCGTTTTTCTTTTTTGAAATAAATGACGAAAGAAATAAACCAGTCGCATCGCTTCCTCCGCACCAATCCGGCGCTCTTGAGTTGCCGTTTCACGAGCAAGTCGAAACACGATCAGCGATAATTAGCGGGCAGGGAACAGATGACCCAACGTTTATTGCTTGAGAGCTTCAGCGAGTTAATAAAAACAAAAACGCCTGCTCGCCACATCTCGCCAACTCTCTCGCTTGTCTCGCATTACTCCAAGAAGCATGAATGCAAAACAAAAAGACGAGAAGTGGCGAGACGCAGCACCGGAGAAGCTTACACACGCACGCAGACGCGCACCACGCAGGTGGCCCGAACGCATGGAGTCACCAGACAATTTAGTGGTGCTCCTTGTGGTGGCGGTGGGCAGCCATGACGACCTTGGAGGCCTCCTGGCGCGCCTGCAGCTTCTCCAGAGAGCGGGCGGACAGCTTCACACGCAGCTTGTGGCCGCGGAACTCCGTGCCGTCCTTCTCCTCCGCGAACTTCTTCGCCGCCGCCGCGGAGTCGAGGTAGGCGTACACGAAGTTCTGGCGGTAGATGCGCATGCGCAGCACCTTCACGCCAGCGAACAGCTCCATCGCCTGCTTCTTCGTCGTGCTCGGGCGGAAGATCGGGCTCACAAACACGCACGCCGAGTTCTCGTGGGCGTCCGCGCGCGGGCTCGTCTTCGCCGGCACCACCAGCACCGTCTGGCCGAGCACCTCCTTCTCGTTGAACAGGTCGATGGCCTTCTTCACGGCGGCGGAGTTGTCGAAGAACACGATCGCGTAGCGGTGGCGGCGCAGCTGCACCTTGGTCACGTTGCCGGCAGCGGAGAACACCGCCTTAGCGTCCGCGACGGAGCCGGTGCCCCAGTTCTTCACGTACACGCCGTTGGACGCGCCAGCGGCGGCCTTGGGGGCGGCGGCGGGCTTCGGCACGGCGGCAGCCTTCGGCGCAGGCGCCTTCGCAGCCGGCTTGGGGGCGGCGGCCTTGGCGGCGGGCTTCGGGGCAGCCTTCGCGGCGGGCTTGGCGGGCTTGGCGGCGGCCTTGGCGGGCATGTTTGCGAAGATGACGCGTGAAGAGGTACGATTTTATTACTCGAAGGTCGAGGTGGTTGCTGAGAGCTGAAAGCTGTGGATGCGTGCAGGTTGTTTGAAAATGAAGAGGAAAAAGGCGGTGTGTGTGGTGGGTTGTCCAAAGAGACGTTCCAGCGTCGAGTAAAAGAGAAGATGTCGCGAACAACAATAACTGTTGCACACAATAATCCGGCATTTCACGTGTCAGCGCGCATCCTCGCTGCCCTTTCCGCAGCGTCGCAAAGCCCTCCTCCGTGCATTCAGTTCGGCACGCAACAGAAGTGTGTCCGCTGCCCCCTCGCGAGAAACAGAAGACGCAGAGAGACGAAGAAAGAAAAAAAAAAGAAAAGAAACCGGCGCAACACGTTTTACCTCGTTGCGAGAGATTCGCGCAGAAACTCCCGCGAAACTTCACATTACTGCTTCGTTCGTATTTCCTGTGCTTTTGTGCTGGAGGTGCAGTGCACCCAACATTCTTTTTGTTTTAGTTGCCGGTTAAATCACTGCTCACTCTGTCACTCACCTCCCGTTGATTTCCACACACCGCTAAACAAAACAAAGAGGGGACGCTCAAAAGTGCGGAGTGAGAAGGGGTTGCGGACAGCGTCTGTCGTCCTTATCGCTCGACAGCTTCAGCGTTTTTGAAGAAACAGGAAATTTATTTTAGCACGCCACTCATCTCGCCGTTTTCTTTCTTGATGAGCCTTCTCGCTGAAAGTCTCTTCTCTTTCCGAAAGAAACCCGAACATCGCCGTGCCTTCAACTATCTCACGACCCACCCTCACCAACACCGTTCTCGAAAACAAAACTGTGGAATGTGTGGAGTTCGCGAAAAGAAAATGGAGGCGGCAAGCTAGTGGCCTTTTCAGGGCTCAGCAGAAAACAAAAAGACGAGAAGTGGCGAGACGCAGCACCGGAGAAGCTTACACACGCACGCAGACGCGCACCACGCAGGTGGCCCGAACGCATGGAGTCACCAGACAATTTAGTGGTGCTCCTTGTGGTGGCGGTGGGCAGCCATGACGACCTTGGAGGCCTCCTGGCGCGCCTGCAGCTTCTCCAGAGAGCGGGCGGACAGCTTCACACGCAGCTTGTGGCCGCGGAACTCCGTGCCGTCCTTCTCCTCCGCGAACTTCTTCGCCGCCGCCGCGGAGTCGAGGTAGGCGTACACGAAGTTCTGGCGGTAGATGCGCATGCGCAGCACCTTCACGCCAGCGAACAGCTCCATCGCCTGCTTCTTCGTCGTGCTCGGGCGGAAGATCGGGCTCACAAACACGCACGCCGAGTTCTCGTGGGCGTCCGCGCGCGGGCTCGTCTTCGCCGGCACCACCAGCACCGTCTGGCCGAGCACCTCCTTCTCGTTGAACAGGTCGATGGCCTTCTTCACGGCGGCGGAGTTGTCGAAGAACACGATCGCGTAGCGGTGGCGGCGCAGCTGCACCTTGGTCACGTTGCCGGCAGCGGAGAACACCGCCTTAGCGTCCGCGACGGAGCCGGTGCCCCAGTTCTTCACGTACACGCCGTTGGACGCGCCAGCGGCGGCCTTGGGGGCGGCGGCGGGCTTCGGCACGGCGGCAGCCTTCGGCGCAGGCGCCTTCGCAGCCGGCTTGGGGGCGGCGGCCTTGGCGGCGGGCTTCGGGGCAGCCTTCGCGGCGGGCTTGGCGGGCTTGGCGGCGGCCTTGGCGGGCATGTTTGCGAAGATGACGCGTGAAGAGGTACGATTTTATTACTCGAAGGTCGAGGTGGTTGCTGAGAGCTGAAAGCTGTGGATGCGTGCAGGTTGTTTGAAATTGATGAGGAAAAAGGCAGGGGTGTTAGAGGAGAAGAGTGCAGAATTGGGTACTTTGTTGATGTCTTTGTGCGTGCGTGGCCAAAGGCGTTTTGTCCAGCGTTTCCTCAACGTCAGCGTCGACCGCAGTACACAGCAGCGCCGTGTTTGTACAACACCTTTTACAGTTCTTATTCGTCTCTCTCTCTTCTTGTTGTTGTGTGTGTGAAGGCCGAGGTGGCTTTGATGACGCAAGATTGCCGACGTCCCTCAGCTACGACACTCTAATCCACAAACTCACTATCTTAACGGCAGGGTGCACAATAATGAGCTGAGCAGCACCCCACAACAACCGCATACGGCATGTCGGCGGTGGCACTGTGAGGGCACCACTCCACCCATGAGTAAAAGTGAACCGTCGGGTCCAGCCCTTCACGCTGCCACAGTGCCTGCTCTGATCCGCCAACCATTCCCCGATAAAGCGTGTGCGGATGCAGGAAAGCAGTCGTGAAGGGAAGGGCAGAAGAGCACGACTCCCCCGCTGCGGTCTGTGGATGGTGGTGCACACACGCATAAGAAAACGAACGCCCTGAGATGCCAAGCAGCTTTATGACGCACTCCCGCGCTCCCCAGTGCTGCGCCAGCACAAGAGACGTGTACGCTTCTCGCTCGCTGGTGCACATGCGCGGTAAGAGACGCCACCAGTCACGCCGTCGCGACTGCGCGTCCACAACATCACTTCCCACATGCAATGCGTTGCGAAAGTCGGTCGTGTCGGTGTTTATGGTCTGCTCGGGCCAGTTCTTTTCAGCGGCGCGCAGCGATGTCGATACAGCAGAAGCGCTCGCATCGGTGACGCACTGCGGCATCCATCGCCGCCCGAGCTGCGGAAAGCGACGTCGCACGCGGTGCACCTCCGCCACCGGACACACGTCAATCGCGCATACAATTCTGCCGCCATTGTGTACGTTGCTTTCTTGAGAGACGCTGCTGGCGCACGCATCACCTCGCGCAACGTCGGAGCGGGGCGGAGTAGTGCTGCCGGAAGAAGCCGAACACGCATCGGGTGCCCACGCCACCGCAGCTGCCACGCAGTCCTCGTGGGAGAGGCTGAGTTCACATCCATGAAGAGCGCGGGCGCTTCGCCGACTTCCGGTAAACACAACTCTGCCTCTCTCCCCGTGCGCTTCGTCGCTCTTGACACGAAGCGTCTCAATAGCGCTCGACGCGGCTACGCGAGAGAGTACAAATGGCAGCTGATGCCGCAGGTGGAGGCCTTCAGCGGCGCGACAAAACAAAGCCCCTTCCGCCGAATCGAAACCGTCGAGAGCGGTGGAGCAGAGCGTCCGCAGCGGCGGTGCGCGATGGCGCGGGGTAGTGAGTCGGCTGACGACCGCAGTAGCACCTCGGAAAGGGAACTGGGGCAGTGCATGTGCTCGGTGGATCACTTGCGTGGTGCTCTTCTTGCGGAGAGCACGCATGTTCAATGAAGAATAATAATAATGCTTGAGAGCAGATCGTGGTGTATTGCGTGCAGAGGAGTTTCACGGTGAAGGACACCTTGTTTGTGAGCCTTCAATAATCTGTAAAGGATTCTGAATCATTCATTTTCTTTTCTTTACACTTTTCATCCATCAAACGACCTTTTGAGAATGCGAAATGATCGTGCGGAGGCAGAGATAGAAAAAAAAAAAGGAGGTACACATGAGCACGGAGTACGGATACCGTCTTCATCGTGCGCGAGAGCAGCAAGCGGTAACGCGGCGCGTAAAGCGACGGGAGGAAACGTGTGTTGTTCGTGGTCCCTCATGAACGTACGTTTGCATTGCAACGTGTGTCTTCCTAGAGCCACTGCTGTTGATGTTGTTAACGTTCTTTATAATAATTAGTATTATCATCAGAATAATAATACATCGGCAGTGCTACGCGACAGCACGAAAGCGTGAAACAGAGTTCAACAAGAACAAGAAAAGAACGTTGAACAGCAACAACGAGGAGAGAGTGTGTCCTATGTACATCATCGTTGAAGTCACGAGTCCTCAAAGGTGCAGCATCGGCACAGAGGGCCCTAAGCACAGAAAGCACCACGCAGGAAAGCAAAAATAGTAGACCTCTCCGCAGCACCCACTTCACCAAAAATACTCTCAGCTGCGGCCGTCCTTCTCTGCTAGTCCTTTGTGGGCAGAGAGGCGCGGCGGGCCTCCCACTGCTCAAAGCGTTGCCATACGCTTTCACGCTCATGGCCAGAGCTGCGACGACACTGCTGCGCCTTCAGCTGACTCGCAACGTGACCCACCGCCGTGCGCACATTGCGCTCCATCCGCAGCGTCGTGCGATCTGTCATCTGTCCACTTGAATACGAGGCGGGGAGCGTCTCGTCCATCTCGTTCTCCGCGGGAAGAGCAGGACCCATCGTAGCAGTCGCTGGAGCTGCGTGAACCTCTACGCTACTGGATGGCACGTTTGTCTTGACTGCGCCCAAGTCGTAGAGGACGTGCTCAATCTCCGACTCCATTTCCCTTAGAACAGCATCGTCGGACTGTAGCAGCTCCGCGAGAGCAGAGGGCGCGGTGCCGGCGGACGGGGGCGCCGCTACCACCACTACGTCGTTGCCGTCGTCACCGTTGCGGCTGCGAATGCTGCTGCGGCGCTGCGTCAAGATGTCTGCACAGGCGGTGGTGCTACCGGCGTCCTCCAGCACCTTCACCGCCGCCGCAACATCTACCGCCAATTGCTCCGGCGCTGCGGCGCCGCCCTCCCCCTCCTCCTCTTCCTCGATGACAGCCTCTTGTGTTGCACGGGTCACCGCGATGTGATGCTCATACGCGTGTCGATGTGCCGGCTCGCTCGCGGAGAGCCTTTCATGGGCAGTGCGAAACACGTCCTCCACGTCCCATCGCGCGTCCTGCTCCATTTTTTCTACTTCCTCCCGCGCGACGTCTTCCGCGGACTCGAGAGCGGCGCGGTTGTCACGGTCTCTACGACGGCACTGCGTCAACTCCTCCAACTCGCGGGCTCGGCGCTGCTCAAACTGCCGTGTAAGACGATCGCGCACCACCTTTTGGCCGTCCCGCTGCTCCGTCAGCACCTTCACGCACTGCGTCAGGTGTGCCCGCTTCTCCTCGCGGATGGCAGCACGCTCCGCCGCCTCCGCGTCCTCACCGCCGCGCCCCCACGCTTCCACCACCCGGCGCTCCTCCGGGAAGACCGGGCGTTCATCCAGGTAGGTCAGCGCCGGCAGGTGAAGAATCATGTTGCGCCGGTAGCTGCGCAGGCGGTGGGCGAGGCCGTTACCCTGCATGTAGACAACGCTTACCAGCGGGAGACGCTGGAAGAAGTGCACGAGCGCCAAGGCGTCCTCGCTGCTGCCCTTTGCCGGTAAGGGGACGGCCGCTGCAATGGCGGCTTGTGCAGCGCCAGCCACCTGCGTCGAGTCCATCACCTCCCTTCCGTCTGCCGGGTCGATGATGTGGATGTCGTCATCGGCGCTGCGGGTCGCAGGAAAGGAATCCGGTGCAGCGGCATCAGCGGGCGACTCCATCGGTGCCGCGCACGTCTCGATGCGATTGAAGGAGAGGTCCACACTGGTCAGCGACCCGGCCAGCTGCCACAGCTCCTCGCACACCTCCAGAGAGGTGAGTTGGTTGTGCGACGCCTGGAGTGTTTCCAAGAAAGGACACGCCGCAGCAATGCCGCGGAGAGAGGTCAAGTAATTGTGCGAGACGTTCAGCACGCGTAAGCCGTTCAGGGTGGCCGTCAACGACGTGAGCGAGCGAATGAAATTGTTCTGCACAAAGAGGGAGACAAGCGCCTCCTTCTGCGCTTCGAGACCGCCCAGCTCCGACAACGCGTTCTGCTCCAACCACAGCACCTTCACATCGCGGTAGGGCGCCAGATTTTGGATGGCGGTGAAGCCTTTGCAGTGGAGAAAGAGCTGATCGTTGAGGTGCGGCGCCGCGTAGCCGCCGTTGGCTTTGCAGGAGGCTACAATGACCTCCTTCGTCATTTCTGCCATGACTGTGGCGAGTAGGCGCCGCCTTTCTTGCTTTTCTTTTTTAAACTATTTGAAGCGCTCAAAGCAAGACTAGAGTTGTAAATAGTTTCGTTTCCCTCGCGTATTCCTTGGGAGTAGTTCAAAGGTGAACACTTGAGAAGGCAGCAGGTTGCTTCTATGCGGATGAACGACAGCCGGCAGGGGATAAAGGCGTAGATGCTCAAGTGCCCGTTGGTGGCGATTAGTTGATCCTCAAATACATAGGCATGTAAGCGTGTTAGCGTGTGTGTGTGTGTGTTGGATCCGAGAGACGAAGGGAGTGGATGCAAAATCCAGAGATGGAGATTTAAAGGTAGTGGAGGAGACAAGCACACAAAACGCCCATTGCATGTTTGTTTCTGCTGGTGTTTGGCAGCCATTAAGAGGAGCGACTTTCATTTCCACAGGCCCTACCCATGTCCGGTGCCCCGTTTCAGAGCAGTTTTGCTCTCTGCAGAGCTCGAAGTCGCACGAGGAAAAAAGAGAGCAGATGAATCTGCTGGGCACTCGGCGATTCGCTTTCGCTGCCCCACAGCACCCCGCGCAGCTCCCGCTGCTAGAATAGGCGGCGCCTGTCAGAAGAACGTAAAGCTCGTGCCTCGCACTCCATCCTCACGTAAGTACGCCTTCATTCGCGACGCATCTGGGGCAAACGAGCGGCAGTATTTTCCTTTTTCCTTTCGGTTTGTTTGCTGCGTTAGAAGCTCTTGTTTGATGCAAAACAAAAACAAAACAGGTGATAACGGATGAGAAGACCTTCTTGAAGCCTTCAAACAAAAACAAAAACAAACGCGGCAAGAAAGAGGGAGACACACAGGAAACGAGGAGAGATCCATACACACGACGAGCAAAAGCATCGCCACTACCACATCAACAAGACTGCGCCACAGAACAAGAGTAGAGAAAAAAAAACACTGCGCGTCACACCGCAAAGCAAAGATAAAGAAAAGGTCAAGAAAACGAACCAGCCAGAGAGAGAAAGAAGAATCAACGACGCCACGGCCACGGTGCCGAGCACTACAAGAAGCCGGGACGCCGAGCACGACAGGTTATGTTGCACGTGAGACTATGTAAAAGCACACGAAGCGTATCGTTGGCGCGTGTGCGCGTTCCTGTTTTGTTGTTCTCTCTCCTTCGCGGGGTCCACTTCTCGCCTGCCCCTCTCTCCGTGCGTTGACAACGGCACCAGAAGCGTACATATATGTATATAAGGTGCATAACAGAGACAACAGCGCCATCTATCAGACTCAAAGTGCAGCCCACTGCATAAGCCTCTACGCACCGACAACTGAGAAAAAGCGCTCTCTCTTTTCCTTTTAAATACATTACAAGGCAGGCCAGTATCACCTCCTTCTTTTTCCCGAGTGAACACGCACCCTCGTCGACGACAATCCGCCGACCGTTTAAAGAAGGAATGAGCACCAAAAGAAAAGCTGAAGCATACAACCCGAGAACGGACAACAACCAACCAAGAAGAAAAAAAGGGGAAATTGCATTGAACGTCCACGAAAACACGCAAAGAGTGAAAAACAGGACGAAAACGAGAAAACACCAACGAAAGGGGTACCACCGAAGTCAACGTGCAAAAAAGGGCCCACCCAAAAGCGCCGTCAAAACGAACGACGGCACTTCTTCTTCATTCTCCTTCTACGACACATTGAGGCACTCAAAGGCTGCCGGGAGACATCGTGTACGCCTGCTGGTCCATATCGCTTGTCATTTGTGCTACCTGCTGCACACGATCAAACACGCCATCCAGCATCGCGTGCAGATCCGCGTAGCTCACGACAAGGACGGTGTTGCCGCTGTCCGTGCCAATGAGTTGGATTGTTTCGTCCGAGCCGATGTCGAGCTTGTTGAGGCAGTGGTACACGTGACCCCAGTCCACATTCACGCGGTTCTGCTCGTCCACTTGGTTGAACAAAAACTGGTTGAAGAGGCGCAGCGCGTAGCGCTGATTCTCCGAGGTGTATTCGTGCACCTCCGCCGGCGACTCTAGCGCGAAGCTCAGCTTAATGAGCAGCCGCATCAGCCGGCCGTTATGCATCTCCTTCTGGCACTGCGCCATCAAGAAGTCGGTGTGGCCCTCCTGATGACCCACCTCCATTGACATGCGCTCCCCTAGGGCGTGGCACAGTTGCGCTGAGTCCGCGTGCCCCTCCAAGCAGGTCTTGATGAGCTCCCAGAAGCTCTGCGAGAAGCCCGGCAGCGGCTGCTTGTTCGCGAAGTTCTCCACCTTCACGTTGAGGTTGCGCGAGGCGAGCTGGAAAAGAATGAAGCCGAGCGCCTGGATGTCTTGCTTCATGAGAATGTGCTGCTGCCCGGCCGTGCCGCGCGGCTCCAGCAGATCCGTCAGGCCGAGCCCGGTGAAGAAGAAGCGCCCCGCCGTCTCCACGTAAATAATCTTCGACCAGTGCAGCCCGCGCAGCGGGATTAACGTCTCGTGGAAAGAGCGAAGAAGGCCCACGAGCTGGCACGTAAAGGACCACAGCAGCCCCTCGGTTGCGCGGCGGCCCTCGGTGAAGAAGGCCTCCTGAAGACCCTTTGCCCCGGCGATGTAGCGATACTCCATAATCACATCGGTGCTCCCCATCACAAACTCCTCCGTGGCGAAGAGGTTCGTCAGCGGCACGAGGTTCGGGTGGCGGTACTGCCGCAGCGCCTCCTTCACCGCCACACACTCCTCCTCCTTCACCGGCACGTTGACGAGGCGGCGAAGCAGGATATCTTTGCCGGTGTAGCGGGCACTCGTCTGGTACACCTGCATGCGCACCTTCGGCACCATGACGCTCGGCTTCGGCTCCGCCTCGAGGTTGTAGATGGTGGTGTACATGGAGAACTTCGACGACGTGACGTGCGTGACGGGGCGGCGCGGTCGCACGGAATGCGGCGTCGTGAGGGCGTTGCGCACCGACGGCGACATGAAGAGGCTGCTGATGGGGGTGTAGGGCGTGGCCGGAAACGGGTCGGCCGCCATGGACAGACTGCCGTTGGTGCGGTACACATCCATGTGGTGTTGGGGGCTGTAGATGCTATGAGGAGAAGGAAACGTCGGCGACATCATCTGGCCGCCGTTGGGCATGCCGGGGATATTTCCTGTAATGGGATTCATCATTTAGTCCTCTAGTTCTCGCTCCGTCTGCTTGATGCTTTTCTCCCTCGTTTGTGTCAACGTGTGTGTATGTAAAATAGAAGAAAATAAACCTATCGCGAGCTCCTGCCGTGGTGACGCGCCCACTGTCTCTCTCTCTCTCTCTCTCGCGTATCTTCTCTAAGCTGGTGAAAAAAGGAAAGGAAAGGAAAACGCGCAGGAGTTGCTGGGTCACCTCGACACGGCCAACGCCCTCCACAACCTCACACTTTGCCTTCTCTTTTTCGCCTTCTTCTTCAGCGGCAAAGCACAAAACGCTGCACGCCGGGTGCAGGTGTGCGTTGCAGGCGAATAAAACGAAACCACGCAGGCACAGATACGTACGGGACAGACGCTCTCACACACACACTCACACACAGCCGCGTGTGTTCCCAATAATAACGTCTATTTTTTTTCCCTAGCAGGCTGCAAATTTCAGTGTAACGTCATTTACGCAGAAGAAACAAAAGAAATGAAGTAGGGAGGTGATCGGATTCAAGATTCGAAAGCAAGATGAAGGAGAAGGGAAGGGGGGGGGGAGGGGCTGAAATAGACGTGAACAATCGGCTTGTTTTGTGAGCATGCACACACACACACACACAAAGCAGAAGCGTCTATCAACACGTTTAGGAATGCAGGTCTGCCCAAACGCTGGCTTTTCCAATGTATTTTGCAGCAGCGCCACACCGCATAAGCTCAAGGAGAAAAAATGATTTCATTCATCTCCACCGCAAACCCATTGCCGCTGTCATCCACTTTTTCGATTTCTCTTTTCTTTTAGTGTGTACACACCTCTTATGCGCCGGCAGAAGCAAGCCGCCGCACACCACGTCAGCATTAGCAGCATCAAACGTAGCGAAAGAGAAGAAAGCGTCAAAGAGACAACGTTGACCACATCGATGAAAGCAAAACAACAAAAAAGCTGTCGTCGCAAGAACAGAAGAGTACTTCTGCTTCTACTTGGGCGGCTTCTTCCCACCTGCAGGTGCCTTGTCCCTGTGCGCATGCGCACTGCGGCCACCCGACCCTTTGTGACGCTTCGACGCCGGAAGTGCCGTCAACGCGCTATCTGTCAGGCGCACGTTCTTCACACTTGCGCCACGCACGAAGCACTCGCGCGCCTTCCAGAACGCATCACCGGACGCACCGGTACGCGTGCACTGCTTAATGACGATGTTCATCGCTCTGTCGGTGCGCATCACGATGCCGTTGACGGTCTCGCCGTCGGCGAGTTCGATGGAAACCTCCTTGCCGCGACAGTTGCGCAGAATCTCGATGGGTGTGATGGGCCTTCGCGGAGAGCTCATCGTTTGAGGAGTATAGATGAATGCCTTCAATAGCAAAACTTTATCATCGATAACTATTTCGAAAAAAAAGGAACTGCAGGGAACCCGCAGTTGCTGTAATAAGCGGTCTTTGAGTGAATGGGGGCAAACAGCTCTGTTTTTACGTACGGAAATTGAAGTGCTGCTGCGTCTCTTGACAACCAGCGCACCGTGCACAGTACAACAAACTTGTGTCCACAGCCCAAGGTAGCGTAGCATCGGCGAAAAAGGCCAACGCACCGTGAAAAGAAAAAAAGAAAAGTTTGCAAAAGGCAAAAGAGATTGAGGGAAGGCACACATTGCGACAACGCAAATCTTCGATGCACAGAGCATCATGTCGAGACTCACGCGACGAGCCTTCTCACATGCTCCAAGAGTTGCACTGTTGTGCTGCTTCACAAGTTCGACTGAAAAAAAAATGACGTCTGTGGATGAGGAAGGCGGTGGAAAGAATTTTTAAAAAAGAAGAGAGAGAGAGAGATTAATTACGCTTCTGTTGGATGATTCTTTTTGGCAGTTTCCCGTCGTTGAGTACAGATTTTTTTGCTCCTTCTCAGCAAAAATCAAAAGGTCTTGAAGCAGTTGGGCTGCCTCCTCCCGTGTTGCAGTGGCAAGAGGCGCCCCATCACACAAGCAACTTCCCCTCGCACTCACATATCTTTCCGTAACTGCAGCTTGCGGACAGGCTGCCCTGTCTGACGGCTCTCCCGCACCTCATCTGCGAGATCACGCAGGGCAGGAAACACCTCGATCATGTGCTCGATGTCGGCATCCTCCAAGTAGGTGAAAACCAGCAACTTCGTAATACGCGGGAAGGAGCGGAAGCAGCGCAGCCGTGTCAGCCGCGTCCGCTCCGCCTCCACGGGTGCCCCAGCAGAAATGCACAAGGAGCGCAGCAGATTTAGCGTGCGGAAGCTCTTGAAGTTGATCACGTTCTCGCCATCAAAGCCCCAGAACACTTTATGACACGTCGGACACTCCGTGAAGTCGTCGTAGATCTCGTAGATCTTGGGCACCACCCGATCGTGCACTTCCTTCTTCTCGACCGGGACGAGGAGGTCGTTGCAGGTGACGCAGCGGCAGAAGACGCGCCGCGCATCGTAGGTGAGACCGGCTTGACGGATGAGCTCGACGATGGCGCGGTTGAAGTCGCTGCTACGCCACTGCGCCGTGAAGAGGCAGCGCAACTCCACGTCCGCCTCCGCGTCATCTTCAGAGTAGATGGACTCGCCGTCGGAGTCGTACGACACGATGTGACGCGTGAGGGCCGGCATCGCTTTACGCATGAGCCGCACGCGGCGATTGTGCACATCAACCGCGTTGACCAGCGGCCGACTGCACGTCACTAAAACACGGCGATCGGCACACGCCATGCTGATCAGCTCGGCCTGCGGCACATCACGCGAGCACAGCGTATCGTAGCCCAGCAGGCGGAAGTACTTGGCCACCTTGTACATGCTGAAGTCCATGATGAACCGCAGCTCCTCAGCGACACTGTGCGGTGAGGTGGAGCAGGAGACCTCGCATGGCATGCCTGGTCCTCGCATAATGATTGAACCACACGCATACCGTTGTGTTGTGTTTGTATGGCTGCACTACCAATAATAACCGCATGCCGTTCAAGGCTCGCAGTGCTTGATGAACAGCGCTGCCGTTTATGCAGCGATCGCACGAGACGTTGAAGCACCTTCTCGATGGAAACGCTCAGCGGCACAACTCGTCAGAACGGCAGCACAACAAAGATTGTTTGTAATCGTGACTGGAAGCGAAAAAAAAAGAGGGTAAAACGAGAGACAAACCACGCAGTTTCTTTTTTTGTTTTCCTACTTGTTGTGGAATACAATCATATCGAAGGTTCAATAGTTTTTCCTTTCTTTTTATCCGTGCTTAGTCGCGTTTGAGGGTGCACCACAGCACTCAGGTAAACACAACAGCCTTCCCAACTCCCGAGCTTGGAGGAAGCAGCTCCGTCTCTCACCATGAGCTTTTTTACAGCTCAGAGTCGTCAAGGTAGCGCGGCATTTTAATGAGCTGCCTTCTCGCAGAAGAAGACATCGAAAGAACACGATTCCTTTCCTGGGCCACCTACAACTGCGCGACTTCGCTTCTTGTTTTTTGGTTTTTTGTGAGACGCAATAGAAAAAGTGAAAAGATGAGAAGACTCAGCGTGGAACCAACCACGGGAGAACAACGATGACTTTTCAAATGGACGCGACTGATGCGTCGCCTACCTCTCCCTCTCCCTTCCTCCCTCTCCGAGGTGGTGTGTGTGTGTGTGTGTGCCTGTTTGACGGTTACGAGGACCCCCCTCCTCCCCCTCCCCCCTACAATACAACATAAAAAGAAGAAGACAGCATTATACTCGTGTCCTAATAATAATAATAATGGTAGTGATAACAATAGAGAGGAAAAGAGGCGGGCGTAACTTCAAGCGGCTCATTTGATACATGCTTAAGAAACACAAAAACAAGAGACAATGTAGTTAGAAGGGGGGGGGCACACACAGCGAATAGGAGAGAAACGGAAACACACACACACGCCCACCCAAAGCTATAACGCGAGGCACGGCGGTGCAGGAACACGGCGTATGTACGGCGACGGAGTTACTCGGAACCTTTCAAACTCAAAATAAATAAATAAAGAAAACAAGAGAAGAAACAAGAAAAAAAGAACACCAGCGCAGTAAATAATTTAGGTCCGAGTAAAGAACTGTTAAGAGAGAGAAAGCGTGAAAGAGCAGCGTCAGCCTCGAATCATTACGGAGGGACCAGGGTCAAGAGAGCGTCTAAAAGGAGAGAAGACGTCGCTCACAAGAACGTGTGCAACGCATCCTCGACGAAAGCAAATGCGTGTCGACAACACACACTCGTGAATGAAAAACACCAACCATCAAGAGCTAAAACGAAAGAGAATAGGCATATATAGCGAGTGAAAAGGAAGGAGGAAACCGAGCCAGTAGAAACACAGAGGTTATAATCATATATTTTCACTTCGCCTTCGTTGCCCTACCCCTTTCGAATCCACGATTCTGGTAAATGACAAAAGAGAGGAGAACGTAGAATTCAACCCTTTCGTGTACCTGAGGGAAAAAAAGGAAAAGTAACAACATTAAAAACAGCGCGCAGGCTCAAAAGAGAGAAGAAGCAGTGATGATTTTGAAAGCCGAAAAAAAAGCAGGTAGTTGGAATTGTCAAATAAGATCGTCGAGGCATTTTGTGTGGGTGTTTAGGAGCATGTGCATTGATCAGCGGCGAAAACAGAACACGTTGCTGCTTCGTGCATAGAGTTGGCTGCTTCCTTGACTTTCGGGGCGCGCAACACGACCGTACACAGGTCAGCAAATGAATACAGCAGAAAAAAAAAACATGAAGAAGAGAAAGAAAAAAGAGCTATTTAGATGTCTATTGCGTCAGGCTCGTAGTCCTCCTCTTCCGCTGCATTTAGCGCGGCGTCCTCGTGCAACGGCGCGTGCTCCTCGGTGGGCGTGACGGAGGAATCGGAAAGACCCTTTGTGTGCGCCGTCGTCGCGATTCCGTCGGACACGGTGTCCTTCACGCCATTCCTCTCCTCGTCCGAGTCAGCCGAAGGGCCGTACGGGTGAGGGATGGCAGCGCGCGCCTTCTCTACCGTCGCGTGTGTGCTGACGTGCTCACGCAGCAGCGCATCGTAGCCGACACGGTCGGCGTGCATTAGATGCGCGGCCTGCGGGTTCAGCGGGTCGGCCGGGTTTGGGTACCGCAGCAGCTGCGGCAAAAAGACGTCAAAGATATTCTCTAGCTGATAGAGTGGCGTCCAGGTTTGGTTGATTACATCGAGGCAGACGCTGCCGCTGCGCTCATCGACGTTGGGGTGCAAAATGCGGTTGCAGAAGCCGATGGAGGGAGACTTGAAAGGGTATTCGCCCGGCAACTGGACGTGCAGCGTCCACGTGCCGTCCTCGTAGGGCGTTCCTTCTGGGCCGTTGAACTCGACCCAAAACTCAGCGACGGTGTCAGAAGGGTAAACCTTACGGTTGGAGTTGCAGAGTCGCATGAAGTCCATTTCGCGGCGGCGCGAGTTTCGTCCGTTGCCTGTGCCGCTCATCTCCTCTAGAATTGTATTGGGCACAAGAAGAAGGAAACAGACAAGTGGAGGCGAACGCTTGGAGGCCAGATCGCGTATCGCTGAAGTCGGGACAATAAAGTTGCTGTTTTTTTTTTTCTGACCTCAAATCGAGCAAAAGAAAAAGGAAAAAGAACGAGCGTGATGTATATTTTCCGTTGAAATCTGTCGTGACCTCAATTGGCTGCAGCCTGGCTTTTTTTTTCTTGATTGCACACGGGAGCTTCACCTTATTTTTTCCGTTGTTTGTTTTCCTTTGGCAAGAAGCGCGCGAGTGCTGTTCGTGGGATTTTTTTTCTCCTCGGTGGCTCTGTGGTTTTCAAGTATATAAGAAAGAAAAAGAATGAAGAGCTGAGATAGGGGCTTACGATCGCAGAAAGTGCAAAGTGAAGCCACTCTGTTGATCTACAGAGCTCTGTGGTTTTTTTCTTCTGACAGCAATGCAACGTGATTGACAAGAAGCGTTACACAGACTGCGGAGACGAGAAACGAGGGCAGAGTGCGGCAAATGAAAACGCCGTGGCCAGAAGTGGAAACCAAGAAAAGGTGAAGAGAAGAAATATCAAGGGAAGTACGTAGCTTTTCATAAGGAGTCGGGGGAAAAAGAGCGAGCAGTGCCCTCTCCTGTCACTCGCATGGGGGAAAAAAAAAATTTTAAAAAAGGGGGGGTGCGTAAACGCGGGAGAAAATCAAAACCGGCGCTGCAACAGCATCAAGAGAGGGTCGTCGTCCTAGGATCCACTTGAACGCGTGTGCAGGGAGGAGAGCAACGAGGTTGGCATTTCTTTACAGAGTATCGCCGGCTATCTACCTCCGTCGCTTTGTCGACGGATCGTTTCTATTTTTGTGTTGAATGTGCGGCGCGCACATCGCAATTAAAACCCGGAAAATAAAACGAGAAGAAAGGAGCGTCTGACGGGGACGAGTGAAGAAAGTTTACATACTTGAGGCACAACCGGGCCACACACAACAATCACCATGAAAATTTTCGGTATTCAACAGTACAGAGCGAAGAGTAGAAGGAGAACCAAACCAAACGTTTTCTTTTTTTTTTTTGAAGTGAGGTACACGAAGAGAAGGACACAGGAGCTGTAAATTAGAAAGAAAGAAAAAGACGGCAAGACCAAGAAAACTGGGTCGTTCATAGAAGTACTCCACCTTTTTCCTCGTTACAGCCGGACAACGGTACACTGCGGAGGGCGGAACACAAGAAGAAATGCAAAGCGATGCTCCGAGCTTCGTGGAGGGGAAACGTGTATTCTTAGTTCTTTGAAAACCGACTTCCGCTGCCGTATTTATGCCGCACTTCTCTTGTTGCTCTCCACCGGCACAATCACAACTGATACCCCTTCAAATCGCCGTACACCTGTACAAGCAAACACAGATGCGACAGCACCTTCGCACACCTTTCGTATTTGACCATGTTATGCGCAACCCGTTTTTGAGTGACTTCAGTTTGAGAAATCACAGTAAAAGTGGGGAGATATGCGCTCTTATACTTAATGTTTTTTTGTTGTTGTTGTTTCGCTGTTAGTATGTATGGCACAGGCGGAAACGATGATGTGCTGCAGCGTGTTATCCCGTATGGACGAATAACTCCGCATCTTCAGAAGGGGCAGCAAGACTGAGACCACAAGACAGTGCTGTCGAGTAAATGATGAGGCAAACGGAAAGAGAGAACAAGCGATCCACAGTCTTTCGTTTGGATAAGCGAGAAAGGAAAAAATGCCCAAAACCTCTAATAATCACGCGCACACGACCCGTACAAAACCACCATTAATAGTGAAGCTTCCCCGTCAAAGGACACAATTGCTCGCAATCTTCCGTAATCGCCGTCCCGCAGTCGGTGCACACAAGCACCAGGTCATCATCGCTAGGGTGGGGAGACATCCCTGCTAACAGCTTCGGCGACACGTAGCGGCCACGGCGACTCGCCGGTAGTGAGGCGTTGGGGTTGATTTCGCCTTTGGTGTTGTAGTGAATGTGGAAGCTACCCTTCAGGTCGACATTGGAAAACGACCCATTCGGGTCCATGCCGCTGCCACCCCCGCCGCTGGATGATTCATCCGACACGTCGTCGTCATCGATCGGGATCGCAAGCTTTTTCGTGCCATCAGGTGAGAAAGTGTTACTCAAGTCGTCGTCCATCCCGTTAGCGTCCCTGTTGGCTACATCGTTGCCGTTGGGCGGTCTATTGGGGCTGTACGGCGACCCCTTTGTAGGCGACGCGGAGCCGCCCGCACGCCCACCCGCGCCACCGACAGCACCCTCCTGCGCCGCGTCGTCATACGTCGAGCCCCTATCGCTCTTTAGACTTGATTTGAGAGGCACGGGAGCTGGTTTCTTCTTCAACTGCGAAAATTTACATCCCATTTTGTTTTCCTTTGCGTTTCAATATTTTTGGTGGAGTTGCCGCCGCAGATCTTGCGTCGGAGGCCAGCAAAGAAAAAAAAGGGTAGCGCTGTGAAGGAAACGAGTGGCACAAGAAAACGACGACCACAACAACAAAGAGGTAGGGATTAGCTCACGAATGAACGCCGCACGCACACACACATACACACACACACTACCGTGACGCGGCTAAAAAACAAGGAAATATGTCTCTTGTATATCGTCGGCAACGAATTGTATCGAGAAGAAGAGAAAAGGGTACCTCAGACTCTGGGAGTCAAATCGGAGGCACAACTACTTTTTTCAAAACGCGGAACAAAAAAAAAGGGGTCGAAGATGCATCAAAGAGAAAAAGACAGAAAAGGGAAACAGAGCGTCACGCGAACCAAGGCTGCCAGCTTACGCCATCCAAACAGATATATGTATATAATGCACGAAAGGAGCGGGTATCTCTCCAACTAGTTAATTAGAACAGCTTCTGTTACGTATGTTGGCACGCAGATAAGGCACTTAGAGAAAGAAAAGAGAAAAAAATACTGTAGCGCAAGATTAGAGCACAACGGCAGTTTCGACTTCGCGCGTCACCGTTTTATCAACGTACATATGAATCGAATAACGGCAGCAGATCGTGTGCAATCCTTCTGGAGCCAGAACATGTGCTACCAGGAGCCGTATACCACTTCTTGAGCAGCAAGAAGTCGCAAATTTGAAAACAGAAAAAGGTGAAAGAGATGGTTCGAACGCGTGAATTGCGGTCGAGAAAACGGCGTTAATCGGGGAGTTGACGTGGAAGAAAGGAGAGCGAGAGTGGAAGAGAACCGGTCTTGTCTTGCAGCGCTCTGCACGTCGACTTCACATGCATCAACACGCATTGCCTTCGTGCGGCGAGACCTTACAAAGCGTCCCCCGAAGATGTGCGCATCGCATCCGAGTCGAAAATGAAGAGCAATAACTTGAGCTGTCGTCCTTTGTTTTCGCCATCCACCATTTAATAAGAAAAAAAAAGACATCGACCAGTTCGATGGCACGTCCGTCATTTTATCGAGTTCAGTTTCTCTTTTTTTTGGTTTGTTAAGCGTATTCGCAATAAAGCAAAAGGAAAAGTGGAGAAAGAGCCTTAAATTACAGGTGGGCATCGTGCGCACACACTCTCCTCCCCTCTTTCGTCATTTATTTATTTAATCGATGACCAACTCCGACTCGTGGCACGACAGCGGCGTCTCCTCCATTAGCAGAGTACGCCATGCGCATGCGAAGAGAAACACAAGATTAGCAGAGATAACGGTGACAGCAAGACGACATGAACAACACAAGAGCGGGACACAGGCTATTTTGAGGGGAGGAGAGGGGAATTGCCTGAAAAAAAAAAATGTCTGTCTAATAATCATAATCATCGCGCTTCGCGTTGAACGTGTCAACATGCTGGCGAATCTTGCTACCAGGCATCCACGTAACGAAATCCACCAGCCCCCGCGGCACCAAGAAAGCGGGATCGCGGATCTGCGTGGTGCCAACGCGGACGTGCCCGTGATGGACGATGTCCGCCCCTAACTTGCAGTTGCCGGCCATCTTCAAGTCACGGAGAATGGTGGGCAGGCGGCGCTTGCAGAACGCTTCCACACCCACCTTGTCCACCTCCGAAAGGCCCAGCTTCTCCTGAATAAGTCCCATGTTGTACATCTTCTCCATCAGCTGCTGCGTAATTTGAATGCGAATCTTGCTGTCCGCCGGCAGGTAGCGAAGTTGTGTCTGCAGCTGGCGAATTAAGCCGACGAGACGCATGTAGCGGCGGTAGTCCTCGCGGTCCTCGAGGTGGTACTTGGCGATGCAGAACGGCTCGTGCCAGTTGTCTTGCGGGTACTGCATAAAGTCGTGCTTTTTGAGCAACTTCCGTTCGTGGTACTTCAGCTCACGATGGATTGGGTTGCCCTTGGAGTGCTGCGAAGCCGGCGTGAACTTGCTGCGCTTGCTTCGCTTCACAGACTCCTGCTGCGCCTTCAGCGCCGACGTGCCCATGGCGGCTTTGAAGCCTTTCTTCTCCGCGGTGTCGCGCGGCATTTTTTTTTTCTTTTGTGGCGGTGGTTCTCCTTTCTTTCTTGCAGCTTCTGTTTATGCAGGGTGCGGTGACGATGCCCAGTCAAGTCGATGCGCGCGCAGGCGAGAGAGAGAAAGAGAAACGAAGGGGATTGAACAGGTGTGTGGAAAGGGAGGCGAGCGTTCTGAGGGGTGCCGCTGACGGCCGGAAGCCGCGTGCATGTCGCCCATGTGCGCACACGCGGTAGAGCTACACACGCAACAAACGTGCGTATCGGGAGGGGAGGGGGGAGGGGGGAGCCAGCAACCAAATCTCGCGATGCGCGGAAAGCTGCTGTACACTAAAGCAAAGCGTTGATGTCGCATACCTTTCTTTCTTCTTTCTAGAATTGCATCTCTTGCACCGTTATGCAGTTGCTTCGTCGTTGTTACCTCCCTTGTAGACGGGAAGGCGAAGCAAAGAAAGAAGAACGAAGAACAAGAATAATATGATAGAGTCCGACACACGTGAGATTTTTCGGCAAAGAAAAACGTTGTAATAAGAGTAAGTTGCAGATCCAACACGTAAATCACAGCAAGTGCAAAACAAAGCCGCTCTTTTCTTTCAATGAGGGAACGAATCTATATAAACCCGCGCCGGAGCCACCACAACCTGAAGAAGAAAAAATTTAAAGAGCAAAAGAACAGACCGCCAGCTTTTAGTCTACCGTGTCAGTACACGCACGTGAAAGCAAAGAAAGCGGGAGGGGGGTGAAACGAGCGGAAGAGCAAGAAGATAATAATAAAAAAACGGTTCAAACGAAGAAAGAAAGAAAGCGACTACTCGCGAAAAGCACACGAAAGTCGAATGAATACATGAAATACGCCGCATGGAACAGATGGAAGGGGAAGGCGAAGACGATAATAGAGAACAATGGCCCAGTCAATCTGGTGCTTTCGTGCTCTTGCCATCTCCTCCGAGTTCCTCCTCACCGATTAGCACTGCCTTTTTTTCCCTTTGGCAGTACTGTCTGTACATGAAGCAGAACGTCAGCAAAAGTAGCAGAAAGAGGCCCGACCACAACAACAAAAGTAGAGAGGCGCAAAGAAAAAAAAGAAGAAGAGAAAATTTACAACATTCGCCGCATTACCGTCTCTTTTCGTGTTTTTTAGCATTTTTTCGTTTTACAACCCGCGTGAACGCATGCCGCTGCCACCGCGGAAGGTGTCGTGCTCTCGCTGCGCCTCCTGTCTTTCCAAGTACATCTTCATGGTCGCCACCTTTAACTCCTCTAACTTCGACCGAAGAGCTTCGTTCTCCAGGATCATCTCATCGTAGCGCTGCGCGGCCTTGCTGGCGGTGGCCTTGGCTGCTTTGATCTTCTTCTGCAGGGATTTCTGCGCGACACGCTCTTCGCCGATGCGCTCCTCGCACTGCGCAGCGTTTTCGGCGAGACGGCGGTTGTTGCTTGCGGCCAGTGCGTTCATCTGGTCTGCCATCTCCGCCTGGAAGTTGTGCTCCTGCTGCCGCAGCTCTAGCTGCTTGTCCCGCACCGTCTGCTCCAGCTCCTCGTTCTTCTGCTTCTCCTTCTCCAGCTGCCGGTTCGACCACTGCACCATTTGCCGGTTGTTCTCTAGCTCCTCGTTCTTGCCGTTGAGAATCTCCTCGGTGCGGGCAACCTGTTCCTGTAGGCGCTGATAACTCTTTCGCTGCTCCTCGAACTCGGCCGCCGTGTTGCGGATCTCGTCAAAGCGCTGGTTCGCCTCATTGAGCTGCACTTTGTAGTACTCCAGCTCGCCGTCCTTCGCACGGACGGCGCTGTCCATCTCCGCCTTGACCGAATCCACCTGGCTGCGCGCGTTCTCCACCTCGACGGCGAGCTGCTGGTTGTACGCCTGCAACTCCTTCACCTCCTTCTCCATCTCAGTCTTCTCCTCCGCAAACTGGGCCCGCTCATCTTCCAGGGTCGACTCAAGCTCCTTCATCCTGCGCTCCGACTTGTTCAGCTTCTTCACAAGCTTGTCGCACGTCTGGTCCTTCTCCTGGCGCAGCACCTCCAGGTCGTCCTCCTTGCGCTGCAGCAGCTCCTTCACCTGCAGTGCCGTTGCCTTGTCGATGCTCGCGTTGGCTACGACGCCGCTCAGTCCGACCTCCGCCACCGCCGCGGCGCCACCGCCGGCACCTGTCTCGGTGTTCGGCGTCACGCGGCCCGTCTTGAGGAGCTCGTACTTGCGGATCATATCGTCCAGCTTCATGTGGTGTTGGTGCATTATCTCCATCAGGCGCTGTTTCGTTCGGATCTGCTGCTGCAGCTGCGCCACGACGTCGCCGTCGATCGGCTCCTCGTCCGCGGCCGCCAACACAAAGGCCTGCGTCTCGTTCGCGGCTGTGGCCCCAGCGCCTTCGAGGCTACGCGTGTCGGCGATGCAAACGCCGAAGCGACGCAGCGAGACGTTCGTTTCCTTGATGCGACTCTCCAACATCGTCTTGGCGTGTTTGGCGTCCTTGAGCTGCTGCATGATGGCCGCGCGCTCCTCGGGGGATCCCCAGTCCCCGCCGGTGGCGCCCAGCGCGCCAGACATGCTGAGGGAAACATGGGGGACACTACTGCCGAGTCCCGCGGCTCCGGCGGCGCCCGACTCCTCAAGCATGCGCCGCAGCCGATCGACCTCCCGTTCCTTCTCGGTAATCTTCCCCTTGGAGGACTCGACCTGGTCCTGCCACGTCTTGATCTCCTCCTTCGTCTTGGCGAGCTTCGCCTTGATCTTCTCCTGGTCGCGCTCGATCTTTTCACGCAGCTTCACGTTTTCTTCGCGCAGGGCGTTCAGGTCCACCTTCAGCTGCGAGGTGGCGCCCTGCTCGGCGTTGCGCCGCGTCACCTCCTCGTCGCGCTGCCGCTGCAGCTCCTCCTTCGCCCGCGCGGCCTCGTTCAGCTGCCGCTGCGTCTGCTCCTGCAGGTCCGCCAAGGCGCGACGCGCGTACTTCTCCATGTCGTCCTTTGTGTAGGTGACCTTGCGCCAGTGCTCGTAGAGCTCTGCGAATCCTTGGAGGTACAGCCCGATCTCCTTCACGTCCCAGTCCTCCGGCGTCGTCTTGGCGATGCTTTCGGGCGGCATGCCGGCCTTGATCTTGTCCAGCTGCTCATCGGAGCAGACACGCTTGAGGAAGGTGATGTTCGAGAAGCGCAGGTCGCGCAGGCGGCTGGACTCGTTCGAAAAGTTCGACTCCACCAGCTCCCGCCGCTCCATCTCCCGCTGCAGCTCGTGCTGCCGCTCCGCCACCTCCTTCTCCTTCTCCTCAATCTGTGCCTGCAGGGTGCGGCACTGCTCCTCCAGCTCGACGTTGTTGCGCACGCCACCGCTGCGCAGGTCAGAGTTTTCAATCTCCAGCTCCTCAATCTTCTGCCGGAGGTCGTCCTCTACGTTCAGGTCGACGTTGCCGAGCCGCTTCCGGAGCTCCTCGATCTGGTCGAGCAGGTCCTGAATGCGGGCGTCCTTCGGGTCCATGTTCTTGAGCGGTTTGTTCTCGATCTGCTTCGCGCGCAGGGCAAAGCGCAGCGTCGAAATCGTCTCCGACAGGTTCTTGTCAGACGGCCCCACGTTGGCGAACATCACCGTCTTGGCATTGCCGCCGAGCGAGTCCTTCAGCAGCATCGTCAGTGGAGACCCACGGTAGGGGATGTGCTTCGCGCCCTTGACAATTGTGTCGATCACCGTCGCCAGCGCCGACAGCGAGAGGTTGATGTTGCACCCCTCCTTCGCCGTCTCACCTGTGGCGTTGGTCTTACTCAGCTTCTCCGAGCCCGCGAGATCGACCACGTTAATCTTGCTTGTCATCACAATGGGTGAGCTGGGGTCGTTCTCGAAGTCGAACTGCTCAATCTGGACGGTGAAGAGGGAGTGGCTGCGGCTGCTGGTGTCGTTGAGGTCCGTCGACGCGGTCTGGCGGCGCTCCGTGCCGGCGTTGAACCATTTGATGGCCTCCTCGAAGCCCGTCACCTCCGGCATCTCCGCCCCTTTCACGTAGAAGTTCTTCGCCATGTTCTGCTTAATTTCCAGGTTCACCTGCTTCGTCGTGAGCAGATCGCGCGATTTGCCGTTGTACAGTTCCACGTAGGACACCTTCACCTTGAAGGTCTTGGTGGTAGAGCTGAGCTTCTTGATCTCCGAAAAGATGTAGTCTACCACCTGCGGCATCATACCCCACGTGTCCCGCTGGCTCAGCTTACCGGTCATCGTGTGCGTCTTACCGGAACCCGACTGACCGTAGGCGAACACAGTGGCGTTGTAGCCCTGCAGCACCGCATCAGCCAGGGGCTGCACCTCCTGCAGAAAAATATCGCGTTGCGTGAAGGTGTTGTTGTAGACGGCGTCGAACGCAAACACATCGGGGTCGCCGATCGGGTGCTGCACCACGACCTGGTTCGTGGCGAGGTCCAGCCGCACGAGGGCCTTGTCGCCGCGCTCAGCCTCGTAGGGCAGGATGTCGCGACACCGGATCACGACGCGGATGTTCTCCGCACCTGGCGTTTTCTTCACCATTTTTTTTTGTTTGTTAGCTTGAAATACGTTTACTATGTGTGTGGATGGGCCGCTGGGCGCCTTAGCTACACGAAAGGCAAAACGATGGTGTTCTTCTTTGGAGGAGGAGGAGGGTGTTAGAAGAGAAGCGCCAACGGCCTGTGCAGAAGAAGACGAAGGAAAAAAAGGGAGACCCCGTCACACGGCTTGCTGGTGCGGTCGCCGGCTCAATACCTAACGACGAGACAAAACACACAAGAAGCAGAGGGAGTTCCCAGGAACCTCCACCCAGCAACAACAACGGCAAAAAATAGAGTGAGAAAAGCAGATGTACGCAACGATGTAGAGAGGATGCCCCACTCGTCCCTGTTTATGATGACTCAACGAGCGAGCGGGAAAACAAAGCAATATATATACCAGAGAGCAAGCGTCAATTGAATCTAACTGTATTATTAAAGCCTTCTGCCTCGTGTGTAGTTTTTTTTCTTCTTTGTTGTAGTCGTGGAAAAAACAAGCGGTGCAGCCAATAAACGTGCAACAGTTGCTTTCACAAGAGAAGGTGGTTATTGCCGACAAGAGAGAAGGCGGAACAGAAAAGATCGCCATAGAAAATGGCAAACAAAAAGGCGACGAGGGCAGAAGGGGCGATGGAGGGAGTCATGGTAGAGAAACGGTGTGGGGCACATATTCCCTGAAAGGGGAGAGAGGGGAGAGAGAAAAAATGAACTTTCCCTCGTTTGCTTCACTTCGGGTGCGCAACACACACAGACGAAGGCACACACCGCCTTCAGAACTCAGAAAGATGCGCGTGGTTTTCTCTCGCGAGTTTTCTTCCCTTCGCGTGTCGAAGCAACGCACTCTGTAACGAAGAAAACACCAACGACAATAACCACCAATATAACAGAAAGTTTGCCTTCAAAAAGAAAATATGCGTTATCGCCTTGTCTACGCTACATCTCGCAGCGACGCAGCGGGTCGTAGAACTCGCCAATGGGCACAAATGCGACGTCCAGCGGCCAATGTTCGTGCAAGGCAATGTGCTCGGAGATGTCCAAATAGGGATCTTGATAGAGAGCCCCGGCGTTTACATCGCGCGGGGGGGCGCTTTTCATGACGCGGGCTACCAACACCCCCACACACCTCCCAGATGACTTGCGAAGGACAGGCCCGCCGCACATGCTTAGCGGCAGCGGTGGCACCGCAGGACTCTGGCTACGGGTGGGCGAGGAGGAGGAGGGAGAGCCGCTGCTCTCCGGAGACGTTTCTGCCGGTCCGTCAATGGACGCTAAAAGCACCGTGCCATAATCCAGGGACAGCAGCGCTGCCTTGCAGGTTGCAGCGAGCCGCACGGGGAGCAGCGTCAAGCCGTCGTCGTTCGGGTTCGCGCGCTCCTCCTCGGTGTGCACGCCGCACAAGACCAACTCGGTGCCCTCCTCAATGGGTTCTAGATCTGGCTCTACTGCTTGCAGCGCAGACCTCACGCCTTGATCGTCCGCGGTCATCCACTCCTTCAGCTGCTTCTCATCTTTTACCCTCAGCGAAGCGACATCGACGCTGGGCATGTACCTCTGGCTAAACTCAAGATCGAACGATTCCTTCACTTTGTGGGTGGTCACATCCGGGAGGAGCAGGCGCGTGCTAATATGGCGCTCCCCGATCGCTTTAAGACCGATGGAGTCACCGTAAATCGGCTTGTACCTCACCGGGCAGCTTACGTGAGCGGCGGAGATGACATGGTAGGAGTAGAACGTGTTGAGCTGCTTAAATTTCATGAGGAAGCCGCTGCCTCGCACGAGCGGCAGCACCGTCTGTCCTTTCTGTGTCCACAAAAAGTAAGATGACACGCCAAACGCAGACATCTCAAACAACAAAAGAAAAGCGATAATTCACGTCTTGGATGTTTCGTTTTCGACACCGCCGTTGCCCGTCTTTTTGCTTTCTCCGCTGTGTGTGTGTGCGAGGAGTATGAAGAAAGCGCCGAAGATGCAACCAGGTTCCAAAGTCAGTGGTACAGCAAAGGAGAAGGAAAGGGGCAGAAGGCCTTGAACAACAGTTAAGAGGAGGATTTGAAGGAAAAAAAACTTTTCTCCGTTGAAAACAGCGTCGTTTGACAGCAAAGAGAAGCGTCGCACGGCACATTTGGTCAAGCGCAGCGTGCTACGCTCTGCTTTCAGGCTTGGCGTTGAGAAGGATATTGTGTTCTCATTAAGAAGCCGTTAAAGACAAAAAAAAAAACAGAAGAGCCGGAAGCAAAGCCAACAACGTGTTGACATTGTAGTCTTCTTTCTAAACAAATATTTACGTATACATGTACGCCAACAAGCAGATGGCGGCGAAGGTGCAGCGTGCGTTACACGCGTCTCTTTCCCCATTTTCTCCTTCATCGTTCCGCCTTACCACATAATTTACATCGTATCGATTCGCGCGCACTTCTCCCCGTACAAGACGGCTCCACACGCACGTGGCGTCCTTTCTGGTGCTTCAGCCCCTGCGTTGCATCGGCCAAACAGCTTGAGACGGGGACACAGGTGGCGTTGCAGACAAACATGACACAGACTGTCTGCTCGTTCAGTGAGGAGGCAACTCCCTCTTGCCTTCCCTTCGCATCACTCCGTCTCGCACCTCGTCTGCTGAGTCAACTAATTTCTCAAAAGAGATTGGCTCGCTTCATCAGGCGCAGGTAGTCAGCCTCCGTCACAGCGAGGGTGTCCTTCGCGTCGAACTCAGAATGTCCCTGCGCAACAGTGTGAAAACCCACGGAGCGCGCGAATTGAATCATCTCTGCCAACTCATCGTCCGTCAGCTCCATGTGCAGCGAGTTCGCGATGGAACGCAGGTTTTCCACATCAACGTAACCCTTGTCCTCCGCATCAATTTGCTTGAAGGCTCGCACGGAGTCCGTTCTGTTCTCCTTCTTTGTCATCTTGAGTGTCAGCACGCTATAAAACTCGTTAAAATCGATCAAGTCCGCACCGGGAGCGCCGATCTCTTGCAGGAGTTGCTGCAGCTCTGCGCGGCTGACGTCGTAGCCCAACGCGTACAGCGCGACCACCGCCTCGTGCGAGGGGATAAAGCCCTTGCCCGCGTCGTCAAAGAGGTCGAAGGCCTGACGAAGCTGCTGCTTATACTCCTCTGGTACTTCTATCAGCGCCGATAGGTCAAAGGACTGCACTACACCGGTCGAAGCACCTTGTTTCTGATCAACCGCATGAGACGGCATTGCTTTGTCCGACTTCTTTCCGCTGGCCTGCACGCCCTTTGGCACGGTGGTGGGCATTGGATGCCGGTGCTAAAGGCTGAGCTGGGACAACAACGGAGAAGAGAAGCACTGTGGCCTGAGAAGAATCGCGACGCTCTCCTTCGTTCGTGTTCAAAAAGAAAGAGAGGCGAAGAAAGGAAGGAGAGGAGTTGATCCAGCTAGCAGCTGTATCACCGTACTCGACGAAACAGTAAACAAAACAAAAAGCGGCTGTAAAGAAGCTCGCCGGATCCGAAGAAAAAAGACGGTTCATTTTAATCGTGTGGCTTCAGAAGCAAACGCTTGGCGATCGCAACCTTGCATTGCTCAGCGGTGTACTCGTTACGGGCACTTTCCTTTGCACATTTCTCTTTCATACCGACCTCACCTTTTGACCCTTGCCGTCCACCTGCAAAGCACGCTCTCCACTTACGCTATTGCTGCGGTATGCCGCTGTTGGATGTTTACGTGACGACTCGGCCGGCCCTACCACTCACTCTCGAAAGCCTAGCCTAGCGCACGCACACACACACACACACACACTCTGCCCCTCTGCAACAGGAACACATTAAAAACAGCAACCGCAAAAACAAATGGAAGCGAAACAAGAGAACAAAAAAAAGGCAAGAAGGTCAACACGATGTGCGGTTATTGATGCTGCGCGCCGTTTCGCTACGCTGTCAAACAAAAAAGAGGCGTCCGCTGCCTCTTGAGCACCCCGAAACCCCAAAACCTTCCTGCCCTCAAACGCTAACGGAGGACACTACAGGATAGTATCCATCCTTTCCCTGCCCTTTCATGGCGCACAAGTCAACCTTGTCGAACGTGACATCGCCGAATTCGTCGTGCTGATGACTCGCCCACATCGTCATCGGAATTTGATGGCCAAACTCAGCCTGTTGAGACGGTCGGATCTTCGCCACCGTGACGTGAGGCACGTACGAGTCGTGCGGGTTGCCCTTCATATCCACGCCCAGACCAAGGCCCACATCTTTCCGAATTCGTCGCACCAGATGATCTAAAGTGGAGAAGTGCGCCTCTGTGATGCACCGCGCAAAGAGGACCCGTCCGTGGCTGAAGGTGCCAAGGCCGCGGAAACGCAGCTGCAGCGGCTCCTTGCAGATCTCGTGCGCCGCCTGGCCCACGCAGTCGTGAATGGATGCCAGCAAATCCGCAGACGACTTGACGCTGCTCGCCACAGCTGCCTCCGTTGCGTCCTCTTGACTCTCCGCCGCTGCATCCACGCCGTTGCCCACCGTCATCACCCCCAACGTCACATGCAGCCTCGCGACCGGGATGAGCAGAGACTCGACGTGCTGATCCGCAAAGATCATCGCGTCGTGCATCTCCTTTACACGCACCCGCAACGTGCACCGCGCCGGCAGCGGAAGGGAGAGGAAGTGCGTCGGCCGCACCCGTTGACTCCACGCCGGGGCCTGCGTTTGACGAGTTGCGCCGGTGGTGAAGTTGGTGCGGAGCTGCCGCCGGTACCGCGACTGGATGTCCGCCTCCTCCGTGCCTGCCTGCGGGGTGCTCCGCTGATCCACGATGCGGTGGTTGATGGGGAAGTACAAGCCACGCTCACTGCGCCCACGAAGCAGCCGACCGCACCGCAGCCACATAATTTGTTTGTTTTTAAGCGGCAATCGAGAAATACTGTCACGTTGCGATGTTCGTGAGTGGGTGCGTGTATGGCGGGGAAACGCGTTCAGAGTGCTCCGAACAAATCACTGCTCACAAAACACAGGGTTTTTTTTTGCTGGTAGCTTTTCTTCCTTCTTTGGCTTCCGCAGGAACTCGGCGACCGTCCGACCAACTCTGTGGTGCTGGGGAGCGAAGAAGCGACAATAGCATCGAGGTAGAGACAAGGCAAAAAGAATTCAAGGGATGACGGACTATTGAGAAAGGAGAACATTGCAAAGAAAGGGAGAAGTCTGTGCTGTTGCGCACGCACTGAGCGTCTCAGTTGCCGAAGAGCAGCTGCGGAAAGTTGAATAGTAGCAAGCCGTGACTGGGCGATCTCACCGCTGAGGAAAGCCGATGACCATGGGGGGAAAGCACCCTGTTGAGACCCTTCAAGCCCAACGGTTCAACAGCAAGAGCAATAATAATAATAAGGGCCCGGCAGCTAAACAGTATCTTCTCTGATATGATTCAGCGAACTTACTCGAGCAGTGCACATCAAAAGCGAGTGGAGAGCCAACAAAAAATAGGTGAGAAATACACATACACAGGTCTAGGAGGAAGAACAGTGGGAAGGCAACAGAAGGTAGCGCCTCTGCCACCACACGAGGGGCATTCAGAAAGAAAAGGAGGGAATGCACGATAATTGCAGCTGTACGGACATTGAACGCGTCGCTGCCCTCCTCGCACTCTCCCACAGGCGCGTGCGCACGCACACACACACACGTCAGTCACATCGCATTGTTGCGAACAGGGGACAGCGGCGACTCCTCCCCACCCCCTCCTCGTCGCCGGCGGTCGCCCACGTCAAGGTCGCGGCGATAAGCCACCAGGTGCTCCCGCCACAGACGCGTCTTGTTGGCGGAGTCCGCATAGTTCAAAAGTGGCGACGCCGCGGTGGTACTAATGGGCGAGACAGGCGAGGCGGCGGCGGATCCCGAGCTCTTCCGTCGCACCGGCGAAGCCGTCGTGACCCGGAGAGTCGGGTTGTGGGGCTCTTCCGCCGTGGCGGAGAGTACCGGCCGTAGCAGAGTCCGCTTCGGACTGTATGGCCGCACATCGCCCGCCTTGGTGGCTTGCAGCACGATGGAGGAAGCCAGCGCAATGCGCTTGATTGTGCGGTGTGCCGCCGGCACGGCGTCGTAGTTGAAGTACATATCCCCCACACTCGCCCCCCACTCGAGGAAGAATTCATGAAGTAGCTCTCGCTCCAGAGGGCTGTGGCGCACCTTGATGGCGTTGAAGGCGTGATTGAGGGCGTCGACGAGGCAGCGGAAGGCAAAGGTGGTCAGACTGGTGCCCTCCACCTGTCGAGAGATGATGTAAACGGCGGAGGTCACCATGCCAAGGGTGTGACGAGTTGGTTTAGAAAGGATCTTGCGAATCTCCAACGACAGCCCCTCCGGCTTCGCGAAGAGTCCGCGCTTGTACTCTACCATCTTGTCGCAGCTCTCCACCGTCAAGGCAGGCGACGAGCTGCTGCGAAACCAGTCGCACACGAGGAAGCTCAAAATGGAGACGTCCCGCACGCTTTGCACCCGGAAGCGTCGGCGATTGATCGCGATGCGGCACGACGAGAGCACGGCGTCACTGGGAGCAGCGCTGGGACCAAGGGACAGCAGGGCCAGCCGCGACGCCTCGGGGTTGTCCTTGGTGAGGTTCAGCAGCCGGCACAGGATGTTGTGGAGGAACAGCGGGACGTTTTTGTAGAGGTCCGCCTGCTCGCCGTGTAGCACCAGGCGTTGTCGTTGGATGAACAGGTCAAGATCGATCAACGCGTCAGAGATTTCAACGCGAAAGGCCTGCGAGAGACGCCAGAGGTGGTTTTCAAAGCCCGCGATGAACTGCCCCTGTCGCGTGGTTTGAATCGCACCCGGCCGCGCCTTGCGCACCAGCGCGATCGCCTCGGATGACGGGATGTGCTTGCTGTACACATAGTAGCACGCAATGAGCAGTCCTGTTCTGCCCAGGCCCGCATGGCAGTGCACGAGCACCTTACCCTTCTGCTTTATGTGGAAGTCCATCACCTGCACGCTGCGCAGCACCACCTCCTGCTCCGGTGCCGTCATGTCCGGCCAGGGAAACTCGTAGTACGAGATCCCGTGCGGCATCAGATCTTCAGCGCCGTTGTAGCTGTACCCGCTGCTCTCGTACACGCCCTCTGGTCCGCAATTGCTGTGCTCACCCTTTTCCTGGAGGTTTAGCACCCCGGTGACATGTTTGGCACTAAATTGGGCAATGATCGGGTACTTCACGAAGAGGGAGGTCGATGGGCGCTGGCTGGCGATCACGTCGTCGCCGACCCAGTTGGAGTTGAGCCCTTCAATGGCAGCCGCGCGCTGCGCCTCTTCCGTCATCGCCTCCCAACTCTCGTGTCGGCATTTGGTCCCCCCGCACAGGAGGGAGCAGTGGACGCCCTGCCGCGCGCGGTCGAGCCAGTCGTCCTGCTCCGACTCATCGACGCGGCGAAGCTTGGTGTGGCGGCTTTTCTTCTTCGTGTACGTTGCCGCACCACTGCGCGTCAGGCGCTCCGGCGGCGGCCGTGCGAAGTTGTCCGAAACGTCTGCGAGCATTTCCCCCAGATAGGCAGAAGAAAAAAGAGAACGCAAAAAGTAACAAATACACAGAACCAAGCGGTTCGTGGTGTAGTCTACCCTCAGCACCACACGATGCCGATCGCGCACGTCATCGCTAGCGAGGAAGGCAAGACGGAGAAAGCGAGTAGGAAGGGCAAAGAAATCCACCCATCAAACGCTTAGCAGAAATCGAAGAAAAGTGTGGTAGAGAGAGGTAAGAGCAAAATGCAGTCGGTCTAAGTGAAACAAAATGAATTATTCAAGTATGTATGTTTGAGGGTAGCGCAGCAGACATGCGAGCAAGCAATGCCTCGATGCGGAGGGAGATGTTGCTGTGGTGGTGGTGGTGGTGGTGGTGGGAACGATGCTGATAATGCAAAATGCTAGGAGAAATGCGCGAATAGAAAAAAGAGAGAGAAAATACGCTGCAATAGGGGTTTGAACGGAGATGCTGTCCATTCCTGAAGCAGACTCATTTGCGCTCGGATGGGCGTTTGATATCTTCAATACATATATGTTGAAGAAGTGAATAACTTCATCAATATAGACTTGAAGGCTCTCATCGAATTTACAGCGCCCCTCTTACATCCCATCGGGGAAGGTAGTGAACGTGCCTACACAGCCCTCTATTTTGGAAAGCCTTTTTTTGCATTTCTTTTGAACCCTCTACTATTATTGACGTATCATATAACACAGGGATTTCTGCCGCGACACAGAACTCCAACCAACCCTCCCGATGAAAAGGAGAGAAAAAGCAGCACAGACAAAAGAAATAGGTGTGGTTAATAAACCCCAAAGACGCATCGAGTAACATCCACGCGTTCTTTTCTCTAACTGGGAGAAAGAAACAAAAAATGTTGCTGTCGGCGAGCAGCGATAGGACATGCGACGGAAAGAGCGGCTGCCACTTGCCCAAACGCAGTCGTTATTACGTAAACGAACTTCTGATTCCCAAATGAAAGCAAAGAAAAGGGGGGGAGGTAAAAAAAAAAGAAAAAGAAGATGCCACGACACCAACATGAAACGTCCACGTCCCGAGAAGGTGCTTTTAGCGCGATCGAACACTACACATTCTCGATGTCCTTGTAGCTTTTGTACGCCTTGCTGACCTGGTAGCGCGTGACCTTCACCGACTTCAGCACCTTGTCCGTCACCTCCTTCTCAAGCCCCGCCTTGTCGAGCAGACTGACCATCGTCTCCTTGTGGTTCCACCCCTGCTCCTCCGCCACCGAGGGTAAGTAGGTGGCGCTGTAGCCGTCGTACTCGGCAACCAGGCCGTGCTTGCCGATTTCCCAGTCATTCCACGCAGTGCACGGCTCAAAGGTGTGCAGTAGACTGAAGCAGCACCGCAGCGACGGCAGTTCGCTCGCCTTGACTTTGGGGAAGCGAGAGTCCTCAAAGGCAGCCGACAAGGCTAGGCGGCCCATGTCCTTTTTCAAGTCTCCCGGGCGCAGCGAGCCGATGCAGCCGCGCAGGCGGTCGTGCGGCAGCGTCGTCAGGGTGACAAAACACGCCGATTTCTCCTCCGGTATCTCCGGCAGCGGCACAGGCGGCGAGTCGGGTGCGGTGACGCGGCGTGCTATCACACGGAGGCAGTACTCTGCCATCTCAGGCGTGGCAATCATCGCGCTGACGGGTAACACGCTTGCCGGGGTGGTGTATGTAGAATGATTGCGGCAATAATCTCGGTTTTTTTTTGGGGGGTGTTTCTGATTCCCGTCTACTGCTTCAATAACCGTGTAATAGTAGAGAAAATGATTTCCTGTGCAGAGAGAGAGAAAGCAGTGCGCAGATACGGTAGGATAACGCCGTTTTTCTTTTTTGTACTGCAACAGTCGACTTCGTAGAGAGCAACACGCATACAACGCAGAAGTCAATAGGCAGAGGGGGGCGGGGAAGTAACAGGAGCGGGCAGAGAACAAGAGCGAGTAGAAAGAACTACCAAAGTCATTTATCATTCGTCGTAGGACAAGGCATCACAAACGAGAAAAGGAGCAGGAAACTCGTGCTTTTCTGTGTTTTGCAGGTTTTTGCAATTGCGTATGGTGTGCAGCGCTACACGAAGTGAGCAAGAAACTCCTCCTACAAAAAAATGCCCCTTTTGGAAGTGGGAGAGGCTTTCCAGCCCCAACTACGTTCTGTCCCGCTGTGTTCTTTCTTGCGCATTCTCTTTGTAATCGCGTAACGCGTGATGCCTGTGAGACAACAAGCACACAAACAAACAAAAGGATAAGGAGAGGTCAACAATCGTGGAAAGAACGACGGTAACGAAGGTCGTTCCCACCCGGGCGGCCTCTCCTTCCAACCATCCCAGCCCACAACTGCTGCACCAAAGAAGGGTACCATCACGCCTACCTGGCTATTCTGCTCATCTCACACCCGCCCACCGAGAGACGCCGAGGAGAGGAAGCAGCAAACAGTGGGATTCACATAAAGAACGAAGACACGGCCTCCCTTCCATTCTGCGGCAGAAACGTGTTCGCCACGCGGGGGCCCATGTAGATGCCGTCGTCGTCTTCCACGTCACCGCCGGCAGGGGCGTTTGGTGCCTTCACCTCCGCCGCTGCCGCCGGATCTCGGCCTAGATGTGGCACCGTCACGCCCCGGCAGGCGTGGCCCGCGATACACTGATACGCCACCTTCTTCTCGTTCAGCTCTAAGAATCCCACGTGGCGCAGCGTGTGGTGCAAACTGCACAGCAGCTCCACGCACTTGCCGCTCACCAATCTATTCGTGTCCTCCTCTAACGGCGTAGACAGACACGTGCTCGGGTCGCGACAGACATAGCAGCTGTCTTGCAGAAACTCGCAAAGACTGATCGGGAGCGACTTGCCGTGCAGCGCGCACCACACCTTGCGCTCGACACGGCCATAACGACGGCGCACGCCGCCACCGCCGCCAGCACCCGCACCCGCCGACGGCGTCCAGGCAGACGCGTTCGCGTCGTAAAACCGCTGATCCTGCGGCGGCGGCCCCGCGCGATCGCCACGCCGCACCGGCCGAAGCCGGTCTCGGTCATTCGGAGTTCTATAAAGTGCTGACGGCCCCCGGTTGTCCCGCACGCGACCGCGCCGCTCCAGTCCGCCGCGCATCGGCCGGTCCATCGTCTGCCGGCACCGGCTGCCCTCCACACACTCGTAGACCCCTGCACCGACCTCCCTCAAGCTGCCCATCGGACGACGGCGTTGGTGCAGGCGGCAGATCGCTGACTCGCCTCGAATGGCGCCGCCGTGGTCCCGACGGTCGCCCATGCGGAAGTCACCGCGGCGGCCACGCATCCGCATGCCTCCTCGGCCAGCTCCCACGCGGTCCCGCATCATCGCACCGCGCCCGCGCTGCGCCATCGGCAACCGCCCACGAACGCCCACGCCCCCAGCGCCGCCGCCGCGGCCACGACTCGTGCGCTCGCCCCGGTCACCGCCGGGACCACCGACAGAGTGGCGCCGGTCGCGGTTCATCTGGCACTCCTTGTGCGGCAGACAACGAAACTTGCCTGGCTGCTGACTCCACGGGATAAGGTCGTGCATCGCACGTCGCTTGCCGTGCAGACTGCAGAGGCCGCCATCTGCCCCATAGGAGGGGCGGGAGCCCCGACCCATGCCTCTGCCCTGCATATTATTATTGATATTGCTTTTTACTAATCGATGTTCGATTCCACAAATGGTAAGAAAGAGAGGAGAAAGAGACGCCCCAACAAGATTTTTACTGGTCTGACCTTACACGGTGCGTGCAAGAGCGCAACCGCACGCGAGAAGGTGTCACGCGAGATGTGAGCAGACCAAAACTTGAAATCCAAAGGCGTGACGAGCCAAGAAAAAAAACCCCTGCGGCTCGTCAACGTGTGCGTGTGCAAATACCTCTGTCGTCCGCCCGCCGCTGTCACGTGCTTCAGCGGAGGAACACAGTTGCCGTTAAGGAAGACGTGAAGGGGAGAAAGCGGAGAAAGAAATGGTGTGAAGTTGGAGAGAGCGGATAGGAGGAGGAGGAGGAAGCTCTGCACTACTAGGCGCTCTTCGGTGTCTCTGAATGAGCAAATCCTCAAGCAGCTTCTTTTATCGTTGTTGTGAACCACCTGTGTATGAGGTGATCAAGAAGGTTCACCAACGCAATTGTAATAAACAACGTTCGTTGCATCGCTTCCATGAAGTCTTTTTCTTTCATTTTTTCCCGCTAATTGTGGGGAAACGGAAAGAGAGAAGCAGCCAAGTTGAGTCAAGAAGAAATTAAAAGGTTGTCCCCATCTACCCCGGCTGTCGAAAACAACAAATATTAAGCGTGCTTTGCGGTGCGTTCTCTTTCTCGTTTGTCAATCCGAGGCGTTGCACGATACAACTCGCCACGACTGATGATCGAGTGGGTTGGACATCTGTAGCACAATCACCTGTGTGCGATGATCATCTGTGGCGAGGTACAACAGAGTGGCGGAGCGGCTCCATGAGGCACTCACCGCGCCAACGGGGAAACGAAAAAGCTCGAAGCTGCGTCGCTCATCGATCGCGGGCGACACACAGTTGTGGCGCAGGATAAACACCTCCTGTCGAGAGCAAATAGCGAGGAGCTGAAATCGGCGTCCAACAGAGGGAGCCCAGCTTACATCGCACACCGGCGCACGGCACCGCAACACGCCCGTCTCGACTTGCGGTACGTGGATTGGCATAAAAGAATTAGAGTCTTTGATGTAGCGGTAGAGGAAGAAGCGACCCGATACGCTGCCGACGGCGAGCGTCATGGTGCGCTCCACAGAGCCGGGAAACCAACCAATCGAGGTGACACCACCCGTGCGCATCATTGAGACGTCTGAGCTAGAGGTGCCTTTCGACGCCTCATCACGCTGTCTAGCTGACCCTGCACCGGCGTTCGTGCTCGCCGTGCTGGCAGCTCCTCCACCGCCGCTTCCGCCTGCTGGGCTCGGTGACGCTCCCTCCCTCTCCCCTTCCCCAGCCATGCCGGCCTCTGGTGATATCTTACACACACACGGAAACTGCTGCGGTTGGTGGACCTCGTAGAGCCGTACGCACCCATCCAGCGAGGCGGTGGAGAGCAGCAGGACGTGGTACTGCTGCGGTGGCACAAAGGCCACATCAGTGATCACGTCCTTCTCGTAGCCCCGCACCGGCGACCACCGCACTGTGTGCAGCAGCGTGCGCCCTTCGTGGGAGGAGATGATGATGCGGTAAATGTAGATCCAGCGATCGGCGCCGGCTGTGGCGAGCAGCGGGCCGTGCTCGCGGTGCTGGCACCAGGCGAGACGCAGCACCGGGCCGGAGTGGTCGTGCATGGCGCACCCCGGCTCCCACACCTCCTCCTCGCCCGCCACGGTGCGGCGGTGAAAGACTTCGACCGTCTTGTCGCTGGAGCACGAAGCGAGGAGAGACCCAGACGGGTCGAGGGCAACGTGGTGCACGTACGTTTTGTGCTGTGTGACAAGGCTCGCCATCTGGAAAAAAACACTAGATGAAAATAAAAAAGAACAACTGTGTTTGATTATCCTGCGCGGGTGACGCACCCCTCCCTCGCGTATTGCAGTGAAGACGGCGGACGTGGCGCGTAAAACCCCACGATAATGGCCTTCCCAGTAAATGAGTTTCAGCGCCGACTGCGAGACCAACCGGAATTGTAACGTTCGCGTACAAACACATACACAAAGAACAACAAGAGAAAGGTATGAATACGGTGAGAGAAGGAGATTAATTCACCACTTTACAACGGAGGTTCAGGTTCCACAGATCAGAGTGGCGCGTTGAGCAGGGAACCCCTCACCCTCCCCAAAGTCAGCGTCAGGGAAAAGCGACACCAACGTTGTCATTCGAAATTCTTTTCGGCTTTCTACAAACGCGGGAGTTCAGAACACACGCAGAAGAAAAAGAGCCGAGGCGCTGTTCGGCGTTTCCATTACTCGTCTTGCTTGAAGAATAAACGCAGTGTAACAGCCAGGAGTACAAAATACAGAAAACTCAACGAAATAAGAAATTCCAACTGGTGGAAACTAATTTACATACGAAACAAGGCATGTGTGCACGGTGTCTCTCGTGATTTTCCTTTCCCTCTTACTAGCAGCTGCGTCGGCCTCACGCGAGACGCCTCAGCGCTTCGCCGAGGACTTGGACACGGAGGATTCCTTGCCGAGCTCGGTGAAAAGCGGTGAGCATTGAAGAAGCACGTTGGAGACTTTGTCCAAGGGAGTTGAAAAGGGAGATGGGTCAAGATGAGGCGATGCCATTAGCAGCAGCCACTCCACGTCGTCGCGGTCGACCACATCGCCGCTCTGCTGCTGAACCAAGTCACACACCTCCGTCGCCTCTTCGCTAGACAACTCGAGGTGTTCTTCCAAGAGAATTGTGAGGCGGTCAGCGCGGAACTGTGACGATGCAATGTCGTCTTTCAGCCAGTCGAAGAGCAGAGAGACCGGCGCGGCATACCGGCGGAAGAGTTCCGCTGCTTCCTCACTGCGGCGGAAAATGAGCAGCTCATCTAGCGGGTCGTACGGGTAGGTGGCGTCCAGCCGCTCCGCAAGCGTCAGCAGCGGCCGACCGCTGTACTCCGCCACCCGCGTGACGTAGTCCACCAATTCCGCGAAGCTAAGAATGCCCTGGGCAGGGTAGAGGGCCTTGATGATGGGCAGCTCCATCGCGGAGACGATGGGCTCCCACACGGACTCTAACTTTGTCTGCGACAGCGGCACACCGGTCGCCGCAAAGCGAGCAAACAAGTCCTCCAAATACCCCTGAACAACCTCCAGCTCGCTGCTCATCATGCACTGTCGGACTGACAATAAGTAACGCTCATTCGCGTCGGTGCAGCGCTGAACCTTGCGCATGCCATCCGACACATCCTGCACCATGAGCGCGCCCCAATGAATCTCCTCGCCTCTCTGCGCGTCCTGCACCGCTTTGGTGGTCGCGGCCGCGCTGGCCGCCTTAATGAGCGCGAGATCGTTGCACGCGTTTGGCGTTTCCAAGTGCGCGGAGAGACGCAGCGCCGGCATGAACAGGGAGCAGTGCCCGCCGCTGTACAGGGTGGAGAGGAACGCCACGGTGAGGTTCAGCTTCGGCTCGTTGTGGTGCAGCACGTCCGTCAGGTGCAGCGGCGACAGGACAGGGCGGGCCACCGCGGCGACGGCGGCATAGACGCGATTTACATCCCCCACAAGCGGGGCGGTGGTCGCGGCGCGGGAGAGAGAAACGCGCTGCTCCGAAGTGGATGTTGGTGAGGCTCTGCCCACGGCGACGATGGCGGTGGTGGTGGTGGTCGAAGGGTTGCATGACGGTGGGGTGCTGGAGGCGTTGGGGAAGGCGCCTCTAGAGCCGAGAGGCGACGTGAAACTCGCCTGTGCACTGCCGCCGCCATGCTGTGAGCCGTCGTTGAAGCTGCTGCGGTCATTTCCACCCTCCGCTGATGCAGCTGTCGCGTCCTTGTTGTCGTCCGCAGACACCGTTGCACGCGGTCCCAGCGCATTTTCGTACAACAGCAGCTTACCAACGTGTTGAATACCCTGTCTGCTAGCCTTCGTGCGGGCACGCTTCTCAAGAAAGGCCGCGGTGTCGGTGATGTTCACCAGGTAATCCGTGCGCACCGTCCTGTCCGACTTGCTCGGGAGCTTGCCCACATCACCGAAGAGAAGGTGCACGCACTCCTTCCAGGTTGACCAGTGTTCGGCGAGGGAAAGCTGCGTCTCCGTGATGAGCTCCTCCAGCGTGTGCAAGCGGTCCTGCGTCTCCTCCAGCCGCTGTAGGCTCTCCCCGGCGAGTCGGCTCTTCTCTTTGATCTCTTCGGACAGGTGGTCGTGTCGGCTCTTCGCCTCGTGCTCCAGCGGATACAACGCCTCCACCTGCTGCTGCAGCGCGCTGGTGCGGCTCGTCTTGGCGTTCAGGGCAATGGTGTGAGCGTACCGCCGCCACGCGCGCAAGTACCGTGGCGCGGACTCATTTGCGGTCGCCCGCACCAGCCGTCGTCGCAGCTGCGCCTTCCGAACCTGCAACTGCCTACAATAGGTCCGCCACGAGTAGAAGCACGTCTTCACCCACATATGGTCCAGCTCATGCACCAGGTGGTCCATCACCTTCACCTCTACCCGCACGTGCCGCTCCTGCTGCGCCAGCTGCACCTGAAATTGGTTCCGCCGTGCGAGAACACGCCGAAACGCAGCAGCGTACGTCAGCTGCGTTACCCGCTCGGAGTAGGCCCTCGGCGGCGGCGGCGGAGACGACGACGACCCTGACGTGGTCGCGACACCGCTGGCGGACAAGGGTGTCCGTCGGGTGTACACGAGGCACGGGAGCAGCTCGTGCACGGCCGCGCTGGCCGCGTCGGCGGTCTCCTGCGGGAGGTGCGGTACACAAGCCTGCAGAACGCGTAGAGCAGTGTTCACGTACAGCCGTTCCGGCTGGTACAGCTGCTCGCAGTGCAGGCGCATCTCCGTCAAGAGAGCCTCAGCAGCCACAAAAGGGCTGCGGAAGCGTCGCAGTTCGCCCTCGACGTAGCGAAACCACCGGTCCAGCCGCTCATCGTCCACGAGAGAGTTACGCTCCTCCTCGTAGGGGTCGAGGGCGGCGGAGACCACCGGGATGTACTTTTTAGCCTGATACGTTCGCGGACGCTGCAACATCGCGTCGCTATTTGGGAGCTTTCCGTCGCTGTTGTGTGTGTGTGTATGTATTTACGTAGGAAAAGGTGAGTAAAGAGGAAAGGTGGAGGCGACGAATGCCGGTGAGGAAACCAAAACGTATGTTATTGCAAAGCGAAAAGAAAGGAAGACGCCCCAATTCGTTGTGTTGGGCCTCCTGTGTGGCGTAAACCCGCGGCGACGCTTTCCTTTGAAAGAAAGGCCGACCCGTCAGTTCTCTTTTTTGGGGGGTGAAAAGATTGAACGTTGAGGTGTGTCTGTGTGTGTCCTTTTGGGACCTTCCTTTACGCTTCCCAGCGGCAACGCAAGGATGATTGCAGCAGCGTCACGAGCAAATCCCTCTTTCTTGACGTTGAGCGACACATATGTGTACGATAACGTACGGAGAGGCGTCCTGACAAAAGTTAAGCTAAAAAGGTATGTGAGACATAACAAAAAAAAACGTTCAACACAGATGCCGCATACACACATACTGGAAAAGGATGCAGGCGGGCCGCAACTCGCTCAGGTGAGACAGCAGACCCCGTCAGGCGGCAAGCACCTCCCGCTACTGGCTGAGCAGACCCTTCCTCAGGCGCACGGTGAGGGTGTTGTTGAAAGTGAACCCGACAAACCACTTCCACGACTTGACAAACAGAATTAATGCGCAGACAATGAAAAAGGCTCGCTCGACAAACATGCGTGACTGCAGCTGCACACTCTCCTGCGTGAGTCGCTGGAAGTCCTCGTTCAGCTTGCGCTGCGTTGTCGAGGCGAAGCTGACCATTTCCTCGGCCAACTCAGACTGTTGAGCGCTACGCGCCCCGCGTCGCAGCAGCTCTCCGCGAAGCTCATGCACGTCCTCCCAGACTCCTTTCAAGAACGACTTCCGGAGCCAGCGCTCACGCACGGTCATCTCGTTCAGCGTCGCCGACTTACGGAAGAACTTTCCCTGCTGAATGGCGAGCTCGTAGCGGTTGCACATGCTTCTCACCGCCGCCTCCGTGTCCTCCTTGTACTTCTCCCACTGTGCCTCGATCTCCCTCAGGGAGCGGGCGTGGCGGGGCCGGCTCGCCTCGGCCGCCTCACGGGCTGCGCGGGCGTTGCGGCGGTGCACGCCACCCGAGCGCCCCAAATCCTCGTCGCGGCTGGCGCGGGCGTGTTTGTGCTGTCGGTAGGCCTCGTTAGCCTTCACCGTCGACTCCGCCTCCCGCATGCGGCGCAGCACGCTTTCGTGGTTTTCTTTGATAATTTTGTGAGCCAGGTTGACCTCTGCCATCTTTTCGGTGGAGCCGCCGGGCTTGTCGGGGTGATACTTCACGACGAGACTGCGGAACTGCTTGGAGATGTCCTCCAACGTCGTGGCTTGTGTGACGGTCACCTCGAGCACGTCGTACGGATTTCGCCCCTCCGGCGTCGTCGGCAGCTCCTTCGAAGCGGCGAGAAATTCCTTACTTTGGAAGACACAGCGCACGGCTGCCCAGGCGTGAACAGGCGGGAGTGTTCTGAAGCGGAGCATCACACTAAGAAGAAAAAACAAAAACACTAGTACGTTGATTGCTCGACGGGGAAGCCAGCAAATGTCTTTTTGTTGGCAAAATGCGCAGTGTTTCACGAAGCAGAGCCTACAGCAGCGGGAAACCTCCAAACGCAGGTGGGAGACACCAACAACAACAAAGGAAACGAGAAGCACACCCCTTTCGTGTACACAGAAAACTGCACCTACGCAACACCAATAGCGGGTCCGGCAACTCGCTCAGCGTTCTTTTTTCTGTCGTTCATTTTTTTGGTACGACGTTGAGTTTTGTGATCGCGGTGGTAAAGGGGAAGCATATGGCGAAAAGATGGCCAGATAAGTAGCGTTCACCGAGAGGTACACATGCAAGGAGTCTCACAGACGCATCGGCACCAGGGGCGATAAATGTAGACAGAGCACGTCATCATGCACGTTGAAGACGACGCGCAAACAAACAAAAAAAAGGTTCCGCTGCGTCCTCTCTCCCTCTCTCTCTCACCTTCCTCCACGTTGGTAGTTGTGAGGAAAGCGACGGGAAGTCGTTCTTCGACGCAGAGAAAAACACGAGCTTCCACTTTTCCCGTTTGATGCTCCTACACATGCTAGACTGGGAAAGAGGTGTCCTCTTCTGTATTCTTTTATTTTCGAAGCAAAAACTGAACGAATACGTCTCTAGTGTGTGTGTGTGTGTGTACGTGTATGAACAGACCAGTTTCCTTCCCCTTCATTTTGTACCCCCCGAAGACGAGCACATCGCTCCGTTGAAGGGGGGAAAAAAGAGTGGTGCTGGCAGGTGTTTCGGCGCATTTGAGCTGCCGCTCTCAGTCAAACAACTCCTGGCTCAGAAGCCGCCAACACTGCGTCATTTCGCCGCCGCCCTCCGTTTTCTTTTCGTGCTACGCGGAATGTGGGAGCACCATTTCCACTAGCTCGCCTCCCTGCTCGTAAGAGGGTGTGCAAAAAACGGCATTGACGTCGAAGGGCACGAAACTAGAGGAAAAGGCGGAAAGAATGTAATGCGAGTATTCTATGGCCATCCACGAAAAAACCCGTGAATGTTACCCCGTCCACGTTCATCTTGGGCGCCAAAGGAGCGAGTAACAGCTTCGTCTCACCTTCATGGGAAGCGCGTGGAAAAGGCAAAATGAAGAAGCAGTGGCTTGAACGTGGAGTTGCGCTAATCATTCGTCTGTGTGTGTGTGTATGTGCTACGCGCTCTCTTTTCGCACCTGCGCGAAGGCATTCAGAATGTGCTCGTTGAGCATGCTAAGATCAGCGTCCTCCGTGGAGGCAGCCGTGTGCCCGGGTTTAGCCGCTTTCCGCCTCTTCTCCGGCGGGGCATGCTTTCCAGCGGTGGCGGCGGTGTAGGTGACACAAACGCCGTCGCTGAACACCACTGTTTGCGGCGTGTTGGCACCTTCGGCGTGGAAGGGAAAATCCTTCGCGAGCTGACCCACCGCAGGAACCACACCCTGCGGGTCTGTCCAGAAGTTGACGCTGACAGCCTGCAGCGGCGACTCCTCCTTTGGTTCGGCGCCTCTGCGCCTATGTTTACGCCTAGGCGCGCTCGCCTCCTCGGTCGCCAAAGAAGGCTCTGTCTTGGACGTCTTCAGCGGTGGTGGACTTGATTTCGCCTTTGCGCTCGTGCGCCGCTCCTGTGTTGGCAAGGTGGGCTTGCCGTCATCGTGGATGTCCTCCAGCTCGTCTTCGTCCTCGTCTGAGTCGTCGTCATCGTCTGTGTCATCGTCGTCTTCTACCTCTTCCTCCTCCTCCTCCTCCTCTTCCTCTGTGATGGAGTCTTCGTCGCTGAGGCTGCGACCGCCACGCACGCGTCGTCTCGTGTTTCTGCGGTAATACGGCTGGTGCTTCTTCGAGCTGAGGCGAGTCAGCACAAGGACGCAATTACGAATGCCCCCCTCGCCGCCCTCGCCGCTCAGCTTCGCCTTCTCAAACACTGGCACACCACGCGCGCTGGAGTCGACCGCTTCGCTGTTGTTCTTGCTGCTAGGGAAGAGGAGAAAGACAGGGAAACCGTCGTGCATGACACGGTCGAGGCGGAAGCCGTAGCTGTTGTTGGTAGCGTGAGGGCAGAGGAAGTCCACACTGCCGCGGTGCACCAAGAACATCTCCGGCCAGTCAAAGGCCTCGCCGCTGCGGTGATCGCCCATGGGCTTGGAGTGGTTTGGCGCCTGATACACCGTCGTCCCTTGGTGCGGCTTTTGTCGCTTGTGCGAAGGCACCGCGTTGTAGGAGCTGCTGCTGCGGTGGAGAAAGGCTCCGGTGCGGTTCTGCCGCCCCACGGAGGAGGAGGCAACGTCCCCGTTCTCCTCCCCGGCGTCGGGCTGCTCCAGCGCCGTCGCGCCACTGCTCTTGTCCTCCTCCTCTTCCGCCTCCACCTTTATGGGCGTCGCGGAGGCAGCTCGCGCTACTGTCGCATCCACCAGCGGTACATCGCCGCCAGTGTCGGCTACAGGGTTTTCCGTGGCCTGCTCCTCCGAGACCTCCTTGGATGGTGCCTTTACTTCAGCCGGCCCAACAGAAAAAGCTGGTGCGGTCTCGCGTGCTTCGCCGTGTGATGACGATGTCGCAGGAGCAGAGCGCGGCAACGGCGGCTTCGTTGCTTCCAGCTTTGTGAACTTGCTGTAGGCCTCATCCAGCAGCTTCATTTCCTCCGCTGGGACGAAGACGTAGGTGATGCGGTCCACCTTCTGCCGCTTGCACTTCACGTTCCACGCCAAGGTGGCGGCGCGCAGCACCTTCGACATCCCCGACCACTCCACCTCGTAGACCGCGTCAGTGCTCGCGAAGCCGTCCAGATCGGCGAAGCGGCTCACATTTTCTACTACAGGGTACAGCCAGCGGCACTTGGTCGTCCTCCAGTCCTCTGCGAGCGGCTTCAGATTCGCTGGCTCGCACAGCCAGAACGTGTCCTCACCGTCCAGAGCCACCGCCAGTAGCCACACATCGGTGACCTCTGACATGGTATAGATGATCACTGGTAAATTACTACAACTATAACGAATCTATTTACCGCCTGGAATATTGAAAGACCCCAGCCAAAAAAAAAAGGACAACGACGAATCTCTATAAAGCGAGAACACGCGGATCGCACACGTGATAACACTCGCAGCGAGAGCGAGGAGAGAAAGGTCGACCAAAACGAAGTAGTACAAAAATACAAGGGCGAATCAGAAGCAGAGGAAAAAAGAAAGAAACTGTTACACTGTATCTATTTCGCTCCCTATTCAGCCTTTCCTCCCGCTCTATGAGCCTTCTATGCTGTTAACGTACCGATGATCGCCTGTATTCAACCGAGCACAGCTGCTATGACCTGGGTGCAGCTGCCTCGCTAAAACAAAATTAAGAAGAATAAAACACTTCGCGTGGAAAGCGCACCTCAAACCTTTCGTTGTGGTAGTGACTTACGTTTCTGCTCTCTGCCATCAGAGCAGCACGTTGTGAAGGCAATGCAACAGACTGCATAGAAGTCAATCCGGAGAGCGGGAAGCAAAAAAGCGAGGGGGACGAGATGTGAGAATAACGAAATCTTCGTAAAAGGACGAAAGGCAGTTGTTGCGTGTTGAGCTCTGCGGTTCGCAACGAAAAGTACGGCTTCCTTGTGCACGCACACGCAGCGTGTTTAACGAAGGGGGGGGGGTCATCGCTGCTGCCTTCTGGTGCAACACAAAGACAACGATCTGCATCTTTCAAATGTACTTTACGCTGCGCGGCCTTTGTCTTTTCTTTTCCCACTGCAGACCGCCATATTTTATCCCCTCGAACGCAAACAAAATAATAAAAAGATGCGGTCGCGCGACTTCACAGCACCCACAGTGCGAACAAACTGGAAGTAGTACAGAGAGCGCACTTGTGGGCTTTACTATTTTCTTGTGTTCTGTGCTTACTCTGTCATGTTATTGTTTCCGTGTCGATGCGCGGCTAGACACAAGCCGGAGGTGCAGCAAACCCCTCTGTTAAATTGCTCTGGGTGCATCACATTCCTCAACAAAAGCAAAACCTTACTATTAATCGTTCATTTTTATAGTTGACCTCGCTGGCCATTCAACAACAGAAATAAGAAGAAGAGGAAGAACGCCAAGGCAGAATTTTCTAGAACTTCTCGACAATGCGGACTGCCGTCACTCGTCATCACCATTCTCTCCGTCGCTGTCGCTGCTGACACCCTTGCGATGCTTTTTCTGCCGCTCCGCCTTCTTGGCCTCCTTCTTCTCTGCCTCCTCCGTCTCGAGACGTCGATACTGACGCTGCACCCGCTGCTGTGCCACCAACATGCGCTTTCGCGTGCTGACGATCGTGCGCTGCGGCGTCGTGCGCTCCAGGCGGCGGCGCGTGTTGCGGTCCACCTTGATGTTCAGCATCCACTCCTCTACCGGGCTGCCCGAGCCCTGCATCACCTTCGCTACGGGGGGCAGTCGCTCCTTGTCCTCCTCGGTGAAGAAGGTGATGGCGACGCCTTCCTTGCCGGCGCGACCGGTGCGGCCAACGCGGTGGATGTAGGAGTCCACCGTGGCCGGGAAGTCAAAGTTGATGACAGTGCCAACATTCTTGAAGTCGATACCGCGGGCCAACAGCTCGGTCGTGACGAGCACCCACACCTTGCCCAGACGAAACTGCAGCACCGTCTCCTCGCGCTCCTCCACGGACATCTTGGCGTGCATGATGGCCATGTGCAGCCCTTCCGTGCGGATCTCTTCAAACAACTCCTTGGAGCGCTCAATGCTCTGCACAAAGACCAGCACCGGCGGTGTGATGCCCTCGCGGACAAGGTTGCGCATCGCCACCACCTTGCCGAGTTCGTTTCCGCAGAAGACAAGGCGCTGTTTCACTTTCGTGTTGGCCGTGTGCCGCCCGTGGACGATGATGCGAACCGGGTCTGAGGACATGACGGAGCGGGCGGCCGTCTCGACCTTATCGCTCAGCGTCGCCGTAAACAAGCTCACAACTTTGTCGGATTTGGCACAGGCTGCGAGGATTTTGTCGATCACGGTCAAGAAGTCAGTCTTGGTGTCCCACAGCCGGTCTCCCTCATCAAACACCAAGTACTCCACCTGGCTCAGGTTCAGCAGCTTCTGCTCCATCAAGGAGGCGATGCGGCCTGGGGTGGCGATGAAGATGTCTTTGTTTTTGGTCGTCTGGCCGTGTTGCACAAAGCGCCAGCGCTGTCCTTTCATCAGAAAGAAGGCCTCCCGCTCAATCTGCTGCGCCAGCTCAACCGTCGGCGTGACAATCAACGCGCGTACGCCGCACGTCGCATCAGGGGCCTTGAGGCGTGCAAAGAGCGGCACGAGGAACGCGATCGTCTTACCAGAACCCGTCGGCGCACAGGCCAGCACGTCACGGTGGTGAATCAAGGAAGGAATCGCCTGCATTTGGATGGGAGTTGGGACCTTGTGTTGGCGCGTGAAGAGGTTGTTCACCACGTTCCGCGGCACGCTAAGTGGGGGGCGCACTAGATCGGAGAAGTGCTCAATAGGTGCCGGTAAATCCGTTCCTGTTACCTGAAGATCATGGCGGCGCCAGATATTGCGCTTTCTCTTGAAGTCCATTGGTTTGAGGGGCTTGTCTTCCCCTGCAGCAGAGGCGGCATCACCGGCGACGCCGTCAGTCGCGTTGGTGCGTTCGCCCTCCGAAGAAGATGCAGCACCACCGTGGCGGTTGAAAATGTTCAGCGTGGAGCTCGGAAGGGGAACAGAGAGACTGCTGTCCAGCCCAGTCGAGTCCGCGATGGCATCACTGCTCTCCGCGCCCACCATCTCCGTCAAGGTCTTGTTGGACTTGTCTTTGCTAGCGCTGCGGAACAGTTTGGCGGCCTCGCTGTTGCGGGCAGCACCGAACTTGGCTCCAACCGTCAGCGACTTAAACGCATCCATCTTTATGGGCTATGTTGGTGCTTCTGCGGTCGGCTCGTTTCTTACGGCTACGAATTTGTGATGAGAATTCTGCCACCGCTTGAGGGAGAGAGAACTCTGTGTGAAAACAACAACACCGAGGCAGAAGAGAACGCCCAGAATGAAAGATGAGAAAGGACAGAGAGAGTTGTCGCAGAAGAGAAACAGAAAGCCCGCTTCATAAGAGCAGATCACTTCCGCAAAAAAAAAGGCGAGCAAAGGAGAGCACCAGAAACGCTCTGCAGTCGAGTGTGTACGCCACAACAGCGACACGGCAAGTCCCGTGGTTGCCTTGTCCATGACAACATACGCTGGAGCATAATAACCACCAACGGAAAGGAGAAGAAAAATGTTTATCTTCGTTTTCTTTGCCTTGAGGATGTTGTCCGCAAAAAGGACACGACGAACTGGGAAAAAAAAACACAGATATATGCAGCAAGCAAAGGGTAAAAGAGAATCGGGAAAAATACAATTCGACAGTCACACACCACGACCAAGAAAAAAGAGAAAACGAACGGGGAAAACAAAAAGAAATCTTTCCAGCAAGCCACTTTGGGCACAAAGCACCTACTGCGTGCGTCGGCATTCACTCTGAAGAACGCACCAATGTAGCAAAGAGCGAAAAGGAAAAAAAAAAAGCAACGGAGAGAGAAGACGAAAGTTTTTGAAGGTTTAAAGATAAAACGCGGCGTTCTGGAGACGTCGATGTCTTTCCTTTTACACTACGAAAAGCCTTTGGCGATCGGAACAGGGCTCTTTGCAGAAAGGGCAGTACGTGGCTCGATCTGAACACGCGAAGCAACATACGGCGTGCTTGCATGGAAGCAAGACTGTGTCAGCCGTGCTGCCGCAGCCACAACATCGCCCGTTCAGCTCCGAGACGGGCTTCAGCGGGCGGTGAGAGACGGGGCTGCGCGAGAAGAGCCGCTTCCGAGGCGGCTCCACTACCTGACCATCCTCGTTGACACGTACAGACTGCCGTGCAGCGCGGGAGCGCTCCAGCCGCTCCTCGTTGCGGCGGCGGCGAACATAAAAGTAGAGCGTTCCTAACAAAAAGTCCATTACACCCACGAAGACGATGATCAGCTGAGCGCCGGAGTTCACCCAGAGCAGCTTGTTCGTGTTGATAAAAACGGTGCCCTCCTCGGAGAGCGGGATGCAGCCAAAGGAGGAAGGAACTTGGCCAGACGGGCAGACGTTGTTGCTGCCGCCGTTCTCGTTGTTGCTCGGCTGCCCGAACAGCAACTCGCCCGTGTTGCCGTAGCTGCTCATCGCTGCGTGAATTCCGTTAGGCCAGAAAAGAAAAAAGAGAAAGCAACGGAAAGACGGAGCACTACGCCAAGCTCGCAGGGGGTCTAGAAACCGAGAAGTCCTCTCACGGATTGTGTCTTGGCAACTGCGAAGCCCGTAAAGTGAATACTTCGCGACAAGAAAAAGCCCTGTAACGATCGTGTCTCTGTGTGAGAGTGTGTGTCAAACTGACGTGAGAGACAAGTGGAATCGACTCCACTTGAGCTACCGCTCAATAGAAGCAAGAAAAATTTATGATTTTATTGTGCTGCTATTTGTTCCGTTGCGCCGCGAGCTACATAACAATTGGGAGTAGAAAGATAGGTTGTTGCGGACCCTCGAGAAGGAAAAAGATGAAGTAACGAAGCTAATCATCGTGGAAAGCAGAGCCAGCCTGCATCGGTGCTTAGCACGTATAGCAACCGTCACGTTACGTCTTCTTTTCGCTGCGCTTTGGAGAGGACCACAGCGTCTATCAACTCGGTGTTGGTCAAAGTGACTGGCATTCGCCTTTTCCGTCCTGTTTTCTTTATGAACATAGATCTTAGGTTTTCACGCTTTTTTATTCTGCATTAAGCAGGAAAATGGAATGTGAGTGAATGATTTTGATATAATAATAATAGTACAGGCCAAAGGAAAAAACCCGATACTTTGGGGAGCCACCTTCAAGAAAGCACGAATAGTTATGTGGGCCGATTTCGTCTCACGAGATGTAGTCGTCCCCGTAGAAGCTTTTCACACAATGTTTAAAAAATTCCGTGTGCGGCTTGCAGCGCTCAAAGTCCCAGTTGTGGGTACGGAGACACTCCCCGATTAGGCAAGACATCGCCGCACACTGAAAAGGCGGCTCACCCTCGTTCTCGCCTTTTACGCGCACCTCATGGCCGACTTCCTGGCGCCATTTCGCAACGCATGTGTCGAAAACTTGTTTGAACGCATCGCACTTCCTGCGAATGTCCTTGCCGCCCAGGTTGGCTTCCAAGCAGACGCGCCACGAGTTGGCTTCATTGTCGCAAACGTCTGAATACGACTCCTCCTCGGACATTGGAGGGGGGAGGGAAGAAAAACCTAACTGCTGCTCAGTAGAAGTAGCCGATGCGTTGTTTGTGTGGAAGCAATGGCGGCCACGATTGAACCTTCTTGTTTGTTTTGTGGGTTCAACCTTTCAAGACGCTGAGAAGGTCAAAAAAGAAGGGGTGATTTGCATCATTTTAGCAATCTACGCAAGGGAACAGGTAAGTAGCAAAGTGACGCTCAGAGTGCCCGTACGTAGCAGTACCATCTCGTACTAACTGTCTCCTCGCTAAGGCGTTCGCGTCGACAAGAGAAAAAAAGGGAAGGAAGAAATACATATATATCGTACTCTCAAGACGCCTGCACAGGTACAAATCGGAGATGAAAACAAAACGAGCGGGACGCACAATACAACCGCTCGTATGTAAGAAGGGTGTTACTGTTGTGTAATTCGCTCAAGGTTCTTTTTCCCCTTTAGCTCTTCATTTATCGATACGTTGAGTTTATTACGCAAAAGGCAAAACACGCAGCTCTCTTTTCGAACTCAAAAAAAGAAAAAAAGCGTTTCTAACTACGCACATTACAAGAATAAATCGAACGCCTTTCAAAAAATGGTCGTGGCCAGCGTACGTTTCAGTCCCCTCAGCGCATGCATTAGACTTATTTAAGTAAAAAATAATGGGAAGAGCCAAGAAAAGAAAAGAAACGTTTTCTTCTTCTTAGCAGACAACGATGCAGTGCCACAAACAAAGATTCTTTCTTTCTCCTTCCCCAAAGGTGTGCACATGCGTGGGCACCCGTTTGTGTGTGCGCGTGGGTAAACCCCACACAGCGAAACACAGTTCTACGCATATACAGAAGAGCGAGAGCAAATAAAAAGATGACAATTGCATCACTTAGCTTTAGCACATAGTCTGCCAAATGCCATCACGTCCCCATTCTCGCGAACCGAATCGACGGCGTTGTAGATGCCGTAGCCACCCAGCACAACCAGCGATCCGCCTACAATGGTGGCCAAGGCGGCGATGATGAGGTAACTGAGCCCGTGCTCCTTAATGTACTTCATAAAAACAAACTGGCCAAGCCCTGTAGCGAAAAGACCCACCACAAAGAAGACCAAACCGTAGTCCACGACGAGGCTTCCGGTGACAAGCAGCTGCAGCGCCGCGGAGAAGGCGATGAAGAAGGTTGCCATGCCTCCCGTCACAGAGGCTTCCTGCGGCACCAGGCCGACCTCGTACAACACGAATCCCAGCACAAGACCACCGCCAATGCCCAGCATCGCCGCAGCAGCACCGGCAATCACCGCCACCATTGGGAAGTTAATCGACGTGTTTTGATTCCACGTGAAGGAGAGCTTCGTCGGGTCTGACTCCGCGATATGACGCAGTTTCTCGCGATTGAAGTAGAAAGCGGTGGCGAGAAGCAGGAGGGGAACGAGAACGCACATCCAGTAGAGTGCGCCGCCGCAGCTCGTCCAGGTGCGTAAGATGTTGAAGGCGAGGAGCACAAAGAAGCAGACGAAGTTCATCATGAGCTCCTGCCTCGGGTACTGCGGCTGCGGCGCGCGCTCCAGAACGGTCTGGCTCACCTCCGACGTGGGCGACGCAGCGGGGACCTCTCGGGCGCTGGGCGACGCGTTTGGCGCATCGGCGGCCTCCTTTTTAGCCGTTTCACCGCTGCTGCCGTACTCCTTGGGGACGGAGGGGGATGCGTTGGTGTCGCCGGCCTCCACGGTGACCTCGCGCATCTCCTTGTCCTTCTCGTACTGCGCCCTCATCTTCTGTACAGTGCGGTAGAGCACCCCTGAGAGTAGCACAAAGAGAAGCACGAGGCGGAGCACATCCGGGCACAGCTTGCTCAGGATTCCGCCCACCAATGTGCCGAAGAGGCCCAGGGGCAGCAGCAGACTCAAATACTGGTAGTTGATCAGCGGACGATCCCAGCTCCGGTCGGGGTACTTCTGCTGCACGGAAATGTACATGTTAAGGGTGCTCTGGCCGCAGATGGTTGACTGGGAGAGACCCACGGCGGACTGCATCGGAATGGAAAGGAAGCCGCAGAACATGGGCACAAGGATGCCGCCACCGCCCACGCCGGCGATGACGCCGATGGAGCACACAATGCAGCCACCGATCATGGCCAGCACAGTGCCCCATCCAAGCCGAGACGTGAAACTGCTCACCTTGCACTTTCCAGATGCGCCGTCACACCGCATCGCAGCGGGATAGCAGTCGTCGTTGGTGCGGCATTTAATGCACACGCTTGTGGTCTTGTCGCAAGCGAGGTCGCCGCACTGCACACGCTGCGTGCGGTAAGAGCACGTCGCCTCCGCGGATACCACTGCACTGCAGACTACGGCCAGGAAAACAGCCAGGCCCAGCACCACGGTGCAAGTCCTCGTGTGCCTCTTGACCGACATGTTTCCTTTGTGTTTCTCCTTTTCAACAGAGGAAGGGCGGCAATTTAAAAAACGCTTAATTTTCGGATGAAAGGTTCGCTAATCAACTATTTGATAGAAAACAAATTGTATTTTGAGTACTTACGTACTTGCCGCGCTCAACGGTCGTGTGTGTTGGCGGCCAGAACGTAGTAAATGAAGAAATAAGAGGGGTGAAAGCGTGACAATACAACCCGCCGCTGATAACTGAGGTGTAAAGAAGGGGAGGGAGAGAGAAAAATGAGAGAAGGACTTTCGAGCGCGGCTCAAGTAGAGAGACGCACGATAAAAGCGTCCCGACACACTAGGGAGGTTGAAATAGAAACTACCGTAAACTACGGACAGCCTGGTGATGTGCACGAAAAAGGGAAAGGAAAGGAGAGGAGAGGAATGAGAGAGTTGAGCAACGCAACCACGTAAGGTTCACAGGCAGCACGGAAGCCAAAGCATATCCAATTCGAGATGCAAAGAAAAAAAAAGGGAGAGGGTCATTCAAGTGCGAGAAAATACGGTTTTTGAGATGGAGCTCTTTCGCCACATTTGTGTGGCACCTTTTACTTTTGCTGATTAGTGCAGCAAGCATCTCATCCTTTCACCTTCCTCGCACCCAAGGGAAGAGAATGTGCGTACAACGGGCATCGGATTCCTCTTACTCTGTTAGATAAGCGCACGTTTTCGCTCATCAAAGAGGCTAGGTAAACAACAAGTTTCCACCGTGCATTTCTGAATGCGGCACTGAGACAGCAGTGGCGTTTGAAAAAAGCTGACACCAGAGGCATTTAATCGTTTTCTTCTTTTCTTCCTGTGATCACACGATTGAGAAGGAGCAAACACTCAAGACAAGAAAAAAAGAGGGAACCGCAAAGACCAGATCGCACCGACACCACTGTCGCGCACGCACACAGCGCTATACAAAAGAAAAAAGGAAGATACGGTTCGCAAAAACAAACAAAAAAAGGAACCGAATTGCGCGCGTGCAGCACAGATCGTTTTTCTTTTAAAGCAGCTTCCTGCGACCGCGCTTCAGCGACAAACGAATCTTGCGCCGCCGACCAGCGTTAATCTTCCACGCACGTCCGGCAAAAGACTGGAAGGCGCGAATCTGCGTGAAGGGCACACCGTCGGGAAAGTGTGGCGTCTCAGGACCCTTCTTCACGCGCTGGAGATCGAGGGACCACTGATGGTCGAACCACGGCTTTCGGCGCTTCCACACCAGCGGTTTTCGGCGCCCACGCTGGGCAGGCTGACCTGTACCACATCCGAGCTCCCCCAATCGCTCAGGGTCGAGGAGAGATGTTGGCATCGACTTGTTGTTCGGTGGCAGGATTGATGTGGGGACCACAGGGACGTTGCTGCGCTCAAAGTGAGGCGAGCACGAGTAGCTGGTCGCCTTGACGACGGGCAGAATGCACCTGGTGATGCTCCGTACCAACATGGTGCAGCACCTAAAGATGTTGTTTTTTGGGAGGGGAGGAAAAAACCAGGTTAAACTCCGTAGAACTGGCAAATGTCGTAGAAGCTAAAGGTTGAACCTTTCGTTTCCTTTAATCGGCGCTCGCTATGTTCTCCTTTTTTTTTTTAGAAGCTAACGAAGCGCGACCACTGATTACTAGTACGCGCAAACAGAAATGCCGCTTCAGGACGCGTTCGAATCAAATTTTGAGGTCAGTCAAAGTAATCTGCGATCCTTTCCTACTACTACTGCCGTTGGCAGGTACCGTTTTTCGCGGTTGAGAAATTAAAAAGAAGGGAAAGTGAAGGGGGAAAAAGAAGAGAAGACGTAAAATTAGGTGACACTGACACTTGAGAAAAGGATTCCACGGCACTGTGACACACGTGCGTATCCAGGATCTTCTTATTTTCCTTTTCTCGTGTGCAGATTCTGGAAACGACACGGTTCATCCGTGTAAAGTGCGAAAGCAACAGAGGAGCAGAAACCAAAAAAAAATTCACATCCTACAAGAAAGTGGGGAATCGTCGGTAGTTACACAAACTCGCACGGTGACTCGTTTCTCTGCATTCTCTTTTCTGCGTGCTACTGTTTTCCATTGTAGTTAATCGGCATGTTAATCAGCCTCCTTTTTTTTGATGTCGCTTATGCGAGTGGTCCTGCGGGTCTGTACAACGAAGGTACAACAAGAAAATCCACGCTTGCATGTGTAGCTGGCCCATACAACTTTCCAACGCGTACACGACGGCACGTAGCGTGTCTCTCCGTAGCAAAACAGAAATAAGAGGAGATGGGAAGCGGCTTTCAAGACTCTCGGTGAGAAAAACGAGATGCAGAGAAAAGAAAAAGGCATGTGACAAGGACATCCACAGCGAATACACCAAAATATGTGTTTTCTGTGCCAAAGCGCAGTTTCACAAATTATATCTGCGATTTTGGAAGAAGGCGATACAGCAGCTTTTGCAGTGCAGCATGTTCAACGGCAGGCACCTCGCGCAAACAGGTCGATCGCAAGCCGTGCACACGCGAGCACATTGTGTGCACACGACAGCCCCACACGGGCACACCACATTGCAGTAGCAGTGGTGCGGAGGTACAGCCGCGTACGGCCCACCCATTGGTGACATGGGCCGCTGATAAGAAAACATTTGTTTTGCACGTTTGCTTTTTTGCTAGAATGTTGAGAAGAACGAGATGACGAACGATAAGCAAGAAGGTAGGAAAGAAGAAGAGCTGAATCGCGTAGAGAGACAAACAGGATAAAGTCCGCTCACACTGAGCTACTTGGCGTCGCTGCGATGCTTAGAAAAAGGAAGCAACCTGACGACGAAGACATTCCTTCGAAGGTGTGTGCACTAGTCGAAGAACACTAACGCGCGGAAATCAGCAGGATATTTACTTTCCTTGGTCTTTTTACTTCAGGTTGGACCCGAGAACTCAGGCACCATCAGCGAAACGTAAACTCTGGACGGACTTTCTTCGTTGCTTGATCGTTCTCAGCTTTCCAGGTACACTGCCCTCAACTTCTAAACTTTTTTCTCTAAATGAACTCTCTATGCGCATGACTTGATGTTCATTCCCTCTCCCAATGTCATCCTTTCCCTCGCTTAACGTAAATTGCAAAAGAGTGTCCATCGGCAACGGGGGTCGACCATTTGTAGATGACAAGCAATGAACAGAAGGGAAAAATATATATTACGAGTTTTCATGCATTTCTCGCCACACAGTGGTAGCCACTTTTACTCACCACGCTCGTTCAAAGAATTTTTTTTGTATGGGTTCGTCTGTTTGAGATTCGGGCTTGCTCCGCTGACGTCGGCTGACAACAACGATTAAGAAAGAGAAAAAAAGGATTTGGGAGATCCACTTGAAGCTGCCTGCCGCACTCATCAGGCGGCCAACTGTAACTATGTACCGATACGCTTCACAAAAAACGGAAGGCAGATAAAGCGTGAAATAGAAAAAAAGAAAGGGAGAAGTAGAGAAGGGGAAAAGAAAAATGAAAAGTGCGTGTCAAGACAGCAGAGAAACAGGTCGAGAAAGCCTCACTGAAAGACACTAAAGAAGAAAACACTTAAAACACAATCGACGCATGAAACACACAAGGGTAACATACCAAAGTTGAACGAAAGGAATAATGGCATGAGCCTCCACACCCCAAAAGACGCATATCTCCCGAACCGCTCTCGCACTAATACCCCAGCTTGATGAGGTAGTCAGCGATGCGCTTAACGGTGGTGTTGCAGTCGGCGGGGTTGACGGTGGCGGCGTGAGCAGCGTTCTTCTTGAGATCCTGCGTGAGAGAAGACGCGTCACCGGGGTTGCCGTATACCGCGACAATGAAGGCTTGCTTGGTGGTGTAGATGCAGCCGCCGGCCGCGCCTTTCTTAAAAAAGATGTATTTGCTGTCCCCATCCGATCCGCACTGCAGACCGAAGAATTTCACGCCATATATAGTGACACCGGACGACTGCACGACAGTAAAGTCGTTTAAGCAGCTCTGGATGTGCTTCACCTCCTCCGGCTGCGGGATGTAGTTGCCGCCATACGCCCAGTAGCTGCCATCAGCAATTCCGATAATAGCGGCACTGTGCATGTTGCCGCTGCCAATAAGGCTGTCATCAACGTACGCCTGCCAGGACATTTTGTAGTGTTCAGAAATAGAGACAGAAGAAATATAATTGAGTAAAGAGAAGAAGCGAGAGCGTGTCGCGAACTTCGCCACCGTCGGTTGTGTGTGTTTGGGAGTGTGTGTGTGTGTGTACAGGTGTACAAGTGTACAGGTGTGAGGGAGAAGAAAGAGACAGAGTAGCGTGCATAACTTGGATAAGAGATATTGTATCTGCGAACCAGAAGATCCAGACGCTGCAATACGAGGTGAAACGTAAAAGTTGACCAGTTACACCCACTACCACGTGTAGGTAGTAGAAGTCTCGCCTTTAAACTTACAGTTTTGCAATCAAAATTCTGAACCGGTTTAGCTGCAATGAAAGCTGCTAGTTTGTTCACAGCAGTCCTGTGAGCAGCTGTTCCGTCAGCGAAGCAAGAAAAAAAGGAAGGAAAACAGAGTAGTTGTCTCGACACTTTGTAGCTAGCAACTTGGCAGTGAGCCGGATTAACAAAACAGCGCAATAAGAACACTTTTACCGAAAAGACAACGAAAGAAAAAAAATAGAAATACAAAACCTAGCCTACTTGATTATCCGGGTGCAATGAAGCATTGAAGAATAAAGAGTGCTATCGCCAACACGAAACCAACACCTCCAACGACAATGAGCAGAATGCCTAACACGTGGTTTTTTTCGCCAATCCACGATCGCGTTGCGAGTCGGATGTATTTGCGGCCAGAGATTGGGGCGGTCGCAAACTGTTCCAAAACTTCAAAATAGTAGTCCCCCGCGGGGAGATCCACCTCAACGATGCGATATGTCTTCGTGACCCTGTTCACAAAAGCCATTTTCAGCCAAACCATGACATCTTCATCTAAAGAGGAGGGTATTTTGTGTCCAGGCTCCCGGTAATAATAACCCGCCTTCTGGTACGGATCGGTGGCAGTGGAGTCGCCCCCAGCTTTCCACATTGGCCCGTGACCTGACATGCTCTTAGGTGCCTTGTAGCTGCTTTCCACATCCTCTTTTAACGCAATACCTTTCTTTTTGCAATGGTTATTGGGAATCTGGCTTGTCCCATCCGTGTTGAACTTTCCACCGTCGCAGATAAGTGTGGCGTCACGTTTGTACAGCGAAATACTGTCGTTATACATTGACCACGGAAATGCTCCGCATGGATTATAATATCCGCTGATGTCCTCACCGGTTTTCTCTCCGGGGTAGCGGTAGGGGTGGCAAAACTTTGAAAGGCGACGCGTGCCACCTCGAAGTTGGGAGGAGTCAACCGAGGCAGCAAACCACCGGTAGTTCTGATAAAAAGGATCTAGCACGTACTCGATATAGATCGGTGCTGAGAGGCTTTTGTGCAACGTAAAGTCAACACGCGCTACCGCCCCAGTTGAAAACGACGTGCCGTTGAAGTCGAAATCGACGGCGTACTGACCAGCACTTCCCATCACGAATGTGTAGTTGTTTACGTCATCGTAGCGAAAGCTCACGTGGCTTGTTCTATCACCGCAAACAATCACTACGATGCCAATGGGAATGGAAACGACTGCGATTATGAAGAAGACAGCAGCGATCGCGAGAGGAGAATAGCGGACGTAGATGTGCTGCAGCTCCTGTTGCTCCACGCGGCTTTTTGAATGCGGTTTTAGCGGCAATATGGACATTAGTAGAAGAAGAAAATATCGGAGGTTTTCTATAATAAAAAAGAAAAATACTTAGGCTTGCATATTTTTTGCAAAATAATATCCTAATGTTAAAGCTGCAAAAACTAATCGACAAAACACGATAGAGAAAATGGAAAGAACGTTGAGGTGAAAGGGGGGAAAATGACTGTGGAGTGCGTGAATGTGTAATGTCTATTTCTTTTGACGAGCGTATCAGAAATAACCGATTAATAGTGCAGTCCTCTGGTCATTGCATTCTCTTTTATTAAAATTTTGAGGTTTACAATATATCAAGCATTATATCTCCTTCAGCATTCCACAGCGTAGAAGTATTCCGCTTGAGTCCTAGACTTTGGCGCTTCACCGACATAGCTCGTATCCTCATGACCATCTTTTTTAGTTTTCCTTTTTATGATGAGAAGCATTGCAATGTACATCCGATCCAAGTATAAACACTCGAGAAACAAAGCAACTTGTGACGTCAGTCCCCAAACAGGACACTCACACATTCAACGAAAAAAGTTTAATAACACATCGTCTTTTTTTTTTTAATCGCTGTTGAAATGGGAACAAAGCAGAAATAATTCGTCAAAAGCAGCAGAAAAGGCTTCCATCTTTTTGGGGGGACGATGAGGACGGTTTCATTGCAAATTAAATTGTTGTTCGGCGATAAATTGTTTCACCGTTCACCTGTACAGGCTTTATCACGCCGCCAATGAAAAAAGTGTCCTGATTCAAGCGGAAGTCGTCCTCGTTGGTGAATTCTATGGTTTGTTTCGCCTCCGGAGTAAAAGCCTCCGTAATCTTACGCACAAACGCAACGTAGTCGGGTATACATCTAGTGGGTGTCCAGTTGTCCGCAAGTTCCAAGATGGACGTTGCAAAGCCGGCAAAATCCAAGCCCGCCTCGCTTTTGCAATCGGTGTGTATGTCTTCCTGGATAAACTGCATCGTTGCCGGAACGAGACCTATATCGTTGATGTCCAAAAGCATAAAATACAGCTGCTGCTGAAATTGTCTGTACGCGTCCTCTGTCATAAAACCGCCACTGACCCCGCCAACACGCGACCACAAAACTTCAAGGCACTGGAGGAGCTCGGGAGAAAACAAAAGATCCAACTTCATTTTTTCCATGTGCTCGTCACCGAGCTTTGAGTCGAATATCCGCTCTACACGCTGCCAGTGGGTCTTCTCTTTTTTCGCGTCAAGGAAAGCTTCCAATATGTAGGTCAGACGATCCCCGCGCGCAGTCGCACCTAAAGAAGCTTCGTAGACGAGTTGAGCGTAAGGATGGCGCAAACTTCCCGCTGACCTGTGTGAGAAGCTCAGTATTCTTGGCTTTTTGATAAAAACACGCTCCACGAGCTTCTCTACAGGCGCCTTCCGCGTATCACGCGCCGGATACGGCCGCCCGTTCGCAGCTTTTGACGGCATCAGTGCTACAGGTAGAACCTCAAATTACGGATAGCTATGAATTGCGCTGCCGCAAACAGCTAATGCGATTTCCACTTAACACTAGTAACACAAATGTGTCGCTTCGCGATCTTGGGCTTCGCTAACCACGCGAGATTTAGATGTGCATTATGTTTACATCGAAGAAAGCAAAGAGTACGGCGTTGGGAACAAGGGGCAGTGAAAAAAGGATGTGGGAAACCTATTCATGTCAGAAAAAGATAAGCTGATGCAATACGATGTCTCATAATTTCTGCTTTGCACGAAAGAACAGCAGGAGGTGAGAAAAAGACTTTAAAAAGACACAGGGCGATAAGCAGCTTCATTCAAAGGGATTCTGAATAGTTCAAGTTTTCGGAACGTTTTTGGTCAGTTTTTTCTGTCGCTTAACCTCGCGACTACAAATTGCAGAACCAGACAGGATTGAACAAAGAACAGGGAAAACAAAGTATAAGAAACGTTCACAAACGGAAGAAAAACTTACACGGCGTTGAATAACCGAGAACGTAAAAGCCTATAACAGATGTATAGGAAGAAAAAAAAAGCACAGGAGGCGAAAATCGAGAGGAGCTATTCAATAACAATAAAAGAAGCAAGAGAAAAATACTATTTCCACGCGCCAGTAGCAGAGTACGTGCTTCTGTATATATGCTCAGACTAACACGAGCAAGACGGAAGGAAGGAGCTGTTTGTTTCGGAGTTCTGTTCAAGCTGCACGCCATCCTGTGGGTCGGCCACAATGGCGGCCGACACAGCAGTTTTCGCCACTTTCAAAAATGCCTCTGTAACAAACTCACCAGTTGCAGCTGAAGTTTCAAAGTGGAGAAGTCCGTTTTGTTGGGCGTATAGAGAGGCTTCATTGTGCTGGACCGCGCGACTATGGTTGGCTTTGACCAGATCACATTTGTTCCCGATCAACATCACCACAACGTCGTTTCCGGCCAGCTGCCTAACGTCGTTTAACCACTGAGGAACGCTTTCATAAGAGCTTCTATTCGTCACATCGTACACAATAAGGCAGCCCATCGCACCTCGATAATAGCTGCGCGTAACGGACTTATAGCGCTCCTGACCGGCTGTGTCCCAAATCTGTAGCTTCACCTTTGCGCCACCAAGGTCCACGATCTTGGCGCCGTATTCGATGCCAATCGTTTGAGTCTGATCCTCGGAGAAGGTATCCTCGATAAAGCGGTGAAGCAAGCAAGACTTTCCCGTCCCGCTGTCACCGATCACAATCAGCTTCATCAGCTGTTGGTACTTGTCGGCCATTGCACAAGATTTACTTTTTCCCGTCCCTTAGCCAACTCAAAGGAAAACCTTTTAGCAAGAGAACGAAGGCTTCACCCCCGATGAATCACATGCAGACAACGTCCAATGAGAACCCTACTGTATAAGTCTGTAGTGAAAGAAAGAAAAAAAAACAGAATTTGCGGCAAACGTTTGTCACAACGATAATGCAGCAAGATTACACTATGTGAGTCGAGGTGTTAATAGCAAATAAGAGACAGAGACGTGAAGAAGCGACGTAACGAGTAATGGACAGATAAGCCTTGGGCCGTGTCAGCTGTAGTATTTTAGCATAGATTTTTCTTTTTGTTTTTCTGTGAACTCACGGAAACTGAAAAAAAGTCGTACTTTTTTTCTTCTTTTCCAGTGCCATAATTTAATTGCGCAGATACATTCTGTGACACCGCAAAGGAACGCAAGAAATCTCAGGCATGAGTCGTCGTATAGCAACAAGCAAAGAATAAATTTTCTCCACCCTTACACATGGCAGGTTGCTAGGCAACTACAGAACAGTTTTCTTTTTCGTAACGCAGCAACGAAAACTATTCCGAACATGCGCATCTCTGCCAAAAGCCGCGTAGCGAAAGTTAGTCACCTCATGGTTTCAATCCGGCGTTTTGTGATACATTGCTTCGTAAATGCAACATGGACAAACGGCGGCGACTGGAAGGAAGAAGGTGGTGGGGAGGAAGGGGGGGGGGGGCGATTGTGTTCCTACTTTCGGCAACCAATATGCAATGGCATAGTAGCAGAAACGCAGGGACTGTGACTAAGGTGTGAAAAGAAAGCCCCCGTCTCACCGCCTGCTTCTTTACTGTTCCTTTTCTTTTTTTCTTTTTTTTTATGGTTCTTGTTTCGGATCAAGACTTCACAAATTCGTTCTTTTACCCAGTTTGAATTGAGGGTACAGCATTTTTTTTTGTGTATTCGACGCCTTGCTTGATGCTCGTGACATCAACGGTTTTATTGAATTGTATGGTGAGTTTGCGTCAGAGTGCTGGTCCACAAAATCTATGAATACACATTTTTTCTCGTTGCCTAAATCAAGTTGTTGCGTTGTGTATAGACAGCCGCAATAAGCTGTTATTGGACCACAATAGCTACCAGAAAGAGAAGTTATGACTGAAAGCCGAAGGTGCGTTCAGCGCTTAAACAAAAATGACTTCTAAGACAGTTTGGCAGCGGCACGTCGGCGGGCGTGATGAAATGTTTTCGTTGCAAAAAAGTCTTTTTCCCCTTTCTTTTTTCCTCTGTATATTTCTTGATAATGTTATTGCACACATTCAAAAGAGAGATCTCCTCTTTTTGCGCCGACAGTAGTTTTGCTTCCGTTTTCCTTATTTATTTCCATTTGTAGCTCCATGAGTGCATCGGGAAGTTCTCCGCTGGCGCCGGCGCCACAGGCTCGACCCTCTAATAAAACGGTGTCGTTCCATCCTGAGTCAACGTTTCACGAGCGTCACACAGCGACCTCGCAGCGTTTTTCACACCTTAGCGAACCCGGATGGGAATCTCGTGAAAGCAATTCGGGTTATGCGGCGCAGGATGGGGGCAGCACAGCAGACGAAGGCATTCGACGGAGTTATTACAAGCGTCTTTACAAATTCTACGAAAAGTACAATCCGCAAAAGCTGTGCAACGTAGAGAAACTTCTCTCAGAATGCCGAGGTGAGGAAGAGCAACTGTTTGCAATTCTGGTAGGAAAATACGGTCCTGAGCCGGAGGACGAATCTGCAATGAAAAGCATGAATTCTGTCTTTTCCAGCGAAGGCGATTCTGTGATGCACTACTCTGGAAAGCGCTGCCAATTTCCGAAGAAGGTAAGGCCAGAAGAGGGAAATACTGACTGCGATACGCCGTATTGGGCTGGAGGATCAACACTAATTGGCGACCGTGATTTATTGACGCTTTTGCAAAACCTCGAGACACCAAACGTAGAGCTGCAGAAGTGCTTCATGGGCCTTTTTGCTCAACACCCAACAGACTGCTGGAACGGAATGGCGTACATCACGAGAGCCGAGGGTATTGCCCCTGCTGACACCCCGTTTTTAGGACACACGTGGGTGGGTACGCTAGGAAGCGGCAAAGTGTTGATACATGAAGGGAAAAAGTATCACCGCACGACGTTGTACTGTACTGAGGAGTGCCAAAAGCGGGGAAACCACGAGCGGTGGCGCCTCTCCGTGTATCGTGGGGAACTGAATTATTTAATTCTGTTAAGAACAGTATGGGACCCTGTTGTTGTGCCTGAGCCCGTTCCGTTAAACAGATCTAATTTATCGGAGCGCGAATTTCATTCCTCATCGGATGCGTTGCCTACGCGTCTGTCCAGTGCAAGCTCCATCGACTCCAGTAGCAGTAGCACCCGTCAGCCTCTTCAGCCGCAGGAACCGCAACAACCATCCGCGACTGCTACGCCGGTGCAGCTGTCAAAGCTGATGGAAGATCTTGAGCTTCGAATTATGCGACGGCTTGACGGTATAGAAGAGCGGCTTGAGCGTTTAGAAAATGCGAGGTAACAACTTGGTTGTTTTGAAAATGAGGTGGCTATTTTCCAAACTCTGCATGCGAAAACGCACTCGACAATAGTGTGATGGAACCCCTTTTTGAGCATTTTTGTGCTAGTACTTTTTTTTTTCTCAGCTCCTCCTTTTTTTTTTGTTCTAAACAATTCTCATTATTTTGGGTGTACAGTATTTGATTTTGTTGCTTTCCCAACAGACGTCTAAATATCGGAATCTTTACACTGCCGTCACCGACCAAGAATAGTACAAGCTCTTTTTGTAATAGAAGACTCAACAGTGGAAGAAATATTGGTACTCGTTCTTTAAAAGGAAAGCTGTTGCTTTAGCCTTCTAAATCCTATGGTACGACAATTCTTAGTTTTCCGTAGTTTTATCTTCCACTTTATCGATGTAAGATGGCTGAAGCTGTTAGTTGTAATCGTCGATAATTATCCTCATCTACTTCCCTATTCATCTCCCTCTTTCCTCGTTATTTTTGTTTATTTTGGCAGCTCGTAGCTGTTTTACCTGACTTTACAGCGCACCTCAATTACTTCCTTGAAAACCCCGAAATTTTCTGTGAATACTCACAAAGTCGCAATTTCAAATGAAAGTCTCTATTACAACCAAAATGGTGGGTGTGCCTGTCTTTGATAGCACAAAGGAGTATGCTCTTAGTGCGCAACTGTATGCCGTTGCAGATCACATCAAAAGAGAGCATGGTGGAACTGTTGACAGCTTAAAATTGTGGAAATCGAAAGTGGAACCGGGCACAATACTCCGAGATCTGCAGCAGCCGCTCTCCGAAATATTCAGAAATGAGGAAAACACGGATGGGTCTACTCCACAACTGTACATTTACTACGATTTTTCTCCCGTAAACAATGATTGTGCTATTCTCAATGTAAAGTAGATTTTTGGTTCCCCACCTCAACTGCTTCTGATGTTTTTCGCTTGTTGTGGTAAAAACAAAACAATTACAGTAATGAATAATGATAAGAAGGAACTGCGAAACCGAGAGAGCTGTGTGCAGAGTCGGCTGTTGTGAAAATACGAACGTTGTGAGTGTTTTGTAACACGTTTTATTGATGGTGTTTTCTGGTGGCAACTCTTATTCCGACTTTAAATGAGACTTGTATTTGAACGTTAGATCTCGGGAAATGGCAGTGGCCCACCCACAACAAGCCGCTGAAACCGCACCTCGGAAAGCATATTACCCTTGCGTTATTAATGGTGTATGAGCTCGAAAGGAAACAGATGAATCACATTAGGATGTTTCACGTATTCCCCCTTTTTTTTCTGCGCTCTCTTTGCTCTTTTTATGTTGATCCTCATAGACTTTTATTTTCACTGTTGCAATCACCGTGCTACATTTACGGGCCACATTGCCAATCACTTACAGAGATCATGGGAGGTGACGGTCAGGCTCTGGCAAACAAGCGTTCACTTCTGCAGAAGTCAAGAGTTTACGTGACGGCCGCAGAGGCCGCAGAACTGGAGGCAACCGACTTGAAAGAGAAACAGACAGCAAAGGCGCGTAATGTGGAACGCTGGCGTCACTGTGCACTCTCACTTGGCTCCTTAGAGTTTCCTGTTGCGTTTGATGCAGAGGGCAATGTGTTCTCCAAACAGAGCGTGGTGGACTACTTGCGGAGACAAAAGGAGGCAGCAGCGAGCGGAGCAACAGAAAAATCGCAAATACTGAATATCAAAAAGTTGAGCGATGTGCGGGAAGTGTCAAACGATACCGGTGATTCTGACACAGTTTGCTGTCCTGTAACTGGCTTTGCCACTTCTTCTGGGATGCACACGTTTGTTGGTTTTTGGGGTTGCGGTCATGTTGTTTGCAGCTCAACGTTGCCAAAGTGGAGCGACAATGACTCTCAGCTTGATATTGAATGCCCTTTCTGCGGTCAAAAGTCATTTTATGTACGGCTAGTGCTGGATAGCGAAGGCGACGCACAAATGCAGTCTGCCTTTCTGCGCTCGCATCTGAAAAAACACCGTAAACGTGGACGAGAGGAATGAGCTCGGCACCCTCTTCGTTGAATGAAAGACTCTTCTCGTGAGGTAGAGCAATTGTTGAAAAGGTGATCCCTTTTTCCCCATTTTGTCACGGTTTCCCACAGGGCTGTTGTTGCATTCACTTTTTTTTTCTTCTGTGCGTGTGCTTATTCTTCGTCGTTTTCAGCGTGAAGAATGCTTTTATATATTTATGGTTTCCAATGCATTTCAGAAACTCTTCTGTTTTCTTTATTGCTGGCCCTTTGAAGTTTCCTACCAACTGACGTTGAGGGAATACGCGGTTGCTCGACAAACTATCAAGATGTCAATTGGCTGCCAATGCGTATCACAATGCCTATGAATCTCCTTTAATATGCTACTTCTGTTTTTATGTCCAACATCCTGTTTCTCAATCAAAAAACAAAAACTTTTTTGCCTTCTAATTAAAAGTATAATAATTTGCTCTTTTTCTCTTTGTTTACGTCAGAGTGTGCAGGCCATTATCGGGCGTTAGACTACCAAAATTATCCGCTTCTCAGTCGCTGTGGACGTGCCTGTATATTCGAGCGGCTCTTCACTTCGCTACGCGTTACTGCTTTCCCTTTTATCGTCTCTAATGGCCGAACGAACGTGGTGTCCGTCCTTGGGACCGCAACGGGATAACGGTTCCGTTCTTTTTGGAAACACGTACTTTCCGGCGGAATCGTATGGCCAGCTCCTGACCGAGAAAACATCGGCAAAGCGGAACGCTGCTGTCGCTGCTAACAGCGATGCTTCTGCTAGAGCTATTTCGGACTCCCTTGCCTTCTCGTTTCAGCGGCATTTCCACAGATTTGATGCGGCCGTGGTTGCTTCAAATGCTAACCGCCTTCATTGGCCTAGTTCGTCAAAGCTGTCGGCATTGCAGTTCAGCAGCCGTCCAGTGCCGGTTGACGCTGCAGTTTGCCTGAACATGCGCGAACTGCCAAACCTCCCAACGCTTCCTTCGCAACTTGCTATTCCAGCCGACAGTATCACTGAACTCCTTTCCCTGCTTGCCCGTCGAAGCACGAGGAGGCCCAGCGCGATAGCAGCTGATGAGCTTACTGGCCTGATAGGCCTTCCGTCGATTAACCGCGCAAATTCGATGGTTGAGGTTTTCAGCGGCTTGGTGTGCAGCAAGTTGTTTCTCAAGCGCGTACAGCAGCTGACTATATGCGACGCATCCGCCGGCGACGGGCCAAGTGCGCTGGCCGATTTTGCGCGGAGCGCATTAAGTCTAGAGGCTCTGTCGTTGGTGAACTGTGTGTTGCATGACGACATGGCTGCGTTGATGGAGGCTCTGAAAGACCATGAGGTGAAATACCTCAGTTTGGAGCGTAGTGGCATCGGTTGCGCTTCCACGGACGCCGAGCGCGAAACCGTTCTCTCGTCGTTGAGCACCTACTTGAAACTGAACAAGTTTCTGACCACGCTGGACTTGTCGTACACAAATCTGGATGCGGATGGCGTGTCAGGCCTGATGAGTGCGTTGACTGAATCCGACACCCAGATGCTGCCGCAGGACATGAACGAAACCGCTGATGTCTTCGACCCGTCGGACCTTAGCGAGCGCTTGGATCGGGCTCAATTCACGGGTGCAAAAAGGAAGAATGATGAAGAGGACTCCGAAGGCGAGGGTGGGGAGGAAGAGGCGGAGGCAGACGGTGACGATGATGAAAACCTGTCTCCTTCGCAAGTGTCAAGCGACGATGCTTCTGAAAATGACGACGACGCCGACGACAATTCAGAGGAAGACGAGGAGGATGAGGACGCGGAGGACGAAGATGAAGACGAATACGAAGACGAAGACGAGGAGGAGAACGAGGACAAGGACGAAGGCCAACCGAATGGAAATCGCAAAGTCTCTTCGCGGAAAAGCCGAAGGACACTCGCACGCGAGCGACTTCGGGCTGAGCGCCAGCGGCTGAAGCAGCTGCAGCGCCAAATGAAGCAACTCGTGCAGCTCGAGACTCGCGAGCGTCGCACTCTGATGGAAGAGTACCTTTTCGCAGCACTTGAAGTCGTCACCGGCAACAGCGTTACCATTACAAAATGCTATGTCGAGGAAAAGCAAAAAGCGAAGGAGTTGTACTGCTCACGACGGAGCGGCTGGTCGCATCTGCAAGAGCTGCTGTTGCGCGGCAACTGTTTGGGTGACGCCGGAGCGAAACACATCGCGCTTGTGCTGCGGGAGGACGTGCCCCTCTCCGAGGACGAGACGCAGGAGCGACAGGAGGCGGCGGATGCGAAACGTGACACCCTGGGAGCTGACTTTGGCGCCAGCCGTGCAAATATCAGCGTGGAAGAGGCCGTGGCATGGCGAGTGCTTCGGCAAACGGCAGAGAACGAGTTTTCTAAGATCGGCGCACTTCACGACGAAACTGCCATGAGTGAAGTTGCCGATGCGGATGAAGAGGACGAGTACGCGAAGGAGGCTCCGCCCGTGGTGCTCACGAATGTGGAAAACGGTCGCCGCAGTGGAGGAGGCGCCGATGATGCCGCACCCAACGACGACGATGCCGACGAGTTGCTAGCAGAAGAGAAGAAAGCTTGGGAGGAGTGGGTGGCAGAGGGTCTTCCCCAAGTGATGGTGGAGTCTGTAAAGAAAGGCATGCGCTCCATTTCACTTTTAGACCTGGGCAGCTGCCAAATCGGGCGGAAGGGACTGGAGGCGCTGGCAGATGTGTTGAGAACAAACACGGTGCTGGAATCGCTGTGCTTGCGCCACAATCCTATAGGGGGTGGTGTCACGGCGAAGTCTGTCGCTGGACATCGCGATGCAGCCAGTGCAGTGTCCGCAAGTTTCGTCCGCTTTGTCGAAATGCTCGGCGTGAACAAATCACTCCGCACGCTTGACTTGGGGTATTGCCAGCTTGGCCCAGATCACGTTCGCGCCTTGGCCACCGCTCTTCGTGACAATCCTGTTCTCGTCACCCTCGGATTAGAAGGCAACCAGTTCGGGGTTGATGAAGCTCACTCGCTGAAGCAGCATGCCCATTCTTACCTGTACGCTCTTTGGATGGCGGCTGCGCAGCCTGGGAGTGCGCTGCGTCATCTGCACATGAGCCACAACTCCGTTGCTCTCTGCCTGTGGTCCGAGGAAACAGCGGCACTGGCGGCGGCGTGCGGCCAGCTCAGCTCCCTTTCCCTCTCCCACGTCGGGCTGCAAGCGTCGCACCTGCAGCTGTGGTCGGAGGCGCTCCGGCAAGGCTCCGGTGCGCATCATCCCACGGTGCGTGTGCTGCAGCTTGCGCGAAATGAGCTCGCCGGCGAGGCAGGCGGCGCAGCGCTGGGCTCGCTGTTGCAGCACTTTACCCTTCTCGAAGAGCTCTCGCTAGATGACACTCCTTTGTTGGGCTCCGCCGGCGTCGCAGCTGCGCTAGAGCACCTCCCCACTACGATGCGGAGGCTGAGTTGTGGCGGGGTAGGCTTGACGGAGCCGTTCGTCGGGGCGGCGCCGTCACCGGTGATTCCGCTTCCAGTGACGGAGCGGCTGACGTCGCTTATGTTGTGTGACGTGGAGGCACCCACCGCGGAAACGCTGGCGGCGTGGACAACCCACTTAGCAGAGGCTGCGAAAAATTTGCAATACCTCTCGCTGTGGGCTCGCGGAATGGCAGGAAAAGAGAACGAAGTGCTGTCATACTTCGTTGATCTGGCGCAGATGTGCCCGTCTTTGCTTTACGTAGACAGCGGGTTTCAGCCGCAGTTTCGAGCGTCCGCGTCTGGTGGGAAGCACTTTGTTTCGCTAGAAAAACTCCTTCTGCCGAGGCGCACGTCTTTGTCCAAATAATGTGAAAAACTGTCTTTTTTTCCAGGAGGCACATGCGTCCATGCTGAGAAGAACGCCAGGTCTTTCCCCACTAAAGCTGGAAGCTGCGAAAGAGGAGCAGATGTACAATACGATGTTTTCCTATTTTAATCATTGAGAGTTTTGAATTTCCATTTTTGGGAATGTGCAGAACGAGACGTTCGTACAAACCCCTTTTGTTCTTTCGAATCGTAGGATTTGTAATAGTCTTCGCATGTAAACTCTGACTATCGGACGATCAACACCAACGACAAAAGGTAGACGTACATAAAACAAAACAAGTGAGAAACGTGGCGCAGTGGCGCCTCTTCAACTGCTTTGCTCTTCTCTTCTCCGTAGCTGTGAAGAGGGAAATGCTGATTATGCTAGGCGAATAATCGGGTGCGTTCGACCCGACTTTTTTTTTTGTGGTTTGAACTCCTACAGCGTCGCATGCGGCGTAGGATGTGTGCTCTGTACTTCCTCTCTCTTTATTCCCTTCCCTTTGATTGTGGAACCCTGATTCGATAGGAATCACACCGAGGTATCGTTTTGATTGTTTTTAGTTTGCGTAACGCACCCCATTTGCACACGACCCGCCTGACCGCTTTCAGCCCTCTTTACTGGTTCGTAGCGTTTTTGCTGCAAATCCTTTCTCTCCCACGGTCATGGCTTCCCAGTGCCCTTTGCTGACCTTGAGCAACGGCGTGCAGGTGCCACAAATTGGCATCGGCACGTGGGGGGCGAAGGACGACAACGAAACGGTTCAGAACGTCAAGTGGGCTGTTGCCGCAGGATACCGGCACATCGACACAGCGAGCTTCTACAAGAACGAGAAGAGTGTCGGCGAGGGCATCCGCGCATGCGGCGTTCCTCGCTCGGAGCTCTTCGTGACGACAAAGCTGTGGAACGACGACCACGGCTACGACAACGCGCTCGCTGCGTTTGAGCAGAGCCGCGCGGCACTCGGCGTCGACTACATCGACCTGTATTTGATACACTGGCCAGGCCAGAACCGCACGTACATCGAGACGTGGCGTGCGTTGGAGAAGCTCTACGCGGAGAAGAAGGTGCGCGCGATTGGTGTGTCGAACTTTGAGCCGCACCACCTCGAGGACTTGCTGGCGAACTGCAAGGTGCCACCGATGGTGAACCAGGTCGAGATGCACCCGCTGTTCCAGCAGAGCACCGTGCGCAAGTTCTGCGTCGAGCACAACATCGCCGTCACCGGGTGGCGTCCGCTAGGCAAGGGCAAGTTGCTTACCGAGCCGCGCCTTATCGAGGTGGCGGAGAAGCACAAGAAGGCTGCGTCGCAGGTGATCATTCGGTGGTTCCTCCAGCTTGGTGTGATTGTCATTCCAAAGTCGAGCCACGAGGAACGCATTCGTGAAAACTTCGACGTGTTCGACTTTGAGCTGTCGCCGGAGGACCTGCAAGTGATCGCGTCGCTCGACACAAACAACCGTATCGGTGGTGACCCCGACACCTTTTTCCCCACCTCCAAGAATTAGTGGTGGCTGATGGTGTCGGCGCTAGTACACGGCGTTTGCGTGGGCTTCATAACCATGTAGATGCATTCCATCATTATTCTGTCTTCTCTTTTATTTTTGTTGGTGTTCTAACCTTCACTCAAAAGATCCTAAGGACCAAATCCACATCAACGAAGGAATGGTCCACAGCATGAGTCTTTTGCTTATGCTTTTCTCCCTTGGTTTTCGAATGTTTTTCTTTGTAAAGTGTGTTTTTCTTACCCGAACTTGTCCTTTGGCTCGGTTTGCAAGGTCACGGCTACAAACAAAAAAAAGCTACTCTTTTTCTTGGAATTACTCACAAATATAACGCGAAAAGCCTTATTGCAGAGCTGTTGGCACTCCTAAACTGATTCTCTTTTTGAATGTATTATGCCGCCCATTCGTTGTACGTACGCATGCTGTTGCGAGTTTATTGAGCAGGCTGCACAGCAGGCGCAGAAATGGCTGAAGCGAAACGAGCCGTTGCGAAAAGGGGGAAAAGCCCACCACTAAAGATTGAACCTGTGCTACCTGCCCGTCACCATTGCGCCATTTCTCTCTCATTTTGCACTTCTCCTTGCCTTCACTACTAAACTTTTGTGTACGTGCGCGGCGTACTGAAATTCACGCTCTCGTTTTTTCGTATCGTCTGCCAACCAAAGCTCGTTCCAAATGGCTGACGCTCAACCTGCTGAGAACCCCGTCGCTGCGGAAGCTCCTCGTGGCGAGCGCGGCGAACGCGGCTTCGGCCGTGGCCGTGGCGGTCGCGGTGGCCGTGGTGGCCGTGGCGGCCGCGGTGGCCGCGGTGGCGCCGGGGAGGAGAAGGAGTGGGCCCCGTGCACCAAGCTGGGCCGCCTCGTGAAGGCGCAGAAGGTCACCTCCCTCGAGGAGATCTTCCTCTTCTCGATGCCCATCAAGGAGCACCAGATCGTCGACACCCTCATCACCGAGGGCCAGCTGCGCGATGAGATGATGAAGATCTACCCCGTGCAAAAGGCCACCTCTGCCGGTCAGCGCACCCGCTTCAAGGCCTTCAACGTCGTGGGCGACGGCGCCGGCCACATCGGCATTGGTGCCCGCGTCGGCAAGGAGGTGTCCCTGGCGATCCGCTCGTCGATGATTGCGGCCAAGCTCAACATCGTGCCGATCCGCCGTGGTTACTGGGGTAACAAGATCGGCGAGCCCCACACGATCCCCATGAAGGTGACCGGCAAGTGCGGCTCCGTCGCTGTCCGCCTCGTGCCCGCCCCTCGCGGTACCGGCATCGTCGCGGCCCCAGTGCCGAAGAAGATTCTGGAGTTCGCCGGCGTGGAGGACGTGTACACGAGCTCCCGCGGCAAGACCCGCACGCACGGCAACCTGATCATGGCCACCTTCTATGCCCTGCGCAAGACCTACGGCTTCCTCACCCCCGACCTGTGGGCGGAAACCGAGCCGTCCCGCGAGCCGGCCGACGAGCACGGCGAGTTCCTTGCCGAGGTCGCTGCTGCGTAGATGGCGTGTGCTTTGTTTGTCACCAATGGGACTACGCCATTTCTATAGTTTGTAGCCTTTCTTTTTCATTTCACTCTTCTCATTTCAACAACCAAAAAAAAAGAGTCATGCAACACGCACGAAAAATAAAAGGCGTGGGCAGCCGCCTGCGTATGCTGCGCGCTCCTTCCTGCCTTTCTGCAAGAAGCGCGACTGCTGTAAAGGCGTTCACAGGGCTTTGCCAAAATGTTCGTCGCGTCGTCTCAGCTTGAACAGCACGTACGCGCGTTGCAAGTACGCCACGTTGCTCGTGCAACTGTATTGTTGTATGCGGCTGCTTATCACATCCTTTAAAAAATAAAAGAAAAAAATGGTACGCTCCACGGTGGCAATGTGTGAGTGTGTGTCTGTACGTGTTGTCCGTGTCTTACTGAAAGTGGATCAACTTGATTAGTTCATAACACCTCTTCGCGCCTCTTCTTTTCATTTATTCAAAGCGTATGCTCTCATTTCTTTCTACCCAGTGCCGGTGCTATCATTTTATTGACTGTGCCCAGAAATCAATCTTGGGAAGCTGAGAAGAAACCTGCATTATGATGATCACGACGACAGCACAGCAATAGCTACAGCACAACAATACAAGCTCACTTTTTTTTTGCCCTCTTTTTGCTCTAAACCTAATGCGGTGTGCCATGCGTGCAAGGTGTTTGCCCGCAGTGGCAACCTCCCCACTGCTTTTAGGTCGTTACTGGAAGTCCACCAGTGCCTCACCTGAACCGGGTCACGGCAATGTATCACCTCCCCCTCCTCCTTCCACACCGGCGACTGGTGTGGTACTGCCCGGCGTCGACCTCGCTCGCCGTGCGGTCGACCCGAGCCAAGAGTTCCCGACCACGTGGAGCGAGGATGAGCCCCTAGCGCCCTCGGACCCACGCATCGTGTGGCGCGAGCTGTATTCGCTGGACGCCGAGAAGCCGTATTATCAAAACGTCAAAACAATGGAGGTGACGTGGGACATCCCCGACGGCTTCGTCACGCGCTTTCCGCGCCTGTACAAGTCAAACGGGTACCGCGTCGACGAGAGAGGCGCGGTGTTTCGATCACAGGCAACCGCCGCGGCAGTTGACGACACTGCCACCAAACCGGGCGCCAAGACCGATGGCGTGAACGCACTGACGTTAAAGCAGCGGGTAGCGACGTACGGCGCGGGTGGGCTTCTGTGGTATCTCATTATCCACAGCATTTCCTTTTTTGGCGTCTTCACCTGTCTGTACGTGTTTCGCATCGATTTGATCGGCATGGCGCGGTCGTACGGCTTCGATGTGAAGCGAACCGCCGACGTCCCGGTAAGCGAGAACAAGCAGCCGCCTTTCTGGAAGACGTTTGTGGTCTCTATCGTGCTGAACAAGATGCTCGTCCCGGCGCACCTGCTCATCACCGTTACCACCGCACCGATTCTCGTACACCGCCTGGAGCCGATTGCGGCGAAGCTGTTTCCTGCGGCGCGGGCAGTTGTCAAGTCCTTCGTCGGCAAGACGAAGATACAACCACCACCATCTGCAAAGGCGTAAGGAAACAGCAGCGAGTAGCCACCGCTTTGTCTCCCATTTCTTTCCCTTCCGGCCTTCACGCTGCTTTCTTTTTTTCTGACTTTTGATGCTCCAACCCCCCACAAACAAACGCAAAGAGGGAGGACTGTGCATTCCTCTACATTATAAAGCACTAGTTTTCCGGCGGTGTGCTTGCTCCCCACATCACACTCGACACACGACGTGTTCTCAGTGGATACCTCCCCCCAAGAGGAAATAACAACAAAAAAGAGCGCATTTATCAGGTGACTGTTGCTTCTTGCGGTTCACGGAGACGCCGTAAAAACGGCTTCGCGTTTCTTCTTTTCCTATGTGTCTCAACTTTTTTTTTTCCACCATACAACTGTGTTTTTCAAAGATATGTGTGCTGCCCCGCGACGGGGTCTCCCGCGCAGACGTTTGAACGCCAAAAGTCTGTGCACTTGTTCGTTGTTGCTAAGCTTGTGGCTTTATTGTTCTTAGTGCTCCTTCTCATTAGGAGTTGTAGGTCTTGGGGTTAGTTGGTGTTGCGGTTGTCGGCCATTTCGGCAGTTGTGTCACTTCGGTGCAGCAAGGCGGACGCTTGGGTTGCTCAGCGGTCTGGTGTACACGTTTGAGAGCGCGTAGCCACAACGGCTTGCCTCCTTCGTTTTACCCTTTTGACGTGTTGTGCTGTTGTTTGCTTACGCAGTTGGCAAGACGCTTGTTTTCTCTCTCTTCGCTGCCCTTTATAAACGTTCGTGTTCCACATGCGACTCTTCACTGTGAAGTTCACAACATGAAAAAAAAGAAAGGTGAAAGGAAAAACACCTCCTCTTTTTTAGCTGCTGCACGCGATGGCTACGCAGTATCATATGTCGGTTCTCTTTGCGGCGACGTCAAGTGTGTAAGCGGCGAGTCTTGCATGAGCACTCCGTCAAAACAGTGTAGTGCGTCTGACGGACACTTAAGTACGTTCTCCTTTTTTAAATTTTTGTTTTATCAACGTCGGCCTGCATCTCAGGCGATTTAGCGCAGGCGCAAAAGGGAAAAGACGCACCGAATAAAGTAGACTTCTTCCTTGCTTCTTATCTTCTCTCACTACCTTGGTCGCACATCTCCCTTTCGTCTTCGTTTTCTCCTCAAAAAACTGTACGTGCGTTCTTTCTTTCTCTCTCAATATCTACGACGCGCAACGCGCAAAGAAACCTACTTCACAGTTCACCATGACTCACTACTCCCGTAAGCCACAGGTGTCCTCGAAGGCCGCCAAGGCGAAGGTCAGCGACCTCCGCTGCCACTACAAGAACACCTTTGAGACCGCGAACGTGATCAACGGCATGCCACTGCGCAAGGCTCAGCAGCTGTACCGCCAGGTGCTCGCCAAGACCCGTTGCATCCCCTTCAAGCGTTACAACGGCAAGACTGGCCGCACTGGGCAGGCGAAGGAGTGGGGCCAGACGAAGGGCCGCTGGCCGCGCAAGTCCGTCGTGGCGATGATGTCGCTGCTCAAGAACGCCGAGGCCAACGCAATCGAGAAGGGCCTGAACCCGAACCAGATGGTCATCAAGCACGTCCAGGTGGACCAGGCCGCCCGCATGCGTCGCCGCACGTTCCGTGCCCACGGCCGCATCACCCCGTACATGTGCAGCCCGTGCCACGTGCAGCTCTTCATGTCGGAGAAGAAGGAGCGCGTGCCGGCCCCCAAGAGTGCCCCCAAGAAGTAGACGTTTTCATCATGTTTTGACGAGCCATCAAGGCTTATGATTTCTCATTTACATGATATATAAACTAAATATACCCGCTCTTCACTTCGGTGAGGAATCAATGGTCCACCACCGTGAATCACCTCGCGTCCTCCACAGACCTCTTTTCCGTGATGATGTTTACGCTCTAATGGGAAGAGAGAGGGAGAGAAACGTGATGGCGAGGTCCAAAGTGATGCTGCACATTCTTCTGCTCTCCTCTATCAACGAGGGTTATTTCTCTTGAAAAGAAGGCGTCACGAAGAACCGTGAAACGAAACTCTGGCGCGTCGGATCATTTGTGGGAATCGTTTTGTTCTGGCGAGCATTAGATCGGATTACGCTTCAACGTTTTTTTTCTGTGTGTGAATGTTCACTTCTTTCCCGTGCGTCTTCTGCTTTTCTCGTCCCGTTGTTCCTTGTTTTCCTCCGTCCCCTCCCCCTCCATTTGCGCACACTCCGGCAATTGCAAGTACTCACATCATCAACAAAAAAGAGCAATCAGCTGGGATTCCGTCTGTTGACTGGTCAGCAAGAGGTACGTTGTCATCCCTCTTAAACTTCGTTGACAGTCTTACGTGTAGTTCTTGTTCTCTCGAAAAAAAGAGAGGGTCTGCTTCACATTAAAACAACAAACCAAAAACGATGAACCCTCCGAACGAGCCACAGTCGTGTGTGCACCCACCAGTGGTGGAGCGCTTACGCATTGCGGTTCGCGAGCGGCCCGTGTCGGACGAAGAGCTAGCCGCCACCCAAGTGCTGCTGCGGGCCGATCAGGACAAGCTCATCGCCTTCGCACCCAACGCAAACGATGGACTCATGTACGACTTTGATTACTTCTATCCCCAGACGGCCCGGCAAGAAGACGTCTTCCGCACGATTGGGCTGGAGATGGTGGACCTTGTTATGGGCGGTCTCAGTGCCAACTGCATCGCCATCGGGTTCGCCGAAACGGGCAAAACGCACACGCTCTTTGGCAGCGCCGACGAGGCCAGTTTGATTCAAGAGACTGTGCGGGAACTGTTTCTGCGGCTGCGGGAGCAGTCCGACGCGCAGGAGTACACGGTAGGCTTCTCCTATTGGGAGATGAACTGTAACGGGGTGCACGACAACCTTTCCGACGCACCAGTAGCGGCCTCGACGGCTTACGGTGACGCCGATATGTATGGCAAAGGCGATGTTTCGGGCTGCCACACGGTGTACCGCGACGGGCTGGGGCGTCTTTACCTGTCCAACCTTCGGGAGGCCCCCGTAAAAAATTACGAGGAGTTCGAAGCGCTGCTCAACGAAGGCAACGTTCGACGTGTGCAACGCGGCTACGCGCGTCAATTTCGCTGGCACGGCTTCGCCCAGCTTTCTCTCATGACGGTGGACAAACAAGCCGGTGAGCAATGCGTGTTGCGCCGTCTCACGTTTGTGCACACGAAGGGGCCGGAGCGCGTTGGCGCCAACCGAGTTCCGAAGTTGATCCTGCGTCAGGGTAGTCAAGTCAACGTGAGTAGCACCTTGCTGAGCGCTGCGGTGATCCACTCGATGGAGTACCGTGCCAAGCGCGTCGCACGTTGTCGCACGCAGGCCCAGCTGCACGACCTCATTCAGCGCAGCGAGTCATTTTTTATGGAGTGCCGCTACACGCAGATGATGTCGCAGCTCATGTGTGGGCACGAGGCGTCGTTCGTGCTCGGCTGCGTCGACCCTTTGTCGTACCGCGAGACCGTCGACACGCTGGAGAACCTGCAGCTCTTCCGTCAGCTCGATGCCGCGTGTGTGCCGGTGACGATGCCGTCGGAGCGTGGCCGCCTGCTGCGACAGCTGCGTATGATGGAGGCGGCCGTGGGTGGGGAGGAGGTGCTGCAGTCCATCTACAACGAGGCCAACGGCCGCCCGCGCACGGAGCAGGAGGAGGCCCTGCTGGCGCTGCGTGGGCGCGTCGAAGGGTGGGACCAGACGGACTCGAGCCTTCCCAAGCAAGGGGTCCCGCTGTCGGGACAGTTAAGTATGTCGCCAGACAGCGCCAAGACGCGCAAAGGCGAGGACAGCGAGGGCCGCAGCACGCGCAGCATTGTGTACCTCAACCCCGCCAAGACCGCCACCTACGAAGGGCAGTGGAAGAACAACCTCTTCGACGGCTTCGGCGAGCATGTGCAGTCCAACTTCAAGTACCACGGCTTCTTCTGCGCCGGCCGGCGCGAGGGCCAGGGCACGCTTTTCCTGCGCGAGAGCAAGGACAGCCCTTACCACCGCGTGTACGAGGGGGAGTGGCTGGCGGGCTGCCGCGATGGGCGTGGCACGCAGTGGCTGCCGGACGGCGAGGTGTACGAGGGAGACTTTGCCGGGGACGAGCGCCACGGCTGCGGCAAGCTGTACAGCACCAACGGCGATGTTGTGGAGGGCAACTTCCGCCACAACAAGTGCGAGGGGTGGGCGGTGCTGCGGCAGGCCGGCGGGGACTGGTACGAGGGCTACTGGACCAACGGCGAGCGCGAAGGTCCGGGGGTGTGGCACTATGTGAGTCGGCAGCGGTGCCTTCGCGGCGAGTGGCACCACAACAAGGCTGTCATGGGGACAATGGAAGACGACGCGGAAAAGACAGACAACACCACTGGTGCGTTCATCCCCCGGCTCGGTTTGATCGATAGCGACGACATCCTCGCGAAGGAGAGGGCGAGGTTGACGGAGAAGCGCCGATTAGAGTTTGCCGCCGCGGGCAAAACGTGGGTCGACTACGCGGCGATGCGTCACGACAGCAGCGGCAGCAACAGCACTGGCTCAGCGTCCGCAGCAGGTCGCGGTTCGCCCAAAGGTGTTGCCGCTTCTCCAGCAGCGAATGGCAATGCTGTCTACGGTTTGGAAATTGAGTAACGACACAGAGCTACGCGTTGGGTGACACGACCCCACAACACACCCTGCCCTGCAGAACCTTTTTTGTTGTTGTTCTGTTGAAGTTTTGCTGTAGCGGTAGAGGATCTGTGTGTGCATGTTTGTGTTAGGTGATAGGTGATAGTTGAAGATGTACATTAAAAGCGACGCGCTTATCACCGGCTGCTTATTCTGACAGGCTGTGGCCTACGAAGGGAACTCTCACTGCTACAACAATGTGTGCGTCGCCTTGCATTGAAAACGTGTGCCTAAACCGTGAGGTGTCTTCAGAAGGCCAAAGGTGGCACTGGTAAGACCTTTTTTTTTCTTTCGTCATGTACAACATCAAGTTGGGGCCAGGCGTGCTTGGTTGCGAAGCCGTCCTTCCTGCTCTTCAGCGTGCGTCCATACTGGAACACCGCAAGGAGAACACGAAATAAACAAAAACGGAGGAGCTTACTGACTCTTTTTTTCAGTCAGTTTGCCAACATCCGTTCCTTCTTCCTACTTGGTGCTTCAGAGGCAAATGAGAGATGGACGCAATGAAGGGAATACAAAGCGTCTGAAAGGCAAGATGTCTTTCGCGGAACGCCGGTTGACTTCATTATACCGCAGAGATGAAGCACCTTCATTGTTTATTTTCTGATTTTGAGTCCTACGTGTCCATTCTTGACGTTCCTTGTTCCCCTTGTTTTCCCCCGTTCTACCTATCCATTTTGAAAAACGATGTCATCCACTGCGTGAGTCTTACTTACGCCCCCACAACGTGAAGCGAACGGCGCACTGCACGCAGACTGTTCCTATCTAGAAAGGGAAAAACCATCAAACAAGCAAACGAAGGCCGAAGCGAAAGATATACCGAAGGCTCTATTCGTACATCCGTACCGGTCCGATGGAGTCACTGCCTCGGGTAGCCTACGGCCCTTCCCCGCCGCCGCAGAGCGCAAAGGGAAAGTTGCGGATGACGCGCAGCAGCGCACACGGCGAGCAGCGCGCCGCTCAGCTGTCGTCGAGTGCCGCGCGGAGCGCCCCGACCTCCGCCGGCGGCGCTGCGGCCTCCACCCGTCGCGTCCGCGGAGAGGCGCGCCGCCTCGTCGAGGACTACTGGCAATCCGTCTGGAACTCCCGGCACGACGCGCCGCTCTACCACACCTTCTCCGACCGCTACGGCGGCACTCGCGGTGTGCCTTACGCCTCGCGGCGGGCAGACGCTGCGAGTCGTGCCGCCGCCGCTGATGCCGCGAGCGTACCGGCGTGCCTGGCGAGGGCAGACGAGGCGTTTGGCGAGGGGCGGATGTCCGACGCGCGGGCACAGCTGGAGCGTATCCTTACTCTTCTGCAGAACAGCGCTGAGTCGCAGGGTGTGCTGACGGTGGCGGCGCTTACGCAGCGGCGAGGAACAACGGAGGCAGACCAGCAACGGTCGTTCTGGTTGGCCGAGGCGCTGCGCCGTTTAGGTACACTGGAAATGATATGCGGCCGCTACGCGGAGGCGCGGGAGTTGCTGAATGGGAGCATTGCGGCGGATCCGTTGAACTTGGACACCTACCTGCTGCGCGCGTCGTGCTGTGAGGCGCTGCGCTCCTTCGCTGATGCCTACGAGGACTACACCAAGTACATGAAGATGAAGGAGCCCTCGATGGAGGTGCTGGCGCACAGCGGAAAGTGCGCGGCAGAGGCAGGACTGTCCGAAGTGGCGCGTGAGCAACTGGGTCGCCTGCTGCGCCTGTCGGAGGAGGTGCTGCTGAGCACCGCGGCAAGCGGCGGGCCATCCGGCGCAGGCAGTGACAGGAGCGGCGAAGCCCTGCCTCTGCCACTTACCTCCTCCGTCCCGCCTCTCGCGAGTGCGTCGTGGGCTGCTGGGACCCTCACCATGACAATGAACGGCACACCCCTGTCGAGCATCGAGCTTCTCCGCCGCGCCTGCGATTTTTACGTGGCCCACGCCCACTTCTACCTGGGCTATGTGGCAGATATGTGCTGCACCAACACCGCCGCCGCCGCCTCCATTACACGCGCAGAGGCCAAACAACTGCGACAAGAGGCCGCGTCGCACTACAAGGCGGTCCTGCGCAACACGGACTACGTGCAAACGTATGAGGCGAGCGTGGCAACGGCGATGCAGGCCGATGACTTCTCCCTCGCACGTCACCTGCTGCGCTACCTGCAGCGCATGAACCCGCACAGGGCAGACTACTTCCTCGACACCGCGAAGGCGTGCCATGCGGACGGGGACGTGACGGGCGAATTATGCGCGCTGTCCGCCGCCCTCGACCGCGAGCAGACCGCGACGGAGCGGAGGGCAACGCTGCTGGCCCGCGGTGCCGTCTACGCGGACAAGCGGCACGACTGGTCACATGCAATTCGCGATTTCACCCTCCTCCTCAGTATTCCTGCGCCGGCGGTGGAAGTGGGTGCCGCGGAGGGCCCCGCCACCGGCGACGTGGACTGGTCTACCCCGCTCGCGCTTGTGCGGCGAGCGTTCGCCTATCGTCAGCGACAGGCGGACGGCGGCCGGAGCGACTTGCTGCAGCGCGAGGACGAGGAGGCAGCGCTCGTCGACTACGCGGCCTTTCTGCATGCCCTCGTAGCCGCGTGCGAGGCCGCCGGCATTTCGCGCCAGGAGTACGCCTTGTCCGTTGATCGGGTACCTCCCCTGTGTCAGCCCAGCGAACTCATTTCCGCGTTGTTGGTGCTGGCCAACGGCGCGTTTCGTGGGCATCAGTTCGCGAGCACGGTGGAGTACTTCAGCCGCGCCATCGCGCTCGGGTGGAACCCGGAGTCGCCCCAGTCCGTGCTGCCGTCGACGGAAAGGCTGGCGGACCAGCTGTACCTCTCTCTGGCCCACCATGTCATGTCCCTTTACCCGCTCGAGGAGGAGATGTTTCGTGCGCCGTACGAAGCACGCGAAGCCACCACGGTGTCGGTGTCCATCACCAACTCTGCAGGCGGGGAGGTGCGGCGGTCGACCAAGACAGGCGGGACCGGAGCGAGCCGCAGCTCCAGCGGCGAAGGTGAGCGTAACGGCTTCGTCTACCCACCGTTGCTGTACGTCGTTGTCGACCAGCGCTATCAGCGACTGCGGGCACTCGAGCCGACCTTTTTTGCGGCCATCGAGGACGCCTTTTTAGATCTGTGGGAGCCGTACCACAGTGAGGTGGAGCGGCTGCGAGAGGAGGCGCTGTCGTCTCGTGCGGGGCGGCGTGGGAAGCGGTAAGGGGAAAAGCGAAGGCGGAACACACGAATAATAATCATAGAATTCTGTGCTTTTCTTACTCCTCCTTTTTTTCTCCTCTCGCTGCTTGGATGTACATTAACCTGTTAACCACTTGCGAACTCGCCCATGTAACAGCAAAAGAGTTGAATGCGTGCTTCCACACACACACGCACATGTATAGCAAGGAGTTGAGTCGGAAGGCCAACATCGAGTAACGCTCGCATTTTTTTCTTCTTCAAGTTTTGTCTCTTGAGATTTACGTAGCCGCTCGTGTTCAGAAAAACAGCAAAACCAACAAAAGATATTTCTTTAGCCTCTAGAAGAAGATTTGCGAGTGGAACAACAGAGCTGTCTCTTTCGCTCTCTGTAAGTGTGAAGCGGTATAGTATAGTAACGACACACGGGAAGGAGTGTATGCAGAGTACGGATTGCCGAGGTGAAGCTCCACGGTCTTGCTTAGCATCAATGCAGAGGAACTAACGTGGCATCAAAAAAGACAGCCGCCGTACTTTGACGTTGCGCTTTAGGAATGTCGACGTAAAGTAGTCCTCCTCATCGTTTCAGTTCGTCTTCGTCCTGCAGAGATGATGTCGTGCGTTTTCAAGCGTATCTCCATCCTACACACCGGATCTGTTTGTTCACTCCATCGCTCTCGACCTATGCTTCTCTCTCCCCTTCATTAAAAACGTGAAACTCGTTAAAATACGCCCCCCAAAAAACGTCTTTTTCGTCTTCCCACACCGGCACGACACGAAGAGTTCCGCTGTTTATAAAAACAACAACTATTGCTCTCGTTTCATTTTTTCTCTCTCGACGTTCTACACACACACCTGTGCGATCGCTCTTCTTCCCCCCATACCCGGAAGAGTCCACTTCAACAATCTCCTGTCGTCCATTTTTTAGAAATCTAGTTTCATTGCTCTTTTCTTTCCCCGTCTTCCTTTCTAAAGTTTAACATATCACCGTTTTGACTCACTAAAGCATAACATGTATCAGGATCAAGCCCAGAATACGCACACCCCCGGTGCGGCTGCAGCCACCGGCTTCGGCGGCTACCAAGGCAACCGCCAGTTTGGTGGAGGCAGCAATAACACCAACGGCCGCGGCTTCAGCAACGACCGCGTGGAGCGCGGCGGCTACGGCGGTGGCGGCTTCGGCCGTGGCGCCGGCTTCCGCAGCAACGGCGGCGGCTATGGTGGCCTCAACCGCGGAGGTGGTGGTGGTGCGGCCCCCTTCCACCAGCAGGCACACGCGTACGGCAGCAACGAGCACTACCACCGCGAGGAGAAGTCTGAGGATGAGATCTTTAAGGAGCACACTCCCGGCATCAACTTTGACCAGTACGAGGCGATTAAGGTCTCCATCACGCCGAACGACGTCGAGCCGGCGGAGGCGTTTTCCACCATGAACCTCGCCCCGGCACTCGCCGAGAACGTCGCGCGCTGCCGCTACCAGAAGCCGACTCCAGTACAGCGCTACGGCATCCCGTGCGTGCTGAACGGCAGCGATTTGATGGCCTGCGCTCAGACCGGCTCCGGCAAGACCGCTGCCTACCTCATCCCCGCGATCAATTTCATGCTGCTGAACAATGTCAACCGCGCCAAGCCCGCCAACGGCCAGTCTGCTCCGTCCGCCCTCGTCATCGCCCCTACTCGCGAGCTGTCGATTCAGATTTACGAGGAAGGCCGCAAGTTCACCTTTCGCACCGGCATCCGCTGCGTCGTCGTCTACGGCGGTGCCGACCCGCGTCACCAAATCCACGAGCTGACCCGCGGCTGCGGTCTGCTGGTGGCCACGCCTGGCCGTCTCATCGACATGTACAGCCGCGGCTACACCCGCTTCTCGGACATCCGCTTTCTCGTGCTGGATGAGGCCGATCGCATGCTGGACATGGGCTTTGAGCCGCAGATCCGCCAGCTGGTGCAGGGCCCGGATTCTGACATGCCCGTGCCTGGCGAGCGCCAGACGCTGCTCTACTCCGCCACCTTCCCGAAGGAGATCCAGCAGCTCGCCCGCGAGTTCCTGCATCACCACCACTTCCTGCAGGTCGGCCGCGTTGGCTCGACGACGGAGAACATCACGCAGGACGTGCGCTGGGTGGAGGATACGGAGAAGCGCACGCAGCTGCTGGAGATGCTGAAGGATCACACGACGGAGCGCGTCCTCGTCTTTGTCGAGAAGAAGCGCGACGCCGACTTCCTCGAGCGCTTCCTGCGCCAGAACCGCTTCTCCTGCACGTCTATCCACGGCGACCGCGTGCAGCGTGAGCGCGAGGAGGCCCTCGACGTCTTCAAGAGCGGCGTGTGCCGCGTGCTCGTGGCGACTGATGTGGCGTCCCGTGGGCTGGACATTCCCAACGTGGCGATCGTGGTGCAGTACGACCTGCCCAGCAACATCGACGACTACGTCCACCGCATCGGCCGTACTGGCCGTGCCGGCAAGCGTGGCACCGCCGTCGCCTTCTTCAACGAGAAGAACCGCAACATCGTCGACGACCTCATCCCTCTGATGCGCGAGACGAACCAGACCATCCTGCCCGAGGTGCAGGCCCTCGCCAAGAAGCCCAACATCCAGAGCCAGACTCGCGGCCGCGGACGTGGGGGCTACCGCGGCGGTGGCGGCGGCTTTGGCGGACGCGGGGGCTACCGCGGTGGTGGCGCCGGCTTCGGAGGTGGTTTCGGTGGCGGCTTCAACAACGGCGGCTTCCGTCCGCGCGGCGGCTACGGCGGCAACGGCAGCGCCAACAGCTACGGCGGCGGCTACGGCGGCTACGGCGGCAACGCAAACGGCAACGCTAACGCCGGCGGCGGCTACTACAACGGCGGCAACCGCACGAACATGCGCTCCGACGTCTTTGGCCAGCAGATGCCGTAAGGCGGCCAAACAGTGCTAAATTAGTAAAAAAGAAAGCCAGGAGAAACAAGGAAGTACACTCGGAATGGTAAATGGAATGAGGTATGTTTTTCAACTTCTTTTCTAGTATTAAATGTGCGCTTATATATTTGTATATATGTATGTATTTATATACCCGTCACAGCCTCTCCATCGCACCTGCCCATCGAAAGCGTTTTTTTTTGTTTTGCATTTTTGGGCCACCCTAACGTAACTGCTGATTTCTTGTTCTGTTTTTCTGTTTTGTTTTGGAAAATACCCGTGAAGTCCGACGCCTTTTATTCAATAGCTTGCAGGAGGAGGGATTGAAGTCATGCACACACACACACACACACACACACACACACGCACATACGGAGAACGACAAAGACTCACCGAGGAAGACACCGCTGCTGACAGGAAAGGAGCGTTTCCTGTCATTTTCTTCCAGGGGTTTCTATGTTACATTTACAGTTTTTCTCTCACCTTCGCTTTTAACGAGTTTGAAAGTTGAAGCACGTATCTGGAAAAAGGGGGCACACGAGGAAGATTCGCGCCTGCTTTCTTTTCTTCACACGCCGTCGTCTCTCTCGCTCGCTCTCACTGCCAACGACGGCGTTGCGTTTGTTGGAGCGATCCAAACACGCGCATCCTTTCCATCTTCTCTAGAGGGAGAGAAGAAGAAGACCCAAATGACGCGCGTGCCGTCTGAGAAAGCGGGAGGAAGAAGAACAGAAAGCTGCGAGTTTCAGCCAAGTTAGAGCAGGAGGGAAAACGAACAAAGGAGCTTTTTGCAGAGGGGACGTTGAGAGGGAGCACTGTCGATGAGAACAATGGAAAACACCCACAGGAAGTAAAAGAAACCAGAGATATACGTCAATCATCACGGTACTTCAACTTCACTTTCTTTTTTCCGTTTTAATTGTTCTCATCGTACAACAGGAGGGCTGCCAACTTCCCGCCTCCTCATTTTCTCTCTTTTTCCTTTGTTTCGTTTCATGTTTTGTTGCTCACCCCCCCCCCCTTTTGTAATGCTTTTTTCGAGTGCTCGTTTTTGGACTTCAGAATACGTGTTCGACTTTTTTTTCGTTCTTATGTCGTCATAATCCGTGCGAACGGTTTTCTTCCCTCATATCACGGGCACACTGGCTGTTGGTTACGTCTCACTGGTGATTTCCTTTTTGTTTTCTTTTGCTTTCAGATTCAATGAGCATTCTTAGAAATGAAAACCCTGTTTTTCTTTTCGCTTTGATATTACTCGCTTTCTTTTTTTCTGTTGTTCTGGGAGCGTGAACTACAAGTGCACTCTCTTTTTGTTTCCCCGTTTTTCTCTTCTCTGTACGCCATCATAAAGAAGGCGCAATCGCAACGCCTCAACACGAAAAACGTTCATTGTCGACTTATGATGACGAATTTCTGTTTGCGTGCTTTTGTCTTCTTTCGGTGCCGTTCACGCATATTTACAAAGTCTAATGAAGTAAAAAAGAAAAGTCGTATACTTTGAACCTCCTTTTTATTATTATTATTATTGGTTGTGCGATAACCTAACTTGACGACTGCCTTTTGCGATGGCTCCTTTTGCAACTATCTTCGTCCTCTGTTTTTTTTTTCTTTCTCTCTCTGGGTTTGCTTCACATGCGTGCAAACGCGTACGCACACAGGAGCATTGTTCTTGCGTTCTTGGGAAAGACAAGTGCGGAAGCGGCTCTGCTTCTTGTCCTGCACGTTTCGCTCTTCTCTTTTATTACTCTCCTCTCAGCTTCTACGCAAGCTTTCTTGGATCCTTAAAGATATTTTTGCTTTTACTTTTACTATCTTTTTCTCTGCGTGGTATTCTGTGTATGCGTGGCGTGTGTTGCCGTCTTATAACGTCCTCACATTTTTTTGTTGTAAACACTGAGCTATTTCCCCCCTCTTTTTCGTCCTTTTTTTTGAAGGTTTCGCTTTCAATTTTGTGTTTTTTTTTAGTTTTCTAGCTTTCCCCCCGATATTTGTTCCCCCCCTTTTTTCCAGGTACTGCTACTTGTACGGTGTTTCTTTCACGGTCAGGTTGTGTTTCACATGTTTTCTCTCCAGCATGGCGGAGGCCTGTTCACAGATACCAGTGTTAGAATGCGAACTCACGGTTTCTCAGAGAATCACCGTGACCTTTTTTTTTTCTTTGTGTGAGTGTGTGGTGGTTCAGTGTTTGAGTTCCCAAACACAAGCACACACACACACACACAAATATTACAGCAGCAGGAGAAAGGGCAAAGCTAGGGAACAGTATAGGCGCTGATGCATGCACCGCTACACGTACGAAGCAAAAGAAAAGTATTCAGATTGCCTACAGGTGCAAATCTTTTTTTAAAATTTATTATTGCTTTCGCGAAACCGGCAAATAGAAAGCTGAAAAAGGATGTTTTTTAATGCTCCTGTGCGGACCGGCATGTCGCTCGTTCAACACAACGAAGAAAAAGAAGAAAGCGAAAGCATACGGCACACATTTGTTGTTTTACGTACAGCTTACGAAAACACGGAGAAGGAAGTTTACTTAAGGATACGGGAACGATTCGTAAATGGGAAACTGTTTGCTGAGAAGACTACGCTATTTGGAAAAGAAAGGAGGAGAGTAGAGGCCTTACCCGCTATGTAAGAAACTATGCTGAAAAGAAAAAAGACAGAAAGGAGGTATGCGGCGCGTCTGTCTTTCTTTTTCTTTTTTTTCTTTCGGCATTGCTGTCTTTGCGCTAAGCTCTGAATCTCTGCTTTGTGACTCTATCACTCGTTGTATTTCATATTTTCCGTTCTTGCTGAGAAAACTGAATTTAAGAATAATAATAATGGAGGCTTATTTGAATTGATATGACTCGTTTTACGTCTTTTTTTTATTCTTCTGGATTTGTAAATATGCAGACGCCAAAGGCCGTTTTGTTTGTGCGGTGCGTACTGTTCTTTGTATGGACGAGATACGCAAGGTTTTCAGCTTTTAAAAAATGTTTCAGCGCCCTATGTTTCCCATAGGGCTTTACGTTTGCTGTGATCTTTTCTTTTTGGGGATTTCTACACTGCTTGCTTTCTCTTGTGTTTCTGTTTCTCCGCTTACGCTGTTTCGACAAGGTTGAAGAAGAGAACTTTTTTGGAAAAGGCAGAAGATGTTTAAAGGCTTCCCTCATAGGTGGTCACTTAAAAATAGAGATGCACGTTCACCGTCTTTTCCTCCCCCCTTTTTCTGTTCGCACTGCTGGGTACGCCATCGACAGGTTATACTGTGTATGCATCGATACTCCACATCAACGCACGCTTTTTGTCTCTTTGTGGTGCGGCATCGCTTTCTCTCTTTCTGCCGTTTCTTCCCACTTCCGATGAGCTCTTCTTTTTTTTCTTATTTTCTCAACCTTGAAATTGGAAAAGCTGTAAAGCACGAACCGGTGAGAAAAAGAGTCTTCATAACATTTGTAGCCGCGATCACCTCTTATTCAGACGTCGCATCTCTCCGCCGTTCATGTTGTGTCCACACACATCAACAGCCAATAGACTGAGAGATGCTGCGTTTTTGTTTTTCTCTTCTTTACTTGCACTAGCATCTTTTCCTGTTCCGCTGTTGTAAAAAAAAAAAAAGGATGCATCCGTGTGAGTGTGTCCATGTGCTTCTTTCTTTTGCTTTGGCGCGGAAATGACCGTATCGCTGTTGTGATGGACGCAGAATGAGACTGACATATATATATCTATATTTAATTGTGTAAGAACGGACCTCACTCTGACCCTTTTCTCATTTGTTTTCTTCATCTTCTTGCTTTGCTCTCTTTCAGTGTTTCTCCCTTTTCTCTTTTTGTTTTTGGTGACAAATCGGCATTGTAGGCAGCTTTCAAGCGCATCGGAGCAGCAAAAAACGATGAATGATATAATTCGAAAGAGAGAGTTAACGCTGCTTATTTACGTGTCTCTTTTTATGCTTTCAGCACGCCGAGCCTTTTTTCTTTTTTAAAATTATCTCGCGTGTGTGTTCTGATGAACCGTAAAGTGTCCGCGTAGAAGCAGTCATTCAAGCGCAGTGATTTTTTTTTTTTTCGCTTTCCTTGGTTGCGTTTTTCTTTTTGTTAAAAGTACTTTTAATACTTTTGTGGATTTAAAGAAAAGAAGTTGATGATATGGATGCACTGATCTGAGGTTAGAGAAAAAAAATGTTTATGTAGATCGTAAGGTGTAAGAGAATTTTCCGACCCGTAGAGGGGTGGATAGGCACGGTGCTTTCTTTTCCTCCTCTCCCTCTTTTCTTTCTGCGTCGCACCGTGGTCTTTTTCCCTTTTTTCCTTCCTTCTAGCTTTTATCTCTTCTGTTCAAAGCCGCACGTATGGTAGTAAAGCGACAGGGAAAAAGAAAGTGTTTTCGCTCAAGAACTCAGAACAGGAAACACAGCAGTGTTCCTATTACGTTTGTGGTGTAGGCTTTCCGCCGGCAAAAGGAAAAGTTCGAGAGAGCGGCACCTGCTCCTGCGACGATCCACTCCGCTTTCAGACGCATTAAGCGCGACGGGAAACTGCATCTTTGGTTTTTGGTTTTGTGTTTGTCTGGGTCACGGGAACGACACATTCAAATGTACATGAAGAAGGAAAATTCGCATTTTGGTTTCACCTACAATCCGCAGAAAGCAACAACGCAAGTAAAAAGGACGAATACGATCATCGTTGGAAAAGGAGGGAAAACACAACGCTTAATTCGTTCGCCCTTCTTTTTTTTCTACACACTTTTCTGTGGTTGAACTCGCACTGTTTTGTCAGTAATCGTAGTTTTTTTTTTTAATTTCGCATTTGATAATATGTTCTCCTTCGACTTTGTCGTTTACAAGATTTTTTGGAGGAGAAAAAGAGTCGCACACCATGACAAGAGAGACACTTGCATTTGGCACGTTTTGAGTTGTTGACGTCTGGCAAAATGAAAATGTGGGAGCGTAGCCCGTGGCGTGTGATACTGTTGCGACTAGAGAAGAAAGAAAGAAATTGGCTCTGCTCCCAGACACGAGGAACACGAGACGCTGTTTTATTTTGTTTTCCCTCTTTTTTCACTGCTTCCTTTATTGTTGCTGTGCACGTGTGTTTTCCTCATTATATATATATTCGAATCTCTCTCTATACACACATCTCCCCACTCGTGGTGCTGCTCTCGTCTGGTTTGACTCTCTCTTCAATATTGTGGACCTTTTTTTTAATGTAGTTTTGTTTCCGCTCTTAATGGTGTAAAAAAAAAGTTTTGATGCTGCCTGTAATGATGAGCTAAAACGTAACTTCTTGAATAAAATCGACAGGAAACGAAAACGGAGAATTTTTGGTCACGGCATCTTCCTTGACGGTGGCGAAGGAAGTCTTTTTTTTTTTGGCGGAAAGAATCGAAGTCACCGGCTCCCCCTCTTCTTTATTCGTTGGATCAAACGGTTCACGCTGATGGGGGGGGGGGGTAGACGGAGGCTTCTCTCTGGCGGCTGAGGGAATGCAGTGAAGGCGCAAATACAACGCGCCCTTTGCTGTCGCAGCAGCTACTGGTGACGTCTCTGCCTCGCATATTGGAGGGTTCAGCTTTGTGTGGATGCAGTGCAATTTCGCTTTCAGCGTCGGCGCACATCCATCTATGTGTCGCCCTTTTCCCGCTTCAACATCGTTGAAGTCATCACCCACTTTCTCTTCTGTTTCCTTCTCTTCTTCTACGCCTCACTTACTCTTCTTAATGGGAGGCGAGAAAAGAAAAGCACATTACGATACTCCCCCCCCCCCCTCACGTGGGGATTTATTTCGCACAGTCAGACCTTGTATCGGACGCAGGACGATGAAAGCGGCCAACTGTCCATTTACGGAACAAGTATAGTTGCGGTCGCGAAGTTACGAGCAACTTGTGTCATTTTTGTAAAGGAAAGAGGAAAAGGACAAGGCGGCTCACTTTGGCTCGTAATTCCGGTCTGTATAGTAAGTGCGTAAGGCCTTCTTTTCTTTTTCTTCTGCGCTCTGGTGCAATATTTCTTTTTCTCGGTCTCGTGTGCACAACGTGCTCCTGCTGAAGTGATTGCTGAAGACTTTTTTCCTTTTTGCTTTGTTGCGGTAATTGGGCCACAACCACTATGTCCGTCCTTTCTTCACACACCCAGTCCTTGTTGGATTTGCTGGCGAGTATTACGCACAACTTTAACAGTGATAATGCTGTTATGTTTTTCAGTGACTACGGCGATGTTCTGCAGTATGTCTGTGTGCTCTACATCGTTCTGATCTTGTTGGGCCCACGCGCAATGGAGGGCAGAGAGGCATGCGAGTTGTCAGGAGTGATTCGGGTGTGGAACTTGCTGCTAGCGGTCTTTTCTATCGCCGGCAGCGCGTACTGTGTCACGCTGCTCGTGTACATGTCGGCGTCAAGACCGTTCTACAACGTGGTGTGCCGCTTCGATTACAGCGTACTGTACGACGGAGCGTTTTCTTTCTGGGTGTTTAGTTTTATGGTCTCTAAGATCCCCGAGATGCTGGACACGGTGTTCCTGTGTCTGCGCAAGAAGCCGATCACGTTTCTGCATGCGTACCACCACCTGACCGTCACCATTTTCTCCTGGAACGGCGGTCGCCACCTCTTGCCGAGCGGGATCTGGTTCGCCACGATGAACTACGTCGTGCACTCCTTCATGTATTCCTATTACTTCCTCTGCTCCTGCGGGCTGAAGCGGGTGGTGGCGCCGATCGCACCCCTCATCACTGGCCTTCAAATTGCGCAGATGGTGTTTGGCTATGCCATTTGCCTGTACACTGCTTACCATAAGTTTGTCAGCCCGTACGGGTGCGAAACGCCGGCGCAGCTGATTCGTATGGGACTCTTGATGTATGGCAGCTACTTCTTTCTTTTTGTGGGCTTTTTCATTTCCCGCTACGGCAAGGAGAAGTCAAGGCGCCCACGAAAGACATCGGCAGAGACGGCGATCGTAGAAAGGCGCCCGATCACGTAGTTTTTTTTTCCCTTTTATTTTCCTTTTGCGCGACCTGTGTTGAGAAATGCGAAACGTGTGCGCCGTCTTTCCTTTTTTTTTCTGTTTCTTGATGTCACCGTGTAATTCTCTCACCTCCCTTTTTTTCCTCCAATTCATTCGACTGGTTTATGTGATTTACCATTTTCCGCCTCTCATTCTTTTAGGGGGGTTGTAGTACTGGAGTGTTGTTGCTTTTTCCCACACAGTAGCGTCTCCGATGCAGTGGTCGCGGCGTTTCCTTTGGCGTGTATGTGTAGAAGGTGTTTGTTTTCCCTCTTTCCTTTCTTCTGAGCTTTGTGCATACCTTATTTACTTTTGCGTTTGTGTCTTGCAGAGGTTTTTCGTACCTGCAACATCAAAACACACAGATAGAGTCCTTCAGCCAGAGGTAAAACGACGATGCATTTCTGGTGGAGACTGCACCTCTGCTTTACCTACAAGGCCCAACAGTCATAGGAGTCCGCCTTTGTTCGACACGGGCTTCTAGCAGATCCTGCTCGTGAATGCTAACTCGGTTTACTCCCTCTGCGCTCACTTTCATTTTTTTACTTTTTGCTCTCCCATGTGCGTTTCTTTTGCCTCGTCTCTTCTTCTCTTGATGGTCGATGGCGCCTGGGTCCTTACACCTCTCTGTGGTGGATCTAGCCTCTTTTGTCAACTTCAACCGCTCTCCAGAACGGAATAATAAAATAGCACCAACAGCCCACGCGGAGGAAAAAAAAAGCTGTTCTTTTTATCGGCGCCGTTGAAATTTTTTTTGACTCCGTTTGATCGTTGAACGTTCAGCCACCCGTTTTTGTTTTCAGCGCGTGTGTTTTGTTTACCGCGATCTATTATCTTTCTTTACTCGTTTCTACCACATCCGTTGCTGTCACCTAGAACTCACACAGTCGTCTCTGGAACACCTGTGAGAGCGTCATCGTATTCTCCTTGGGAAAAGCAAACAAACAACCAAACGCAGAACAAGAGCTATTAGACCGCGCAACGAGCGATGAGCGAGAATCCGAAGCCCACCAACCCCGACCCGGTCGTCGCCAACGATGACGCCGCGTCGGACGACGGCAGCGAGAGCAAAGTGGATGTGGCGGCACCCACCACCTTCATTCCCACCGCCGGCCGCGTCGAGGTGCACCCGCTTGTGCTGCTGTCGCTCGTGGACCACTACGCTCGCATGAACACGACGGCGCTGCAGAAGAAGCGAGTGGCGGGCATCCTGCTTGGTCGTTACGTCCGCGATCACACCGGGCTGCAGACGCTGGACATCAACAACAGCTTCGCCGTCCCCTTCGACGAGGACCCGCAGGACGCCGATGTGTGGTTTTTCGATACCAACTATGCTCAGGAGATGTTTGCGATGCACAAGCGCGTTCTGCCGAAAGTGAGGGTAGTCGGCTGGTACTCCTCCGGCCCTACGATCCAGCCGAACGACATGCTGCTGCACCTCCTCGTTGCCGACCGCTTCTGCCCGAACCCTGTTTACTGTGTGGTGAACACCGACCCCAACAACAAGGGAGTGCCGGTGCTGGCGTACACGACGGTGCAGGGCCGCGAGGGCACCCGCTCGCTCGAGTTCCGCAACATCCCAACCCACCTCGGCGCCGAGGAGGCGGAGGAGATCGGCATCGAGCACCTCCTTCGGGACCTCACCGACTCCACCATCACCACCCTCTCCACCCAGGTGCAGGAGCGCGAGCTGTCTCTCATCCACCTGTGCAAGGTGCTGCGCCAGATCGAGGAGTACCTGCAGGATGTCGGCAACGGTGTGATGCCCATCTCGGAGGACGTGCTAGAGGTGCTTCAGGAGCTCATCAGCCTGCAGCCGGAGATTTACGTTCATCGTTCGTCGACGGAGATGATTCGCCACACCAATGACGAGGCCATCGCAACGTTCTTAGCCGCTGTCGCCCGCTGCATCGGCGCGCTGCACGAGGTCATTCTGAACCGTCGCAAGCTCGCACGTGAGCTGCAGGAGATCAAAGACCGACGCGCGCGTGCAGCGGAGACGAAGCTCGAGAACGAAAAGATGAAGATCGAGGAAGCCGCCAAGGAGAAGTCAGAAACCAAACAGGCGTAGCAGAGCCGAAGGACAACGCCGTGACGTGCAGTCCATACAGCAGGCCTCTTGCGTGCAGCTTTACCTTGCGCTCACTTGTCGTGTGTGCTTATGTATGTGTGTGTTACAACATCTTTCGTTGCGGTTAGTGTGGAGCTGGAAAAACGGGGAGATTCGAACCTTCAAGACATGGACAGATGAGACAGCGAGTAATGCACACCTTCAACTCTTTTCACCCAGCGTTCTCCTACGTACGCCTTTGCGTATGCTTGCAAGGCGGAGAGAAGTTCAAACACGCTAGATTTCTGTCTGCATATTCCTTCATCGGTTGACTTTCATACTTTTCCAAGTATTCATTTGTAGGTGCGACGCTGAATTTTGCGTGGTCATTAATGCGTTGATTGCTTCCTCCGTGGCGGTGGTGTTTGCGCTGTTGTTTCCATGCCGTCTTGTTGTTGTTGCGCGATGAGGTTGTCGGCTACGCGGAAAAGAAACACGTGGATCAGTTTATTTTTCTTTATTATCCGTCGCGCGACAGAACAACGCAAAGCAACGAACACGAATCAAGTACGCACGCGTTGACGCTCTGGACGTTTTTTTTTCGAGTTCGTGGTAGGGCTCCTTGCGGGTGATTCTAGTTCTCTTTTTTTTCTTTGCTCGCGACTTTGCTTGCCAAGCAATCGAGCTCGCAAGTGTAGCTGCAGCTGCTTGCGTCCCACAAGAGTTTTGGAAAGGCGAGCTCGGCGGCTCTTCCGTGGACAATCTGCGCGCCGAGTTGCTTTTGAAGAAATCATAGCGAGGTGCTTAGGGGCCATCATGCGCATTCCAAGGGCACGGAAAAGGCCGAGAAAAACCACCTCGTAATTCTACCCATACACCTCGCACTTCTCCTTTTTCTCTCTCCTCGCTCACTCCACATCGCGTTCAAAAGCTGTGTACTTCAACACGTATATATTTTCTCCTTCTTTGTTGTACCACTCTTCCTTTTGTCGTTTGTCTTGCCTTGTCTTTTCCCGCTTTTTATTTCATTAGAGCACACACGTGAGGCTTTCCTCTGTGTTTTGTTTTTCCCCGATGTCCTCCGCCGACGCATGCACGTGCCGTTGCTCTGCGGTTGAGCGACGAGGGCGCGGACAGGCACCTGACAGGCCGCCGTGCTGCTGTGAGGATCGCTGCACCTGTCCGCATTGCCACGGCGGGCCCCCGCCCCACTACCGCCACTCTCATCACCGCGGTGGAAGAGGCGGTTGGGTCCGCGAGGAGGGAGACGCCCACCACGAGGGCCCCCGCTCTGCCCGCCGCTGCACCTCGTGTGTGCCGGAGCAGGCGGAGTTGACAGAGGCGGACCTCTTCGCCCGTCAGCAGCGTTGCGAGGCAGCGCGGGGGGCGGAGCAGCGGCGCCGTGCCTCTCTCGCCAACTCTGTCGGTCACCGCAGCACCGGCGGCTGCAGTCGTTTCTATACCCCCAACACGGCAGAGATGCTGCGTCGCAGGAGCAACCTACCCTACCAGGCCGCTGTTGACGCCGAGTACGACGCGCGTCGCCGCGAGCTCCAAGCCGAACTCGACGCTCGCCGGGAGGAAATCGCCGCGATGCAGCGGGACCGCGAGGAGCGCCGCATGGAGGCCGCCTTCCGCGAGACTGAGGCGGCGCGGCACCGCGGCAGCCCTCGCCGCTCCCGCAGCGCCAACCACGCCCGTCCGTCGTCCTCGCCAGGGCACAGCAAGGACGCTTGTGCGCCGCCGCCGCCGCCGCAACCGCAGCCCCTAAAGAAAACAGAGTCCCCAACGCGACCCAAGTCTCCGCCAGGCGATGAGGCGAAGTTGGACGCGCCGCCCACCCGAGACCCGCACGCACACGGCGATCGCACTCCCCCGCCGCTGCACCACCACCACCACTACCACAACTGGGGATGGCCGCGTGGACCGCGGTGTCGCAACGGTCGCGGTCCACCGCCTTCCTGGGACTCGTGGGGGCACGGCTGGAGACACGGCTCGCCTCCGCCCTGTCCGTGTGAGCGTCGTACCCCCTCGCCGTGGCAGCACTCGAAGTGCCCGCCCCCTCCTCCTCCTCTGCATGGACGCCCTTTTCACCACCACGACCCGCATTGGGACGTTGACGCTGGCGCCGCTGACCGGCAGGAGTGCCCGCCGTCCTGGCAGCCGGACAACGCGCCGCCGCCACAGCCGCTTGCGCATCACTCGCCCAAGACCGCGGAGGGGACGGCCAGTGCGTGCCCCTCGTGCGGTCATCCCCTGATGAGCGCGCGCGACATCGTCTCGATGATCGCCGCCGGCAAGCTGGACAACTCGGTGGCGTGTCCGTCGTGTGGGTTTGTTGGCGGCACCCTCCGCTGCCCCGCACTCCATCACGGACTTCCGCCGCACGGTCAGCCCTCCGACGATGGTGGGAAGGGGGACCGCAACCGGCGTGGGCAGTCGTGTAAGGCGGCACCGCGCAGTCACAGCGCCGCAGCTGGCTCCACATCTGTCAGTCTCACCGCGCCAAAGTTCGGCCACAAAGTGTTCATCACAGATGATCTCTACTGCGACCGCCGCGCGCGCTACTTGGCGGAGTGGGAGGAGTGTGGGTCCGTGCGGCGGGTGCCGCCCTCCCACCGCAGCCCGAGTGCTCCGCTGCCCGATCGCACGCAGAAGTGGCGCACTACGGGGAGCGGGCGGTGCACCGACTGATCTGGTTGCAGCACGATAGAGTGTGTGTACGTGTACAGAAAGAAAATGCGAAACACCAAATACTCAAGAAGAGGGAAAACCCCTTTTCCCTACTTCCTTTCGATCCTTTTCGGATTCTCAGCTGCTTCCTCCCGCTCACTTTCTGGGCTCTCTTCGGTGCGCTGCTGACGGTACGTTGCGCACAGCTTTTCTTCGTCGTCGGCACTCGTAGCGTTTGCGACGGCCCGCGGCACACAAGGAGATCAAAATGGCAGATCCAGTTTCTTTGAACTCGGAAAGCGGTCGGATCGATCCGATGGAGAAGAGGGGAAGAAGCATCCCTCCTAACAAGCAGCATACTTCCCTGCAGTTCAAATGCTGGGAAACGGAGACGAAAAGCGGAATAGAGTAATGTATCACACATAGCGGAAGAAAGGAAAAAAAATGCTATAGAAGTGATTTCTGAGCTGGTGCAAAGCTGCCAAAGGCCACGAGGGTGTTGTTGAACGCGAAACGAACGAGCGTCACATCTTCAGCCCTGAGAGACAAAAGCCGCTGATATATATATATATATATATATATATATATATATATATATATG